ACCGCGCTTTGGGGCCAGGGGAAGTATAAAGAGGCCGAGCAGATGCATCGGCAGGCCCTGGAGTTGAAAGAGAAGGTGCTAGGCAAGGAGCATCCCGAGACCCTCACAAGCATAAGTAACATTGCAACCGCGCTTTGGGGCCAGGGGAAGTATAAAGAGGCCGAGCAGATGCATCGGCAGGCCCTGGAGTTGAAAGAGAAGGTGCTAGGCAAGGAGCATCCCAACACCCTCACAAGCATGGGCAGCCTTGCAACCGCGCTTTGGGGCCAGGGGAAGTATGAAGAGGCCGAGCAGATGCATCGGCAGGCCCTGGAGTTGACGGAGAAGGTGCTAGGCAAGGAGCATCCCAACACCCTCACAAGCATGGGCAGCCACGGAGAAGGTGCTAGGCAAGGAGCATCCTAATACCTTTACTATTGGGAGTAATCTTGCAATCTGTTTAAGAGCAAGGAATAGCGAAAAGCTTCGATTCCTAATCAATTAGTCTCACAGCGCACTAGTCTGTCACTTTTACTTACTCTCGTCTCATCTTTTCTTTTCTTTTCATAGCGTGCCACTGGAAGGGTCTGGGAGGATAAGCTACTATATAGGGGCATTTCTTAACCTAGCGTCTTCTAGTGTCTTCTAGTGTCTTCGGTGTCTTCGGTGTCTTTCACCTGGTTACTTAGTAAGCGGGGAATGTGTATTTGGACCTGCTTTCCGAGACGTGTAATTGTAAAGCAGCAAGATCTAGCAGGTGTGGATATGGACGCCGCTGAAACATCGTACTTGGTTTTCGCCATCAGCATAAATAAGCAGAGACATTCGCCACAGAGAATTTGTGGTCACGGAAGAGGGGAGTGCCATGACGAGAATTGCAGCACAATTACATTGAAGCTGGCGGCAACCGGCTCGCCGTAAATCGGCCCCAATTCACCTATGGCATTATTCCCTGTGGGTGGCGTACCTCTCTTTGCTGGTGGGTACGAGTTGAACGATCCTCCTACGGACCCGTTGACTCAGGAGTTGGCCATTCGAGATCTACCTTCGTTGAGCTAGAGTCACCATTACGACCCGGAGGCTCCAGCATATGACTCCCCGGCTGTTGTAAAAGTTGGTATAGCAATGGGTACGTCGACGATAATTGAATAGCACCGTAAAGAAGGCTAACAAACTCGACAGCAGCCAAGCTTCTGTAGATTGGGAGGGAAACGATAAGGTAAAGTCAATGTTCGTCAACAGTAAGTGCCTCCGGCACCAAGTGAAAGCTCGAAAAGGGGAACCGTTTGTACGAGGCACCCGGGTAAAGGTTGAAGGCAACCTGATAACCTTACAAGACGGGGAAATATAGCAGGGGACGTAGGAGACGGCAAAGCAAGTGTATGAGGCATCGAGACTTACCTAATATTGGTGGAAGGCATGTGGAACACCCTTGACGAATGCTAATTCTACAGTTCTGAGAGTAAATCTTATGGAAGAGCATCTCTTTTCTTTATCAAGCTAATCCGCATTGTATAGGGATTCCTAGAGCTGTTGGAAATAACACGCATGATTATACGTTGCTATTACCTACACTGGATTGCAGAGTTGCAATGATTAGATCTAGATATTGAATAAATTAGTGTAGATCTCTATCTAAGGCAGATGGCAGTAGAGAATAGATGCCTCCTAGGCTTGTTAAGTTTAGGATCTTCTCGTCAGCGCTTCGTAACTTGAGAATATGCATATGGGATTGAGTATACTCTTTCCCTCGGCACGAGACGCTGCGAGTCTAGCACCTAGCACGTGCCTAGGTACTCGTCACTGCATTGGGGCGACAGAGTGGAGAAAAGCAGCCGGACCCACTTCCGCTGGCCGGCTTTGCGCCGGCCGTACCTGAGCAAGCCTGTCGATTCAGAGAGGGGCATCTTCCAACTCCCACTTTGATACTTCCACTCCGACATAGCACCCCATCCGGCCACAGAACCCCCCCCCCCCAACAAGTCACACCCGCCGCAACCATGGCCACCCTCACCGTAACCCTCGGCTCCCTCGCCAAGCTAATCGACCACTCCCTCCTGCACCCCACCATGACCGACGCCGAGGTCGACGCCGGCCTCGCCGTCGCGCGCAGCCACGGCGTGGCGGCGGCCTGCGTCAAGCCCTACAGCGTCCCCGCCGCCGTGCGCGCCCTGTCCGGCTCGGGGGTCCTCGTCTGCGCCGTGGCCGGCTTCCCGCACGGCAGCTCCACGACGGCCAGCAAGGTCGCCGAGGCGGCCGCCGCCGTAGCCGCGGGCGCCCACGAGGTCGACGTCGTCGTCAACGTCGGCAAGGTGCTGGGCGGCGACTGGGGGTACGTGCGAGACGAGATCCGCGCCGTCAACGACGCCGTCGTCGGGACCCCCGTCGGCGGAGATGACGGCGGCGGGCGGAACGGCATCTTGAAGGTCATCTTCGAGAACGACTACCTCGGCGACGAGCAGATCGCGCGCCTGTGCGGGATCTGCAGCGAGGTCGGGGTGGCGTTCGTCAAGACCTCGACGGGGTACGGGTTCGTCAAGCAGCCGGACGGTGCGTACTCGTACCGCGGGGCGACGGTCCCGCACCTGCGGCTGATGAGGGCGAGCTGCGGGCCCGACGTGCGGATCAAGGCCGCCGGCGGCGTGAGGACGCTGGACGAGTTCCTATACGTCGCGTCGCTCGGCGTGACGAGGGTCGGCGCCTCGGCGACGGTTGCCATCATGGAGGAGGCCAGGAGGCGGGGGATTACGGAGCAGCCGACAGAGGTTACGGTGAAACCCATTGGAGATTCGCTGGGCGGAACATACTGATTGCATAGCAATGGCGATTACTATCACGAGTTTTTCTCTGTACTGGGAGTGGCGTGATGTCGTACCATGAATGAAATAGCAGCATCAACTTCAACGCTTTGGTATTCTATTCAGCGTACCTAGTACCTAGGATACGAATGCGTATAGCGATACTCCTCGCTGAAGCTACTACGGGTGACGCGCCCGCCACAGCATAGACTATGACGACGCTTACACTGATAGTGCTAGCATCCCTCGGCGTGGCGGTGTCCCATTCCCACAACACTTGCTCTCCCACAGCATCTTGCTGTGCTGCAACCCATTATATTCCGAAAACCGTTGCTAGTTCATCAATCAACTGCTCTGCTACAAACTGGTCTCCAGTCTTGGGCACTTCCTCTCCGTCAGGCACTTCCGCTCCGTCGGGCACTTCCGCTCCGTCGGGCACTTCCGCTCCGTCGGGTACTTCCGTTCCGTCGGGTACTTCCTCTTCAGTCTTAACGCCAGGCTTTTTCTGGCTGTTCCCCTTTTTCTTGTTCTTCTTCTTTTGCGAGGCGACCTTTTTGGGGTTGTTTGTTGTCGCCCTATTGAGCACCGGCCCCTTGGTGTCCGTCGTCTCCTTGCTACTCGTCGCCTCCTTGCTGCTCGCCGCTGGCAAATTGGGGATTACGTGAACCCCGTCGATCTTTTGGAGCACGCTCAGCCGTCCCAGCCGAATCCCAGGCGACGAGGGGTTGAGGTTGTTCTCGAAAAAGGCGTCGAATCCACCGAGGTTGACATCTTCGTTAATGAACTGGAACACATCAAGTTCCCTAATGTTCTCAACCTGGGTCGTGTCGGGATATGAGGGGTCGGCCGGGTCGTTGGGCGTGGGTTTGTCGGGCTGACGGCCCGATGCCGCATCCATGGCCTGCCGGAATCGCCGGGCTTCGTCTTCGATGTCTTCGGGATAAATCAGGATACGGTAGGCCATGACCTCCGCATTCTGGTTCTGTTCGCTCCCGGCAGCCGGGAGATTCCCCGCGAATCTCTTCACACACGGGCGTGGTATTTTGCTCAAGTGCCCCTTCGAAAGCAGGTCTTCTTTGGCCTTTTCGGCATCATACGAGTCCCCAAAGGTGAATATGACGTGGTACTTGGTCTTTTGATCTGGGCATCGGTACTCCACACCGAAAGTAGGTGGTATATGGTGTGGTGGCCATCCCAGCCCACCTTTGGCTAACAATGCGCGAGTCGAGGCTCCTCGCTCCCTTTGTCGCTTCACATTGGCGACAGCATTTTGTAAGACAAGGCCCAGCTGTCGGGTAACATCCCAGCTAATTGCGGCATCTGTGGAAACCGGAGCCCATATTGCTAACTTTCCTGCAATGAAACTGAAACTGAGGCAGGCGCGACCGCGGTGTTGTGGCATCTTGCTGAACCTCCATGTCTGATACGCAGCGCTGAGTGCGAGCGAAGTTGCGTACGGGATGAAGGGCATAGGGCTAAGATGGGACGGAAATTCCTGGACGATCCGGATCAGTCGGTCAATCGAGGTACATCTTCGTTCGTGGATGACCTCGTCCGGGAGATGGAAGTAAAAATGGTCGGGCTTGGGGTGTCTATCCTTTGACGGGGCCGGGTCGAGCCACGTCCAGCGGAGTGAAAGTAGCGAGACAGCGACGTGTAGTACCTCCATGGTCGCTGATATTGCACGTCAGCTTCGGGAATCGGGTGCATTGCTGTAAGGAGGCGTGTCAGACACACCTAATAAATTTCTAGGGACAGCCCCAGCGGCTTGCCTGGCGACCATCATTTGGAAAGGCGTGATAACTTGGTAGTTTTGGACTTCATGGACGGGTTGCGCCGGCGTGAGCCGGTGTAGATCGAGAGCAGCCTCGAAGGAGATGATGAGCTCCCAAAACAGGCGGAAGCAAGGGGGCTGCTCTTGGAGCAAACTGTCGTTGAATCGGGGAACGCAAGTCGTGGGCAGCCGCCCCGTTCGACAGGCTATCAACCGGTCCACTGCAAACATGCATATCCACAGACGACTGACCTCCATGCGCCGACTATTTGTGTCCACACCTTCTAGGCCCGGCGAGTAGAGACTATTGTCGACGTTGTTAATGTAGAGACCTATGGAATGAGCATTTGACACTGCCACGGAAAACAGTTCAGCTGGATCGGGACGTCCATTCCGGGTCGGGGGCTCCCAGTATAAGGAAACAAGGGCCAAGACACGAATGCGATCAAGCATGCGGTCACTAAAGTCCGCCCTCCTCAGCAGTAAGTCTAGATAAGTCACGATCCTGGTGGAGTACTGGGTGAGCGACATTGGCGTCTCGGATCCGTCTAGGTGGAGGAACTGGGCCGCCCCGATGGAGGTCGACGCGGCAAGGCAAACAGCGAGCCCCAGGGCCTTGTCAGCCACATTGCGGTCACCGACTTCATCGAGCCTCTGCAACGCCTTGGAGCCGAGGATAGGGAGAATTGGGTGTATCTGGATTCGGTAGATCTCCAAGAGGCCCCGGAATGCCTACATCGGGGGGTTGACACCGAGACTTTTCTTCCCCTTCAAACTATCGCGCAATTGGCACATGTTTGAGGCGGGATCCAGGGGATCCGCCGAGGCAGACATTTGAGGGGCATCGACGGGGGGGTCAGTCGACGACGGTATTTGAGGAACTGAGGCCAGCGTCTGAATCCCGTCGACAGAGGGTTCAGCCGAAGACGGTATTTGAGGAACCGAGGCCAGTGTCTGAATCCCGTCGACAGAGGGTTCAGCCGAAGACGGAATTTGGGCCTCGTCGACCAGGAGACCAGCCGAGGCCGGCATCTGAGGCGCGTCGACGGGGTGATCAGCCGAGGCCGGCACTCGCATTTCTGGAGAGTCCACCGGGTTCAGGAGATCAGACACGGACATCATTTTGGGAACGTTGGGGGCAACACCAGGCGAGGCCATTATTCGAGGAATATTGGCCGGGGGAACAGGTGTGACCGGGATTCGAGGAACGTTGGCAGGGGGATCAAGTATGTCCGCGGTTCGAGTAGTGTCGCTGTCTGTGGCGCGCCGCTCTAGCTTGCCGCCGTCTACCTTGCCAGGATCCCACGTACCGAAGTCGATGGAGCTTCGAAAACTTAGCCAGGTCCGTAAGTCGGAATGACTGGCAGTGCGTGATGGGGCCTTATCGATGGCCTTATCGATGCAGTCTTGGTTGCTGTCTGGGATTTCGGAACCGCTGACACTGCATGGAGAGGCAGCGTCTTGTTGCATGACGTTCCATGTAAGTGTTAATAGTGCTGATGTTGATGAACAGGAATGACCAAAACAGGGATTGCGTGTACCTCGACCACTCGGGGATGAGAACTGGGAATGGAAGCTCAGATATGTAGGTACCGTGGTACAAGTACATAAGGTACCTGCCTGGTACCTAGGTAAAGCTAAGGTCGGGTAACCATGCTTGACAATTGCGGCAGGTGCATCCCGTCGTTGAATAGGTCCTGCCATCCCAGCTTCCGAATGGTGTACCTTAGGTAGGCAGGTACGTAGCATTTCCCGATGTGCTGCTGTCGGCGTTACCGATGACAGAACAGATGCAAAGTGCCTACCTCCCTTAGTCGGGCGACGAATGGGGACGAATCTGGGAACTATTCCCGGAGCCGGTGCAAGTCCGGTCGGGGATCTTCGCCGCACTTCCAAGGGCCACTTCGTGACGACTTTAACGGGCCTGGCTGGCGGTCCATGGGATCTCACGAGCGTTCCTGTACCGGGCACATGTAGATAGACCGCCAAGTCGGAGAACATCGGCCGGCTGACCGATGTTCACCGGGGGCGCCTACGCCTCCCCGGGCGGTCTTGGGGCACTGGAGAGGCTGGCCGCCGCGGAGGGTGACACGCCGGGGCCAGTGCAGTTCTCGGATTGTGGGAGCTTAGGGGGTAGGTCTCAAATGCTCTTTTTTGTGTGTGGGGGAGCTACAGCAGCTAGGGACCTATTTAAGCACACAAGTGTCGACCTTCGCAGCTCCAGCCTCATCACCATCTCGCAGACTCCAACCCCAGGAATAAAGGACATGAACCCAGCACGCTTCCCCCCCTCCTTTCTCCCCAATCGCTGAAATCACATCTACCTCACTCTTCGCTCATTTCTGAGGGAACACAGCCGGCGGCCCTGCAAACGAGAGTAGGAAATCCGCCTTGCCGAGCGGCACGCCGTTCATGCGCAGGATGGAATAGACGGTCTGGAGGTGGAAGAAGGAGTTTGGCACGATGAAGTTGGAGGCGAGGGTCTTGCGGGTCATGTTCCAGGTCCCCGAGTTCGGGGTGGCCATGACGACGGGCTCGTCCTCCTTGCCGTTGACCGCGTCGGGGGAGATGGTCTTGACGAGGGCGAGCAGCTTCTCAGCGCGGGCGATCAAGTCGGCGATGGTCGGGTCAGTGAGCTCAGCGAGCTCTGGCTCGGCGGCGTCGGCGAGCTTCTCGAACAGCATCTTGACCATGCGGGAGATGATCTGAACCTGGTACGTCAGGGGGTGCATGTCGGCGTAGAGCCGGGCCGCCGGCAAGGACGCTGCCTCCGGTGACTCGGCGGCCTTCTTGAGGATGACGATGAGGACGCTGGTGATCTTCTCCAGAACCCCGAAGCTTGACTCGTGCAGAGTGGTGGCTGGCATGGCGGGAGGTGTGCAAGAGACGTTGTAGACTTGGTAGTTGAGGAGGAAGAGGCACAAGTCACTAGGTGAGGACTTTGAACTTGTTGACTGTGAGAAAAGGCGAAGGTGTTCAAAGACTGAGTTGAACCGGGGTGATTGAGTCAAGCTGACGTCTGATTCTGCGGACATATGCCCCTCTTAAATAATTTCTCCTCAACACAGCGCAAGTTTGACCCCGCAGCGAGATCTTACGTCCCGCGACACTCACACCCTATCGCCGGTCAGAGGAATCAGTCCGCTGCGCGGCTAGATTGCATCGTCGCATATTGTCTCTGCGATCTGCACTCTAGAGACACATTGATGCTGTGCCTTCGCTCCTCGGACGCGAGAAATTGGTGTTTAAGGCCGAGCTGAATGGAATCCTACCAGGATCCCTAAACCGCCGCAGTCACCCAACGGGGGACTTTCCCCATTCGACAGGCATCATGTAGGCAACCGTCCCTGCTTTAGCCGTGCGTTAGGTAGTCCCAGGCAGCCGCGCCAAGCCCCGTTCCGCGATCAATGGGCCCGAATGCCGGGCCCCTCCTCCCCTTATTTCTAAGCAAAATTATTAGTCACAGGTCACACGTTGTACGAAAGGTGGGATGGAATGCGCCAAAGACGCGCCCCATGGGTTAGGTTTGTTAACGTTCGGTGCTCGGCCTTCCATCCCTCCTGGTCGGGCAGTCTCCAAGTGCGAATTTCGAGCCTTCAGCAGCGTACCTCGGCAGGCGACAAGGCAGCCCCTCCAGTAGGCCATCCGAAACCCGTTCTGGGGGCCGGAGATAAACCTCGCAAGACCCGAACGTTTAATCTCGGCCCTCGAATTCGACCGGCGGTGGAAACTATCGGTTGCAGGGCTGCGGCCCGTGCCGTTGGAGCCGGGATGCTGACGGCGTCATCATTAGGAGGGACCTCGGCAGCACAAAACACACTGCGTGATTATTCATTTTCATTATCCCGCTTATCTATGCCATGTGAGTCATGTGGGATTTTAGTAATTGATGAGCGAGAGGGCAGGGGGAAGGGGGTTGGGTGTTGGAATAATGCATCATTGACCAAGTCGTGGCGCCGTATTCATCAGTCAGTCTTGTGACTGCAGACCAGATCTATCTAGGTAAACATGTTGGGCAGCCCCTGGGCACGCCAAAAGAGGAAAAGTAAGAAAAAGAAAGAAAAGCAACAACAAAACTGAAACCGCCGTGTTTTTTGTAACTAGAGGCTGGACCGGAAATCCAGACGCCACCCGCCATGTGAACGATTCAGTCCTTTCCCACCATCCTAAACAACCCAGCCGGTTGGAGCGCCGCGTCGATCCCTTAGAAATTACCATTGCGCCAAAGCTGAAGTTACCAAGTTCCATTGCATAGCACAGCCTCAGCCATCCCTCCGAGTCCCCTTTCCACCACGCACCGGCCCCGCGCCGGAGAGCCAGAACTCGATCATGGCAGCCGTCGTCGACCACGGCACGCGACGACGGCGGGTCAGGCGGATCAAGTCGGCGCCTCTGCCTGCGAGCCCTGTCCACAGACGCCTCCGCCTCCCGCCAAACGTCCGACCGGCGGCCGCGGATAGGCCGGTCGAGAGCCGAGCCAGGGCCGTCGTGGGGAAGCCACGCTATCGCTTCGGCCGCAGGTCGTGCACATAAAAGTCCATGCGGGAGGACTCGTAGACGTGGCCGGGCGGGTGGCCGGCGTCGGTGTAGATGTTGTCGATCGAGTGCTGGTGGAAGGTGTCGGTGTGGCTGCAGTGGAGGATGTGGGGGAGACCCGGCGGATCGGTCAGGCGGAAGATGCCCCATCTAGGGATGTGTCAGCGCTTTGGGCTGCAAGGGGGGATGGAGAGGGGGGAATGGAATCTTACGAAGGGGAGTGCCTGGGGGAGCAGACGATGGCGATGCTCTCGGGCATCATGACCTGATATCCCGCCTGGGTGTGCAGATCGCGTGAGCTCATGAAGCATGTCTGGGTTGGGTGGGTATGGATCCAGCCGATCAGGAGGAGGTCTTGGTTGATGCAGTAATCCAGCATCGACGACTCGTTCTCTGTCTCGCACGTGTCCGATGTGCATTTCTGCTCAGGAATCAAGAGGCAAGAGATGAACAGTGCGTTGTTAACCGGGGTGCCACAGAGCATACCGCACATCTCCAGCCCCTTGCGTGTGTTCTCTGAGGCAATATCAAGGAAAGTCTCGCGAAGTTTGTCTGGCAAAAAGACGGGCCGGATAGGCTTGCCGCTCTCCAGGTAGGCAGCTGGACGGAAGGTGTAGCGCTCTTTCTTTGCCTTGCTGTCTATGGTCTTGGCCGGCAGTTTCGGTACGCCCTCGGGGAGCACTGGCGGGGTCGGTGTCGGTGCCCCATGCAGCGCCTCATATCGTGCAAACAGAGGCCCCTTCTCCGGAAGAGCTGGCGGGGCCGAGTCATACCGGCGAGATGATGATTGTTGCAGGTCCTCTTTTGGTGGCCGCGGTGGTTGTGGGGTTTCGCGTTCTTGTCGTGACTGGGTTGGATGCGACGCGTATTGGAGAGGGGCGGGTTTGTGGATCGAAGGATAATGATATGCACGCGAACTCGGCTGTAAACTCTGCCGGCTTGCTTCGCTCCCTTCCCTGGCTTGGAGGTCTCTTTGGCTTAATAGTTGGCGAGTTGATTCCATACTCTTCCGTACTTCTTGCTCCTCTGCCAGGCGGGAGGGTGTCATATAGTCGTTGCCACCCCATCCTTGCCAGTCATCCCAGACGCCGGCACCTCGCCGACTTTGCTCTTCTTCATACGATATTCCTGCCTGGCGGGTCGCTCTCCTAGCAGCATCTCGCCGGCTGATTTCTTTCTTAGCCAGGTCGACTGCCAAGTCCTGGTTCTCCCAAGCATCGAGCACCCTCGAAGGGGCTGCCGGGTTCCATGACAGAGCGGGGTCCCTTGCGGCGTGCTTCTGGTATTGTGTGAGTGCTTTCTGTGGCTGTTGGGCATCCCTTTCGGCATCCCTTTGGGCAACACTGGCCCTCAGCCATTCCTGGTATGTTTTGTCGATGTGGGGTCTGAGCTGTTCGAGTTGGTCGAAGATGAGAGGCATGCGCTTGAGGAGAGGCTTCAGAGCGGCCTTAGAGGCGGGATCCTGAGCATCGGGATGCTTTCCCACATAGTCAAGAACCAATGCCGAGTATCGAAGGTAGAAGAGGTAGGCATTAGTGAAGTTGCCCTCGCGCATGTAGTTGAGGCCCTGTATAGAAAGAGAGATGCGATGGTCAGCGGCAAGCGCAAAACCGGGGTAGAAAGAGAGTGGGGGAGGGGGAAGAGACTGTACCTCGCGATAGATGGTATCAGCTGCTCGCACCCAGTATTTGAAGGCGATGTTTGGGTTCCATGCAAAGTCTCCAGCTCTATCTGAAATATCCTTGACGCTCAACGGCCGGTTGGGAAGCTCGCCGGAGGGGTCCATCTTGCCCCGCGCCGCCCCTCAGCTGAAGGGTTGGAAGGAGCTGTGACAATGTGAAAATGATGATGAGAGTATCGGCAATGTCCTACAGGAAGAAAGGAGACGTGTCGTTCAGGTATATGGCCATTGCTTGCACGAATGCTTAAGTTTGAATGCTGCTTTGGGGATGACGAATTCAAAGAGGTGCAATAATAAGGAACAGGTACAGCATGGAACAAGGGAGTTCCATAAAGGTCCCCCACCTGGAACCCAACCCAAAACTCATGGTCCGTGCACCAACCAGGGTCCAGAAATTGGAGCTCTGCAAGCTTCGTCTCCAAAAACCATGGACCCTGTGATATTTGCGACGGAACGCAACAAAATATGGCACGAATACCCACCACAGAGCTGCGCAGATATCTCCTCCAGGGGCAAATATGTGGGCAAGGTTGCCTCCACACCTGTCGATACAGATACCCTCTGTCTCTGTCTCTGCCTCTATCTTTGATCAAGTCGTGGACTCCCAAACGACAGAGATTACACACCTCGAGCCAATATAAGCAAACACACCCGAGTCCCAGTACAGCAATTCCACTACATGAAGCGCCCCCTGCGCCTCTTCGGAAACAACTCAAAGAACAGGCAAAGGCACTCAAGGCAGCAGGAAGAAAGAAGAAGGCCAAGGCTGACAGTCAGACTGTCCCTGGGTGGGAATTGACCGTGGGCATCGAAATCCACGCGCAGCTGAACACGGCAAGGAAGCTCTTCTCCCCAGCCACGGCCTCGGCCCTCAACGACACCCCCAACAGCCATGTCGCCCTATTCGACCTTGCCATGCCAGGCTCCCAGCCCGTCTTCCAGAAAGAGACCCTCATTCCGGCGTTGCGAGCTGCCCTAGCCTTGGACTGCGACATCCAGAAGATCAGCAGGTTCGATCGCAAGCACTACTTCCACTGGGACCAGCCCTCAGGTTACCAGATCACCCAGTACTACGAGCCCTTTGCGAAGAACGGGAAGATGGTGCTATACCCCAGGGATGGAATCGCCCCGGACGACGGGGAGAGTGTCGAGGTTGGCATCAAGCAGATACAGATGGAACAGGACACCGCCAAGACGATTGCCCAACCGGGCGAGACGCATTGGCTGGATTTCAACCGCGTTGGAGTCCCCCTGATCGAGATCATCACCCTCCCCGAGATCCACCACCCGGCCACGGCGGCAGCGCTGGTGAGGAAGGTGCAGCTGCTCCTCAACTCCGTCGACGCCTGCGTTTCGGGGATGGAAGCCGGGGGTCTGCGCGCCGACGTCAACGTGTCTGTCCGCAGGACGGACGGCGACCCGACCGCCACCGCACTCGGGACGCGCACCGAGATCAAGAACCTGAGCAGCTTCAAGGCCGTCGAAGACGCCGTCATCGCCGAGCGGGACCGGCAGATCGCGCTGCTCGAGGCGGGCGGCGTCGTCGAGGGCGAGACCCGCGGGTGGTCCCTGGGCAGCACCGAGACCCGGCGTCTGCGCGGGAAGGAGGGAGAGGTCGACTACCGTTACATGCCCGACCCGGACCTTGGCCCCGTTGTTATCGGAGAAGACCTGGTCGAGCACCTGCGGAGCACAATGGGAGTCCTGCCCGACGCTGAGGCGGATACCCTTGTGCAGACATATAGGCTGAGCTCCAAGGACGCCGTCTCTCTCATGCTTTTGGATAATGGCGGTCGCGTCCAATACTTCTACAACGTGTTGGACGCACTGGAAGACCGTCTGCAAACTGAATCAGCCACCAGTGGCGAGCCAGAGGTCTCATCGGAGGGCCCGAAGCCACACGCGCTCCTAGCTGCCAATTGGTGTCTCCACGAGCTGGGCAAGCTTACCGCATCAAGCAACACCGTCGACGGCGACCCAAGCGCGGCTCCCGAAGATGCCCTGCAGATCACGCCCACCGGCGAGTGCCGCGTCGCAGCCGGTGACCTCGCGGACATCCTGTTCCACCTCCACCGGCGGCGCATCACGGCCAACGTCGCGAAGGAGCTGGTCTGGGCCGTCTTCCGCGGCGAGGCCGGCGCCGGCGCCCCGGGCAACGACGTCGGGAGCGTCATCGAGAGGGGCGGCCTCTGGTTCACGGAGCTGTCGGGCGGCGAGTACGCCGAGATCGCCGACGCCGCGGTGCGGGGCGAGGAGAAGGTGCTGCGGGAGTTCCGAAAGTTCCGGGACGGCGGGCTGAGGGCGTATCCGCAAGGGAAGCTCATGTTCCTGGTCGGGAAGATGATGCGTCTGGGGCCCGAGGGGAGGATGGATCCTAGGTCTGCGGAGCAGGTCATGAGGGCGAGAATTGAGGAGAGGTATCTACCGGGGCTTGACGGTGGCTCTTGAGGTTCGTCTCTTGGTCGGGATTACTCCATGCATGAGATATATCAATGCGGAAAGAGGGTGTTAGCATCCAAAGCGGTCTCGTTTGTGCACTACCTTAAGGATAGGCTTGAGCCCCGGGCATGATTACATCGTCAAGGAAAAGATGGAAGCAGCCGGCGTCTTGGCATCTCTCGTGGGACCCCATCCCATGAGCAAAAGAGAAAAGAAATCCGACAGCATACACGCCCAAGAAGGGGCTGTTTGACAGATTCATGTTTGGGACTTGGCTCGGGAAAATGAGGTCGCCAAGATTGGGACTTTACATCCTCGAGCACATCAACCGGGGGAAAGGTCGGCGCCAAAATGCAGTCCAGTGGGTGTTTGTGTTTTGTTTTAATCCACATTTATCGTACTCGCAACTTCAGTTCGGACGCCTCCACTGTGGACATGGTGGTTCCAGTACGTACGACGGACAACAGTTCCACGGAAAAAGGCTCGTTGTTCATCAAGACTGACGCGCCATTTCACCCAGTGACTAGTGCTCTGGCATTGGAACGGCATTAGGTCACCCCATCACAAACTATATGCCTCGGCATTGTCTCCAATGCGCCCTCAGGCGAAGTTCAGCTCACCAACCGGCCGGCTGGGTCGTGCAGCGGAAGGAAGAGGAGGACATGCCGGAGAGGGAGGGTAGCGAATCATCATGTTTTTACCGCCCAGTTTGCACCCGGTGTACGGGATATTAATATCCTGGGGTACGCTCGGTTCCCTCGCGATTCACGTATCCGTACAGTGAGTGATTGCCGTAATAAAACAAGGGAGGAAGGTGTTTCTATCCACGGCAGATGAGGATACCTGGAATTACTACCCGTACCTGGAATCACATCGCGGGAATTGGCGGGATGTGGCAAAGGCACAGCAGAGAGCAACTTGCCTACCCACCCGGGTGAGGCGAGGTTTGGCGGATGCCTAGGCAGGCCAGCCGTGTCAAGCTATTAGTTCAACTCCCTGGCTTTCTGGCAGACTCCAAACACGTCAAATCTCCCAAATAGTTTAGGGACTGTCGAGCGTACATATTGCTTGAAGTCGACAGCACAAAAACAGACTGAGATCTGAGCGGGGGAGATGAGAGAATAACGTTATCCGGGTCGAGGGGGATTCACGATCCCCTGTGTCGATTGGCAGATTTATTCAATGCTATTTCGTCTTGGGAATACATAGATTAAGGGTGCCCAGGTTTTCTCAGCACTCGCGAGCTGTCGGTAAAAACAAGACGCAAAACACTGGCAATGCGAGGAGCGGAGGGGCGATACGGGGGGCTTATACACGAGCTGGAAGTCTGGTAGTGTGATTGATCGTCGAGGGGTGGGGAAAGTCCAGGCACTGGTGCACTTGGAGAAGCAATGCTCAGACACGGAAACTTCATGCGCCGGGCTCCCCAACTGTGCGGCTCTGCCCGGGACCCCCCAGTAATCCCCAGTAATCCTCCCGGAGCCCTCCCCGAGGCGCTAAGATCTCTTGTCACTTCTTGTGTTTCTTGACTAGGTACACACTTCGCATGGGGTGCTTCATGTTACCCGATTCGGAAATTTCGAGGCCATCGCAGGTCCTTCCAACATTGGCCCACTGCCTCGATGCATCTGCCAAGCGTACAACACGATCGTCTGGTTCCTGTCGCCGGATCGACTCCAGCCGTCTCATCCCCCCCATGTTGACTAGGTCCTTCACCCGGCGGGAAACAGATTCGATGGCTCATCTGATAATTCGGCCGAGGGGCCTAGTCCTTTCTCGCTCGCTCTCTCACACCCTGCAGAGCCCTTTTCTGTCATTTTCTGTGAGAAAGAAGAAAAAGAAACAGGAAACCAAAAAAAAAGAGAAAGGAGAAAAGGAGAAGACGAGGGAAAAGCCAAAAAAGTATAATAAACCTGGGTTCTATCGGCATGCGCCCAAATGAGATCGGCTCCGAGAATTGTGTTGTGTCGCCGTCGCCCAAGCCAATTTAGCTGTGAGAGTGTTCCGCAGCTTTGAGATCAACCAGCCGGCTGCAATCACATGGACGCAACGACTCTTCTCCGCAACTCAACCTCAGATGATGCTGCTGCCTCATCCGATTCGTCTGCCCAGCTGTCCCACAACAACTATGGGCCACAGATCAACGTCACCATCTGGTTCCTGGCGGCCCTGTCGTCCCTGTTCCTTGCCCTGCGGATATACTGCAAGGCCCTGCGAAAACGCGGCCTCTGGTGGGACGACCACGTTCTCATAGCTTCATGGGTAAGGAAATTAAGAAAGAAAGAACGATAAGAAACCGGACATTTGCTGACCGAGGCCCGATCAAAATATAGCTGGCTCTGGTGGCACAATGCGCCTTCGTGTCAGTCACGATCCCGCTCGGCCTGGGCCGCCCGATATGGGACTTCAATTCGGACAACCTGGAGGACTTCCTCCTGTTCTCCAACCTGGCGGGCACGGCGGCCATCCTGGCGGCGGCGTGGAGCAAGACGTCGTTCGCGATAACCGTGCTGCGCATCTCCGACGGCTGGATCAAGCGCTTCGTGTGGTTCATCATAGTCTCGGTCAACGTCGCCCTAGGCCTCAGCATAGCCTTCACCTGGGGCCAATGCACGCCCTTTGAGAAGGTGTGGAAGCCGCTGATCCCGGGGACGTGTTGGTTCAAAACCCCTGTCATCAGGTACAACATCTTCACAGCCGGTAAGTCCAAGTGCGGTTCGCGATTGCCCCCGAATAGCTGGCATGGGAGTTGGCTAACTCAGAGCTCCCGCAGCCTACTCCGGCGCAATGGACATGGTCCTAGCCATCATCCCCTGGAGGATCATCTGGAGCCTCACCATAAACAAAAAGGAGAAGTTTGGCGTCCTGTTCGCCATGAGCATGGGTGTATTGTACGGCAACCCCCCCCCCCCCCCCCCTCTTTTATCCCGCCCCCATCCCATCCCATCCCATCCCATCTCATCCCAAGCTCACATAACTAACCCCCCCACCCTCCAGCGCCGGCGTAACCTCCATGGTCAAAATCACCAGCCTCCCCGGCATCGCCTCCACAGACTTCACCGACTCCAACACCCAGATCGTCATCCTCGCCGCCGCCGAGAGCGCCATAACCATCATCGCCGCCTCCATCCCCGTCCTGCGCACCCTCCTCCTCCGCAACCCCGGTTTCGCCCCGGCCCCGACCAGCTTCCTCTACCGCTACGAGCCCAGCGCCGTCGCCGACCCGGCCTCGTACGCCGCGAGGTCCGTGGCGAGGACGCCGCGCGGGTCGTGCATGAGCTCTACGTTTGACGTACGCGGCGCGCACGAGGGCCGCGGCGGGAGCTGGGGTGGCAAGGAGGGGGAGCTGGAGGATGGGTATGAGAAGCGGGCGGCGGTGTAGCCCTTCCCCTTCTCTTGGTGGCTATTCCTCCTAGCCTTAACCGTGTAACCTTTTTGCGAGCGTTCTAGTTCGATATTGTTCCGAGGCTTTGTGTTTGCCCCGTTCCTTGTTTTCGGGCTTTCTCGTTTCTGTTTTGCTTTGGTCGGCTGCAGCGTTTGTCACGGTCCGTACCCACCCTGCATTACTGGCGTTGTCGGTCCTGAGCCTATTACCACTGCTTTTCCTGTATTATTATTATTATTATTATTTTGGGAGCGGGGGCCGGCGTGGGCTGAGCACGTAGGGGGTAGGGGGCGGTGTTAGGCTTGCATCGGGAGCGTGGTTGGGAGCTGGAAACTGGGCGCTCGTCCGATCATTGTATGTACATTACAGTAATATTGAGATGCTTGGACCTCTTTGGTCTTGAGGATACCCGGTGCTCAGGACGGCTTTAATTTTCGTGAAGTCGGTGATCGACAGACAATATTATCACAGAGGTCATTCAGCTCTTGTTTCAACCCCTGGAAGGCCTCGTTGCTTTCATGGAGAATGATCACTCTCCCAACTCGAGATATGACGGTCAAGCGCGCTTGAGATACCAAGACGGCGTTGAATCAGCCAAGTTTCCAGCTAATTTATTCTACCCCGACTCTTGAACCGAGCAGATGGATCAGTTATAAATCTACCAGGTGCCTAGGCCTGTCAGTCGCCCTCTCCCCCATCTGATCTGACAGACAACATCCCAGAAAAACGCTACCAAGACCCCCCGACTCATCCACGCCGCATCAGCGAATAAACTTAAAACAGACCCAGCAGGTCATCCCCCGCGCTGGTGCTCTTCGGCGGAGGAGTATGCCCCAGCTGCTGCCCCGGCGGCGGCGGCGCACTAGTGCCGCTGAGGTCCATGCCCGCGAACCCGTTCATGATATCGTTCACTCCCCCGATGCCCTGCTGCGCGCCCGAGGCCGGCGGGGCCGCCGCCGGCACGTCGAACAGCCCCATCATGTCCGCCATGCCGCCGCTCGGCGCACCACCACCCGCCGAGGGGCTGGCAACGCGGTCGGGCGTGCCCGACAACCCCGCCGGGTTCTGCTCCGCACTCGCCGGCGCGGCGCCGTCGAAGTCGATGTCGAGGAGATTCTCGATGTTGCCGCCCGTCCCGTTGGCGGCGGCGGCGGCGGCAGCCACCGAGGCCGCGATGGGCTCGTCCGCCGCGTTCTGGCGCTGCTCCCGGATGGCGGCTCGCTGGATCTCGTCGGCGCCGAACCGGCCCTTGCCGACAAACGACTCGGGCGGCTTGTGGTAGACGGAGGCGAGGGTCGACAGCTCGGTGAGGAGCTGCTCTAGGAGTGCGGGCGGGAGGCTGGTCATGGTGGTGGAGATGGCGGGTTTCTGAGACAATATGATGTTCTGACGACGGGAGGTTAGCCTAGCGAGAGGGGAAAGGGTGGGATTTAGCAACTCCATGGAACATACCTTGGCAACATCCAGGTCGCCCGAAAGGAGACGCCAGTACACGTAGGCGCGATCACGAATGTCAGCGTTGTCGTTATCTGCCGTGGCTAGTTGCAGGACCTTCTGGACAAGACCTTGGTTGTTGCCCGGCTTCTTGAGGAACAACTTGACAACGGCGGTCAGGATCTGCAGCTGGGTCTGATAGGGGTTAGTATTCATGACGCTCTAGGGGCTGGCGTGCACTTGCCTGAGTGAACTCCTCCATGAATGCATCCACGAAAGTCGATAGGATCTCGTCGGCGTTGTTGATCTTCTCTGCGTACTCGCCGACGATCCAAATGAGGGAACCTCTCGCCTCGGGCTCATCCAGCTCGTCGATGTACTTGCAGAGCGTCGGGATCACTCCCTCATATCCGGGATACTTGCGGAGAATATCCTTGATCACAACGATCACCTCCTGGACGACATAGTTGGCCTTTGCGGCGATGAGGTCCAGGAGAGCGTCCACACACTTCTCGCTCGAGCTTTCGATTTTGATTGCCACCTGTCCAATAGCCTTAATGGCCCTTCGGACAAAGTCCATATCAACTTCTAGGGCGTACTCTTTCAGCTCGGCCAGCAGCTGGTCACAATTCTTGTCGTTGGCTATCCTGACCATGATCTCGAGCTTTTGGAGCTTGACGTATGGCGGGTCGTTGTATTTGCAGAAAAACACCCTCAGTTCCTTGCTCAGAATGTCGGGTTTTGCCTGGAGGAGCAGATCAATATTTCGTAGTGCGACATATTGGACTTCGGGCGCCGAAGCAACGAGGGTAACTGTCCCCTGTCAGTTAGGTGACCGCCACCAGATACAACTACACAACCACCATACTAACCTAAAGGGGGAGCCATCTTCTTGAGGTATTGCTTGACCAGTTCCGGGCCGACGTGCCTCATATGAATGAAGACAACCTTGACGGCTGCCAGGACCACGCTGGGGTTGACGTGTTGAAATTGCGGTGCCACTCTCTCGCATATGTGCTCCGACTCCTTGACATCCCGTGTCGGGTAATCCGCCAGCGTTGAGAGAATCGTTACTCTGCCCCATTCCGTGCATTCGTTCAATGCCATCAGAAGTTTCTTCAGTGTCACGGGCGTGATGACCAGCGCCCGTGTTTCCGGCGCCGTCTCGGTGATCTCTGATAGGGCTTGTACCGAGTTGGCCACCACCATGGGATTTGGGTCGCCGATCAGTTCTTGGAGGATTTCGAGGAAGCCATTTTCTATACACATTGTCGGGTTCAGGTCGAACAGCTTGGCCACGCAGATCGCTGCTGTTTTCCGCACGTATGGTGACTCGTCCCGCAATGTTTTCCTCAACGGCTCTTCCATATAGTCCACCATCTTATCCACTCGAATGCATCCCATCGTCCGTATTGCCAGCGCACGTATGAGGGGGTTCGGATCTTCCGAATCTTGCACGAAGGTGTTCACGGCAAGAATACAGAGGTCGGGGTGTGATTTGGCGTAGTTCCTAACGTCCTTGTTAGCATCGGCCTGTACGGAGGACACAAAGGGGAACCGGCTACTCACATCAGGTATAGATATACCAGCTTCTTCTGGTCCAGATCTGCCGTGGCGATGTTCTTGAGGACGTCTGGGAACAGGGCAGACACGTCCTTGCCCAGCGTCATGGCCATGATGGTCTTCTGGATCGACTCCTTCCGCTCGTAGGCATATTGCGACACGAGTCCGGCACGGAGCTCGAACGTTTCTCCCTTCTTCGGAGGCGCAAAGGCCCCGCGGATCCTGTTCACCGCCATCGTCTAGGCACTCCCGAGTCTTGACCGAGCGGCGAGGGGTAATATCGAGGACGGCAGCTCCCCGGGGAGCGGGCGGTGAATCTTCGAATTGGAGGCCGTGGATCGCAGACAGTCAGATGAATTCTACCGTGAGGACATTCAAAAGTCCTTCTTACGCTCTATACGACTGCTGTGGTCGAGTCACGGGGCAGAAATGGTGGCGGATAAAGAGATCGCAAGTTGATGATGGTGGGCCTGGCGTTGATCGCCCGAAGGTCGAGCCCACTAGTGTGGCTTGCGTTGGTTGAACGTGAAGCTCGAGCCACAAACCTAATTCAGGGGTGTGGCTTGGCCACCCGAGCATCACTCAGTCCAGAAGCTTGCTTGAGGAACCACAGACTTGGCACAAGACCGAATCACAGACTCACCGTTTATGGCTTGTGTAGAAGGAGGGGGAAACACCAACATTAAGCCATGGTTTTGTTGTTGGCGTTCTAATAAGAAGTCAATAAAAGTTGACCGCGAGCATTGAAACTCTACCGTCCGCCACACTCCATCACCATCGGCATCACCACAAGAGATCTAACAAACTCGGTGTGACCATGGTCAGCAGCTTGCCCATATGCTCCCGAAATCCAGCAAAATTCATGCTAATAGACATGCAGGCAAACCTTCCGAATCTTCGACGTCTTTTCATTGAGTCGAGGTCAGACGACGAAGAAAGACAGGTCTCGAGACGGGCCGTACGTGACTCAAAACTTGGCCCTTTTTGATGGGCGACCTTGCTTACGAAACATGCAGTTCTACAACGCTGTTCTCTTTATGGGTTCGGTCGCAGTGTTCAGTCTGATCGCCCAGCGGATGAACGCTGTAAAATGAGAACTCAGAATGAGACAAACGGTGCCATTCAGTTAGCGATACCTTCAAGTGCCCGTTACGGCCAGTGATGATCGTACAAATACATCGTACATCGCGCATCACGCATCGCACAGGCCGTGGCCAACAATACAAGCTCAAAACACGGACCTCAGTCCGACTCACTCTCATCACCCAGAAATGCCATATCGGCTCGGTACTTTGCTGAGCCCCGTGCCCGCGCCTTTACCGCACTATTCTCATCATCATCATCGTCTTGTTCGTCATTACCAGCGCCCTCGCCCTCATCCTCGTCGTATTTTGGCAGCCTCGCCGGCTTGGCGGCTCGACTCCTCGATGCCCGACCACCTCCAGCACCCCAGTTCTCGTTCATCTCATTCACCGCTTCGAGATCGGCGAGGAGCTCTCTCCTCTCCTTGATCTCACGCGCTCTTGCCTCGGAGAAGCGCCCGTCCATACCGACGTCCTTGAGCATTCCCCTCAGGTGGCGGATCTTGGCGCGGCTATCGTCTCCATACTTCTTGAGCTCGAATGCCCAGATCTTGCGGACCCCACACTTGACGAGCTGGCCTTGGAGTTTCTTAATCTCCGCTTCGTCCGCCGACAGCTCGGGTGCCGGCTTGGCACCGCTGCTCCGCCTTGGTTTGGCCCGTTCCTTCCCCGCCGAGGCCTCTTTCGATTTCCGCTTGCGCTTTGGGGACTCATCGAGAACCTCTGACTCGCTACTGTCGTCTCCCCCGACGGGCGCCTTGTCGGGCTTTTGGTCCTCCTCATCTAGTTCGCTCAGCGGCGACTCGGAGTCTGACGGCACAACGTCCTTCTTCTTTGATACCTTCTTGGGAGCTGGACTTTTAGGCGCCGGTTTGGCCTTCTTCGGCTTCTCCTCCACCTCGCTTGCCTCGTCCGAAGTATCTCCTTCCTCGTCCTCGTCCGAATCGGATTCCACGACCCTCCGCGAAACTTTGGCTCGTGCTACAAGCTGCTTCTTTGCGGGCCTCTTAGACACCTCGCTGGCATCGCTGAGTTCGCTGAGTTCGGACTCGGAAGACTTGGCGACGGCGGACTCGGTCCTCTGGCGCTTCGTCGCAGGTTTCGTTACCTCCTCGGGAGATGCACGCTTCGCTCCACTCCCCGACTTTATTTCTGATGCTGGTGGAGCGGACACCTGGGACGACGGGGGGGGTTCGCTTTCTAGCTTATCCTGGGGTCGCAAGTTCTGGTCAGCCGTCTTCGCAAGCTGGGGCGGCGGGGGCGTGAGTAAACGCCATTGGGGGCTCTTACCACTGTATCTTTGATGAGCTGCTTGCTCTTGGCCTTCCAATTGCCGTCCTTGAAGAAGTCTTTTTCGAGCCCCAATTTGGTTTCGACGCGTTGCCTCACCAGATTCACGGATAGCTGGTCGCGCGCATCGCTGTGGTAGATATCGCGAACAGTGCTGGCAAGTTCAGCCTCCAGCACCTTTGCGGCCGGAGTTCTGGGCGCCATGATCCTTAGATGTGCTCTCCTAATCGGTTGCAGCCAGGATAATTGGGTATGCTGTGCGCGTATTTGATGTTCGTTATTCTTTAGACCTCAATTGAGGCACCGCGTTGGCTGCTTGTGTTGGTGACGCGCATTAATCCCTGGTGCGGCTTAGTTACATTGTGGGGAAGGGCGTCTCAACTCTGACCAATCAGGTTGTCACGTGCAGGTTGTGAGATACGCGGCTGGTAACTGGCAGGCCTCACCGAGGTCAACACTGAAATCGGGGCAACTAATGCTTCACCGTTACTTCCATCTCAAGCACACACACCTGAGGGTTGCAAGCGATGGAAGGAACACAGGGGTATTGCCAAGAAAAAAAAAAGAAGACAAAAAAAAAAAGACATGGAAGGTCCTGAAGACATCCGTCTCTGAGCCTTCCATGTTAAGACTCTCAGGTATCTCGGCGAACACACTGACTCTAGAGTCTAGATGCTCATTGTCGAGCCAAAAAGTCTTCGCGCAATCCATCTTTGAACAGGGCGTTACCAGCTACAACTCCTACAATGGCGGCTAGGTACTTGGAAGGCCTTGGATATAAGCTGGCAAGACGGCTGGAGAGGCCTGCAAATGGACAAATGTACCTGCCGGGCTGCCACAGGGCGGCCTAGTCAGGTTGCATGTGCGGCCCGCTCAGTTGACGGACCGGGAGGTTTTCGTGACAAGAGGCTAATGCCATCAACCAAGAACCACAGCGCAAGGGCTAGACTCCCCTGACCCCCCTTGACAGGCTGCCAACCCGAGCCCACGCGAACTGCACGCAGACGAAGCGGCGCGATCTCGGCGTCATGGGCGACCCGCATGGCGTGGTGCGTTGCGGAGCTAGGATTGGACACGGGGAATCAGAAGGGGGAAAGAACGAAAGATGAACGGCAGCGACAAGAAAGGCGGAAAGCCGGGCAAATTGCGCCGCACACGCATCTCCATGCATGTCATCCCAAGCGAAAAGTATTTCGCGCAGAGGGTAGACGGATCGTGCCGAAAATTATATGCGCCATTTGGACGCCGAGTTGTCGTCTAAATGCTCGATTATTTTACGTTCTTTTCCTGCCCGGCTTGGCGGCACTGATGACAGGGGATTGGAAGCTTTCTCCACCAAAGACGAGCAGATGTGGATGAAGGTAGGTAGATGTTTACAGACACAGTATGGAATCCATCCACAGCAGGTAGTTAAGGTACCCATCTATATATGGTGGAAGTTCTAGACAGTTCCAAGTTCCTTCCGGCTAAACCTATAAGGAACTCCATATTCCATGGACCCCACCATTTCGGTACAGGACCTGGGTAGGTGTGGTTAGGAGCTAAACGGGAGGCTCCTACCTTCATAAGCTACCCCACCATCCATTCAGTGTCGTCACTACCTTTATCTTTCCTGCTGCAGCGCCCTGGTTTGCTCAAACTGTCATCTGATTTCTGAAACTGACTTTCTACTCCCACTTCAATTGACTTTGAACCAGCCATTCGGGAAAATCTGCCAGACCAGTCAGAACATCCGCTCAGATTCTTTCTCCTGGCACCTCTGCCCCTCCACCAGCGTTCCGTCACCCCGCTCCAACTGCTCCCCGACTTTCCGATTTACGGCTGACCGTCGACAATGCCCAGCGTCGTAGAAGATGAGACGGCCTCGCCCGGCCGCCTGCTTTTGATCTCCAACAGATTGCCCATTACGATCCAGCGGTCCGAAGATGGCAATTACAGCTTCTCCATGTCCTCTGGAGGGCTGGTGACGGGCTTGAGCGGCCTGTCCAAGACCACCAGCTTCCAATGGTATGGCTGGCCTGGCCTGGAGGTTCCCGATGCTGAGGCGGGGCCCTTGATACAGCGGCTGCAGGACGAGTACAATGCCCATCCCGTCTTTGTCGACGACGAGCTGGCCGACCGCCACTACAATGGATTTGCGAGTGAGTCCCTCTCTTTTGGTCTCCCTTCCCTTTGGTCTCCCTCTTCCCCTCCTCCCTGGTTTCCAAAACCAGGCTTCTAGCGACTAGCCACTGACTCCTACTCCGAACCCGCAAAGACTCGATCCTCTGGCCGCTTTTCCACTACCACCCCGGTGAGATCACCTTCGACGAGTCCGCCTGGACGGCCTACCGAGACGTGAACCGGCTGTTCGCCAAGACAGTCGTCAAGGACGTGCAGGATGGCGACCTGATCTGGGTGCACGACTACCACTTGATGTTGCTGCCCGAGATGCTGCGAGAAGAGATTGGCGACAGCAAGAAGAACGTCAAGATTGGATTCTTCCTGCACACTCCCTTCCCGAGCAGCGAGATCTACAGGATCCTGCCTGTCCGAGAGGCATTGCTTCTAGGCGTGCTCCATTGTGATCTTATCGGCTTCCACACCTACGACTACGCCAGGCACTTCTTGAGCAGCTGCTCTCGCATCCTGTTCGTCTCCTCCCCCAAACCCCCCTTTGCTTGCTTATCTTATATACCCTCAATTTTTGTGGTGGGATAAGACTGACGCTCCATTGCTTCTTAGTTCAACCCCGACGACACCCAACGGTGTCGACTTCAACGGCAAGTTCGTCACGGTCGGGGCGTTCCCAATAGGCATTGACCCGGAGAAATTCGTCGAGGGATTGCAGAAACCGTCGGTGCAGGCGCGCATCGCGGCGCTGACGCGCAAATTCCAGGGGGTCAAGCTTATCGTGGGCGTGGACCGGCTGGACTACATCAAGGGCGTGCCGCAGAAGCTGCACGCGCTCGAGGTATTCCTGACGGAGCACCCGGAGTGGATCGGCAAGATCGTGCTCGTGCAGGTGGCGGTGCCCAGCCGGCAGGACGTGGAGGAGTACCAGAACCTGCGGGCCATGGTCAACGAGCTGGTCGGGCGCATCAATGGCAAGTTCGGCACTATCGAGTTCATGCCGATCCACTTCCTGCACCAATCGGTGTCGTTCGACGAGTTAACGGCTCTCTACGCCGTCAGCGACGTGTGCCTCGTCTCGAGCACCCGCGACGGCATGAACCTGGTTTCGTACGAGTACATCGCCACCCAGCGCGACCGCCACGGCGTCATGATCCTGTCCGAGTTCACCGGTGCTGCCCAGAGCCTCAACGGCAGCCTCATCGTCAACCCCTGGAACACCGAGGAGCTGGCCAACGCCATCCACGACGCCGTCACCATGGGCGCCGAGCAGCGCGAGGCAAACTTCAAGAAGCTCGAGCGCTACGTCTTCAAGTACACCAGCGCCTGGTGGGGCCAGAGCTTCGTCGCGGAGCTCACCCGCATTAGCGCCGCCACCGAGTCGGCCGCCCAGGGGAAGACGAAGAAGGCACTGCCGTCGTCGTCGTCCAAGGAGCCTGCGCTGGCGGGCGCCGAGACGACTGCCTGAGAGAATTGGCATCTTCTTCCCTCGCGGCCCCGGATAACGTTTCTTGGTCGAGGTTTAACATTTCCTGTGCCCACCCGGGGTGGAACAATCAATCCTAACGGGAAGTATCTCTGCAATCGCGTTTGCGACGGGAAAGCCATGACAGGGTCTGTTTTATAGCGGTATTACACACACACGCACACACACACACACACACACACACGTCTCCACGAACCACACAAAATACATGAAGGGATCGATTAGCGACCAGCTTTTGCACTGTTTTCGACGGAAATGGAAAGGGAGCTACGGGTGACTTTTGCTTGGAGTACAGGGAATATTGACGAACATGAGGGGGCAGTTGTTTTTAGCAGAGCAGAGCATCCCATGTTTTAATGCTAGGTACTCCATCAACTAGATAAGCATGACGAAACCTAGGTCCTCCGTGTAGTGGCTTCACTTGTATGGCCAATGCGATGCTGACAACTTGAGGTTGTCACCCATCGGTGTCGAAGCTGAAAATCATGGTAGCTTCAAGTAGTCACATCGCACATTGTGCAGGAAGAAATAATATGGATTGCCACGGCTCCATCACCCTGCCTTGTGGTATCTCTCGACCTAGCTAGAATAACTAACTGCCTACGTTCTCCGACGCCCTACCGACTTCGATTCGGCGGTTCTCGGCGATGACACGAACACATAAAACCCAGAACATACATTAACGTGCCAACGACGTGTTCTCAGTTCTCAAGAAGAAGATAAATCCGTCACCAAAAGCAGCCGTAGCTGAGTTCGTCCCCGAAGAAAAGAAGAAGAAGAAGAAGAAAGTCATGATTAGGAAATCCCCCTCTCCAAACCCTCTAGTCCGAGGGGTTTGATGTGCCCCTGCGAAACCAGGTTCCTTCGCCTCCGGCCCCATTGCGGTATCGGGTATAACTCGGACCGCGCCCCCCCTTTCCCCCCAACCTAACGCCTGCGATAAGAAACAAACAAGCAAGCAAGCAAGTGCCCACTTAGGGCCTAGTAGGGCGAGTTCACGACATCGTCCTTGCCGAGCTTGTACCGGCCGCTGTCCCGGTTGCCGATGCGCGCCGAGCTCCGCCTGCCGGCGAGCCCAAAGTCGCCGGCGATGCTCTCGCGGGTGGGCCGCTTCAGCCTCGCGCGGTCGACCATGTTGACCTCGTGGGGCAGGGCGACAATGACATTCTTGTCCGAGCCGTACTTGAAGTCGTCGGCCTTGACGTCGTCCGTGTACCGCTTGATCATGTACGGCGCCTTCTTGCCGCCCAGGACCTTCTTAAGACTCCACTCGATGATGTACGGGCCAGTGGCCGTGATGATGCTCGTCTCCTCCGCCCCGGTGCCCGTGTTGAACTTGGCCGGCGTGAATCCGACACCCTTGCCTGTCTCGTAGGCGAACTGGGCGACGTGCTCCGGCGTCAGACCCAGGCGGCGCGGCTGGGGCTTGGAGTCAGCCGCGAATGACTTCTCGAAACCGAGCTTGCCCTCGTTCTTGCCCGACTTCTGCTGCGCGTCGATGAGCAGGAGGTAGGTGCGACAGGTGGCCAAGACCCATCGTCCGTCAGCCGAGACGTCGAGCCCGATGATGGGTTCGCCGAGGGCGGGGATATGCGTCTTGGCGTTGATGCCGAGTCTGTCGAAGAGCCGGATGTCGCCCTTGTTCGAGGCCACTGCGATGTAGCCCTTCTCAGTGGTGGCGAGCGCGCTGAAGTCGTTCTTGCTGGCGTACTGCTTCAGCTGAGCATCCACAAGCTTGCTGCCGCTGAGGCGTGGATCAACTCGGTAGAGGGCATTCTGGCTGATGCCCAGGAAGGTGGGCTCGTGGGTCATCTGTGCAAACTTGTTCTCCGGGGCGAATGTCACGACTGGGATGTCCTCGTGGACTTTCCATTCGTCAATGACCTTGCCGTACTCGAGGTCCATCCGGAACAGATTGTTGGGGTCGGAGTCCTTTTGAAGGATCAAGTTCCGATCCTCGTTGTGAAGCATGACCTTCTTCGGCGAGAAGAGCTCACCCTTGGGCGTCTGAACCTTGGAGATATTGGTGCTGAACTCGAGGTGATTGTTGGGGGTGTGTTTGAAGACGCCGATCTTGGAGCCACGGACGACGAACGACCGGTCGTGCTTGTAGCCGACGGCGATCTGCTTGTTGACCTCGCCGTCCTTGGGCTGGAAGTCAACGTCATCCTCATCCTCATCACTGTCGTAATGCTCGGACTTGGCACCGTCATCCTGATCCTCTTCCTCCTCCTCGACTTCCTCCTCGGACTCTTCAGCTTGATCAGCGTCACCCATCGTCAAGTCGGCGAAGGCATCAGTAACATAGTCGCGCTCGCGCTCCTTGACCTTGGCCCACTTGATCTCATTCAACTGCTCCCACAGGGCCCGCAGCAAGCCTTCCTGGAAGCGCTCGAGGGTGGGCTGGTCCTTGAACCGCAAGAGCCAAGAGTAGGCCGAGCCATCTTCAGTGAACTGATTGAAGATGAACGAGAGGAACTCAAAGTTGAACACCGGGTTGATGTCGGCAGTGACAGGGATCCCCAGCCAGTCCCGGTCGTTGTTTCCAACCTGGAGCCAGTACTGCCAATTGCCCACCTCAGAAACTGTCGCCGTGACAGCTGCATTTTGAAGAACGAATGCGCCGGAGGGGAAGTCGAAGAAGTGAAGCTCGCAATTCTCAAGGGCCAGAATCTCCCGCGCCTCGGGAGTCTCCGAAACTTTGGGCGGGTTGGGGTCCCTCGCTTTTTTGGTGGGAGTCGCCTCGGGGTCAGGTTGGACAACCTTATTCCTCTTCGCACCCGTGTTGGGTGCGTGTTTACTTAGAAACATGGAGTCGGAGGATTCAATAGACCTCGTAAGCGATGGGCTGTGGATCGGACTGGCCGGAGGGATTGCTTGTTCGTGGAACTCGAAGCGCTCAAGATCCTCGTCCGAGGCTGTAGTGTGTGGCTTGCGGTACCTGCGTTCGTATTGGCACTGCCTCGCGATGAGGAAGAATTGTTCAACCTGGCTCGACTGGACACCGGGATCGCAGACAAACTCGTAGAGGTCTCCGGCGTCGCCGCTCAGGTCCCTCCAGGCAAGGACCTTCTCGCTTCCTTCCCTGCTCTCGACACGGAAATGCAAGGCCTCGTCGAGTAGGAAGGTCTTCTCGTCACGCTCGGTGTCCAAGACGTCGGCCTCGCCGTCTTCGCCGTCCTCGTCCTCGAGAAGCTCGGCTTCGCCTTCCTCGTAGACACGCTGGACGACAAGCTGGTAGTGGAAGTCTTGCCCGGTCTTGCGGATGCGGGCAGCGGCGTCCTTGAAGATGAGTTCGGAGTAGCCTTTGGGCGAGAGTGGTCGAACAAGGTAGAGTTGTCCTTGGGGGAGCTCGATCATGGACTCTTGGCTGCTGGAGCCAAATATGAGCTTTCCCACTGTGATGGGGGTAGAGAAATGTCAGCAGTTGCACAAGAGGGGAGGTCAGCAAACGGGGGGAAGGAGTGGATGGTGGGCCTTGCCCGTTGGAGTTGGACAGTGTGTGGCGCATTCACTGGATCGAACGGTTTACAGAGGCATGAGGGAGGGGTTCATCAAATCAGTTGGCGGGGCAGCAACTCACCATTCCGCAGTACAAACATTGCGATTTCCAGTCGGGAGACGTAGGCAGAACTTCTGTAGTTGACGGCAGGATGAATTTCGGGACGAAGAGGATTAAATAAATCGTCAACAGCTCATGAGAAGGCAGCCTGGCCTAGGTGGGAAGGCGGAAGAGCTTGTTGAAGAGTATGGAAGAATCTAAAAAACTGCGTCATAACAAAGACATGCTTGTCCAATGGTGTGTGGCTGGTGCACTGACGCCCGCATATCGCCACAGTTTTTCAAGTTGGCCAATTACGGACTATGTCTCGCTACCACGAATCTCCAACGGGTCACAAGATCTGTAGAAACGCGCCACCGGAGACAGCACGGTGTAAAACGGTATCCCACTAAATTTCACACTGTCTCTTTAAACCCTGCATTCAACGGCAGGCAGTCAAACAGCTAATCGAAAGAACCATTACAAACGCCACGAAACCATGACGAGAGGGAGCAAAATGATGTCTCAATCCTCCATGCAGGGTAGGTAGGGAGGCTCGGAGGTAGCTTCGCAATGACACGAGATATGACCAGGCAGCAAGCAGAGTGAGACAGTCCACAACCATTTTTGACTGCTCACTTACACCTGCGTTGGCGGCTTCATATCAAGTCCTGCGAGAGAAATGTGAAAAAAACATGATGTCGCTGTTCCATGCCTGTTTATGAATCCTGCCAACGCCCGACCTAAAAGCGCATTCTATTTTCCAATATCCCTGAGTGCTTGGAACCGTGAAACACCAACACAATCACAGCTCCTCGTCCCCATGGTGTGGCTTCAACGTAGGCTTCTCTGAACTTTTCGCGTTCGCAAGAACTTGTTGGTCATCTTGGGCAAGACTGTGCTCCCCCTTTGAAGGCTCGGCACCTCCGCCCACGGCATCTGATATGTCATCCACAATGAGGCGCGCCACGTTCATCCCCATCAGCGCATTGGTCTCCATCGTCGATATGAAACTGTCCATCCCAGAAGTGTAGTAGAGGCCATCCCGGATGATGGGATCCTGGAATGTCACACGGGGATACGCCTTGGGGTAGGAATAAAAGACATGCGGGTAGTACCACGAGATCGGCTCGACTACGTGGGAGTCTCCTTCACCGCCAGTTGATGTCTCCCCAGTGAAGTCCTTCGGAATCGTCACTCCTAGTAAGGAACTGTGGGACTGCGTTAGATTCGACCCCTGCATGCGCACGCGAGCGGCTGGGTATCCTTGACATACCTGAGGAAATCCGCTGTGACCTTTTCTGGCGAGAATATCTTGTACAGATACTCCAGTTTTCCTGTCTTTGGGTTGAAAGCCCTCCCGATAGTACTGATGCTGTAGAAGCCCGCCTTTCCGGCGCCTTGAACCCCAGAGGTTGGCACATCTCCATCCGCCAGTGTTGTTAAAACAGTGTCCGGGACCCGAGTGCCTGATGAGAAATTGAAGAAGGCCGGACTAAACGAGAATGGCGAGGCGAAGATTGTAACGTGGAGCTTGATGTAGGGAATTTCGTCGATGGGCTGTTGGAGAAGGCCGTCCGCAGCTTTGATGTCGCTGAACTGGTAAGGGGTGGCTATCACGACATGGTCGAACAGAGCTGGGTACGACTCGTCATTTGCAGCCTCAGAGGTTGACACACGAGTCTTTAGGCTGTATTTGGGCGTCGCTGACGCAGAATCCTTGTTCTGGTCTAGAGCAATCGATGTGACGGAGGTGTTGAATGCGACGGCTGCCCCTGACTTTGACACCATTTTATCGAAAATCCGCCAGTTGCCCCCTATAACAGACATTGCACCCTCTGGGGCCATCGAAACCTACTCCAAGTCAGCCGAGGAAAATGGAAGAAGGCTACAGCCGGCAATACCATCGTGTCAAGTCCATGAATGTGTGCAAGGTTAGATGCGTAGTTGACCCGGGTGCTCGCTTGAACAATATCATGAGCGTAGATGTCGGCAACCTATCGCCGTCAGCAGAGAGCCACACCAGAGCACGTTGGGCAAGCCAACATTATTCTTCCGAAGGAACTCCTCGCCAGTGAGACTCGTTGCTTCCAGGAGGTCCAGCTCGTTCGCCCGTTCCGTTAATGACCGAAACGGGAAATAAGGAGCTTGGTAGAGATTCAGGAACTTGGCTATCGTAGCCTTCATGAGCCTGTTTGCGTTGACGGGGCCTCGTACCCCATATTTCCAGAAGATCTTCAACACGATCCTCCAGCTGGGGAGGGACTGGTCGATCTCGAGGACGAACTTGTCGCCGTCCCATATTGCCATGATTCTATCGCCGTCACCGAAACCGGTTGTCTCAAGGCCGAACTCTTTGGTAGCATTATACAGAATAGCATTGATCTCTACAAAGATGGAGGCACCGAGTTCAACACGGTCTGACGGGTTTCCAAAAGGGTTGATGGTCAAGGTCCGTCCACCAATGCGGTCCGTCTTCTCAAAGATGGTGATGTTGACTGCGACGCCATCTTCCTCGGCATACTTTTGCAAGTGGTAGGCGGTCGAAGAGCCAGCAGCACCAGCGCCTGTAAGCAGTTGTTAGTGGGAATCCAAATCGATTCTTGCGGCAGCTGGCAACCAGGTTGGGGCGAAGGACACATCATGGCCACCGAAGAGCATGAAGTCAAGTCAAGCCAGGTAAAAACCATCAATCACATGGAGCACATGGGTTGAGGGAGTCCAGTTACGATACGCGGGCCGGATGTTCCTTCTAAATGCCCGCCACCGCGCGTCCACTTGGAAGCGCATGTCGAATGGATAAATGGGAACAATTGCAACAGTTCCATCAGGAGTACGTGTACTCGACGCTCTGTATGCGGACGAATGACACGAGAGTAATGCTGACTGACCGATGATGGCGATGTTTCTAGGGTTCTTGGATTCCACAGCAAATGCGGCAGCAACCAGGCTGAGCACCGTAGCTGCCCATATCATGGCTCTCCGCATGTCGGATGTGTTAAGCCAGCTGGTCTACACAAGTGAAGGACAGGCACGCGGACAAAATAAACCAAAAAGTCAAACGTACACGGGCGATAGCCAAGATACGAGCATATCAATATGCGAGAAAAAGGTGAGAGGTCATCATCGTTGATGAGAGTCGAACGAAACTCGCATTCATGATGACATGTCCGGACAGAGATTACGGAATACGAATGAGGCGCAAAAGCCACACCAAAAACGTCGTACGTTTACGCTCTCCGTTTAACTTGGCCCAGCTGCTTCACGTGATACAGTATACTAATGTACTATCTCCGCTGTGCGTGGTCGAGAGGTACATGGATGTACATAACTTGTGCATAACTGTGGGGTTCCATTGGCTCGCCGTTCCTGCAAGTGCACGGCCATCGAAAGGCACCAGCAAAGACGCATCTAGAAAAAAGTTCAAAGCTGGAGCTCCTGATCGAACAACGTCAACAACCCCTCCTACCGCCTCACATAGCATAATTTGCTGTGACGGAACTGAATCGACATGTCTGCCGCCCAGCTTCTGAATCCGAAAGCCGAGTCAAGAGTACGAGCCAGCTCCCGCGACCCCATTGCCAGGGCTAACTCGGTGTTTATAGCGGCGCGGAGAAGCCCTCAAGATCAACATCAATGCTGGTGAAGGCCTGCAGGATGTTTTGAAGTCGAACCTGGGTCCCCTGGGGACCATCAAGATGTATTTTTCTCTCTCATTCCAGCATAACGGCGAAAACTAACTTCCGATTGCAGGCTCGTGGACGGCGCCGGACAGGTACTTGGCGACTTGGGTACCCATCCTGAAGAGAGCTCGATACTGACCGTCACAACATAGATCAAACTCACGAAGGATGGAAATGTGCTCCTGCGAGAGATGCAAATACAGCATCCCACTGCTGTAATGATCGCGAGGGCGGCAACGGCACAAGACGATATCTGTGGTGACGGGACAACGTCGGTTGTCCTTCTGGTTGGCGAGCTGCTGAAGCAGGCAGACCGGTACATCGCGGAGGGTTTACATCCTCGCATTATCACCGAGGGTTTTGAGATTGCGAAGAACGAGGCTCTTAAGGTACCATATCTACCGGACCGTACCGCCGAGAAGGGACAAGACCCTCTCTAACCTGGCCTGCAGTTCCTCGACGAGTTCAAGCTACCGAAAGAAGTCGACCGCGAGCTGCTGCTCTCCGTGGCGAAGACATCGCTTGCCACAAAACTCAATGCCACCCTGGCACACAAGCTAACACCTGATATCGTCGATGCCGTGCTCTCCATCTACCAAGCCCCGGCGAAGCCAGACCTACACATGGTTGAGATCATGAAGATGCAGCACCGCACTGCCGCGGATACCCAACTTATCCGCGGCCTTGCGCTCGACCACGGCGCCCGTCATCCAGACATGCCGAAGCGGGTGGAGAATGCTTTTATTTTGACCCTCAACGTCAGCCTAGAGTACGAAAAGTCGGAGATCAACTCGAGCTTCTTCTATTCCAGCGCCGAGCAGAGAGACAAGCTCGTCGATAGTGAGCGGCGCTTCGTGGATTCCAAGCTGAAGAAGATCGTGGAGCTGAAGAAGGAGGTCTGCGGCAACGATCCCAAGAAGAACTTTGTCATCATCAACCAGAAGGGCATCGACCCCCTCTCCCTCGATGTGCTGGCCAAGAACGGTATTCTGGCTCTCCGACGAGCCAAGCGGAGGAATATGGAGAGACTGCAGCTGATCTGCGGCGGTATCTCACAGAACAGTGTGGAAGACATGACTCCCGATGTGCTTGGTTGGGCAGGCCTTGTCTACGAACAGCAGCTCGGAGAGGAGAAGTACACATTCATTGAGGAGGTCAAGGACCCGAAGTCGGTGACTCTCCTTATCAAGGGTCCCAACCAGCACACAATCACCCAGGTTACCGATGCCGTGCGCGATGGCCTCCGGAGTGTCTACAACATGATTGTCGACAAGAGCGTGGTCCCCGGCGGGGGCGCATTCCAGGTGGCGTGTGCAGCCCACCTCAAGAGCGATGCCTTCTCCAAGACGGTCAAGGGCAAGGCGAAATGGGGCGTCGCGGCCTTTGCCGACGCGCTCCTCATTATCCCCAAGACGTTGGCCGCCAATGCGGGTCTTGACGTCCAGGATGCGCGTAAGTATCTGTCTGTCAACCGTTGTAGCGAGACCCTTTTCAACTGACAATACCCATCCAGTTGCCACCCTGCAGGACGAGTTCGCCGAGGGAGACGTGGTAGGCCTGGACTTGGCGACGGGGGAGACCATGGACCCGACGCTGGAGGGCGTCTACGACTCCTTCCGTGTCCTGAGAAACTGCGTCGCCTCGAGTTCGAGCATTGCCTCCAACTTGCTCCTGTGCGATGAGCTTCTGAAGGCTAGACAGATGGGACGGCAAGGAGGACCGGGACCTGGTATGGATGGACCTGAGGAGTAACAAGAGACGGAGCTTGTGTCTAGTCTGGCTTTTTTGTAAGATACCTAGGTTCATGCCTTTGATACACAAAAGGACAAAATAGTAGACCCCTAAGGAAAGACTAGGCTTGCGTCCAAATACTCGCCCGCACCTGCATCTACCATGATATCCAGCAGGTGTATTAAGCCAGCTGAGCAGGTCCCTTCACAAAGTCTCGTCGCTGTGGAAACTTATCTTAGCCTTATCTGGCTGAGCATGGAAGTGCTTGGATGGAGGGGCTTGCAGATTTACCCCGCCAAGTAGCTAGGTACTTCGAGATAGGCCACCTGAAAAAATTTGACCTATCTTGCGACCAGACTCACCAAGATCGGAATCCTGTTCGCGCTGTAAAATAAATGGCTTCTTACGACAGTGATTCCTCTGACGGGGGAGACCAGAACTACACGGAAACCGATGTACTCCTGGGTTACACATCTAAGGATCCCAAGGATGAGACTATAAGTCGCCTGGGCGGCAGACCAGTAAGCTCATTGCATTCCAGGCTCTTGATAGTTGCAGCTTGCCAACGCTGGCGATGATTTTAGGAATGGTTGAACCCGACGAATCCCCCCTCTGCCGCGCTGGCGAGATGCAAATCCTGCAAGGACCTCATGGTCCTGCTTCTCCAACTTAATGGCGAGCTCCCTGAACGATTCCCCGGCCACGATCGCCGACTATATGTCTTCTCGTGCAGACGGAAGACCTGCCGCAGGAAGGAAGGCAGCGTACGGGCCCTGAGAGGCGTGAGGGTCACAAAGGAAGCGGTCCCAGACACTATTTCGAAAGAGGCGAAGGAGGACAAGCCGCGACCATCTGCCCCCGTGGCGCCGCAGACCGGCCTCGGGGAGGCACTCTTCGGCGTGAAGCCCGCCGCCGGGGCTGCAGCACAGGCAAACCCTTTCTCAACCTCGTTGTCAAACGCAAATCCATTTGCCACGTCCTCGCCGTTGGCTGCGCCAAACCCCTTCGCCAAACCGTCCCCAGTCCCTGCTCCACAGCCAGCCAAGACTGAAGCCCCCAGCCCCAAACCCGACGAGGCCATAACCACCCTGCCCAAAACCTTCGCCGAGACCCTCTCCCTCAACAACCCCCAACCACAAGCTGGGCCGCCCCCACCACCCGAACCCTGGCCCGCAGAGTCCGCCCAACCAGCCCCCTACCCGACCAGCTGGCTCTCGGAAGCCGAGTACGAGACCCTCGACCCGACGCCCTCGCCGCGCGTCCCTGCCACCAGCACGGCCATGGACGTCGACTCGGGCGACACCGGCGGCGGCAAGGAGGACAAGGAGGTCTTCGAGAGCAGCATGGACGCGGCGTTCCAGCGGTTCGCCGACCGCGTCGGCCAGAACCCGGACCAGTGCGTCCGCTACGAGTTCGCGGGGGCGCCGCTGCTGTACTCCAAGGCCGACGCCGTGGGGCGGCGGCTCCATGCGGCAGAGGCCACCAAGGTCGTCGGCGCGGAGGCGGCCGGGTTCCCGCCGTGCGGGAACTGTGGCGCGCGGAGGGTGTTTGAGCTGCAACTTACACCGCATGCGATCGAGGAGCTGGAGGTGGAGGAGGATGGGCTTGATGGGATGGATTGGGGGACGGTTATTGTGGGGGTGTGTGGGAAGGATTGTCAGGAGAGGGGGGTGGGTGTTGGGGAGGCGGGTTATGTGGAGGAGTGGGTTGGTGTTCAGTGGGAGGAGCTGACTGTTAAGAGATGAGGGCCGGCCGGCTGTCGAGGCATGACTTGACGCCTTGTTGGTAGGTAGGTATTATGAACATATACATAGACTTGTTGCTGCTGGCTACGAGATTTGACATATGCCATACGATATCATGCAACACCATATCACGGATGCAGCCTTGAGGTTTTGTACAGTACGATGTGATGAAGTTGCGCATCAGGTCATTCATGACAATTACAATGAGAACGTCTAGTCATCTTTGCAGGCTGCCATTCATCCTGCCTGCCCTGTAAAACCCTTAAAACGCCAGAGCTTTTTGCCGCCAGATGCAGAAGAGTAAAAGAGCCAGTTTTGAGGCTCGTGTCACGGGGGGGGCATTGCAAGCATTAAAAAAAAGACTCGTTCCCCGACCATGATATCCGGACCTCAAGCTGCCTCCTCCCAACTCCTCTTAATCACCCGCGCAAACATGTTCACGTTGACGTCCTCCCTGATCTCCGACTTCTTCGCCTCGTTCTCCACGTTCCTCGGGACCTGAAACAGGCCGTCGGGGCCGGGCTTCCAGCCGCAGGTCTCGACGGCGAACTTTGTGACGTCGGCCTCGTCGAGGCCGAGCCAGGCCTCGAGGACGGCGAGCGGGACCTCGCGGAAGGCCTCGCTGACGAGCTGGGCGATGCGCAGGCGCACCATCTCCTCGAACCCGGCGATGTCGGTCGTCAGGTCGGCGTACAGGTCGTCGCTGTCCATGGTGGCCCAGAAGCGCGCGTACTGCGCGCCCTCGAGCTGCGCGTTGAGCGCCCGCAGCTTGCCCACCGCCTCGGCGAGCTCCGACGCCGCGCCCGGCCCAGGGTTGGACACCTGCGGGGACAGCAGGTGCAGCGCCTGGTCGAACTGGCTGCTGGGGAACTGCGTCATGGCCTTGACGAGGATGTTGGTGATGACCTCATCCTTGATGCGGTCGGGGTTGAGCTGGTATCTATGCAAGCGCGCATCCAGTGTCAGTCGGGTCGTGCGAGGGGAAGGAACATGACTATGGAGTTTGGTTGAAAAGCGTTTTGTGCAAGCAAGGGTCCGTCAGGAGTGTTTAGATGTTCGCTCATCGCGACGACCGAGGCTGTTTAGGCCCCGGGAATCGTTCGGTATAATAGGAAACGTTGACAATGGTTCATCATAGGAAGCCGAGCAAGCAAGTAAGAAGAAAACAGGGAAGAAGAGGGTATACATACAGCTTCAGAAGTGCCCGGTTGGCGTTGCAGTCACAGAATTTCTCCTCGCATTGCTGCTGCACGTATCCCTCGAGCATGCCAGCCGCCTCGGGATTGTACCGCTCCAGGCCGCCGATGATATTCCTGACAAAGTCAGGCCTCTCTGGGGGGTCTTCGCCGCTCATTTTGGGCAGAGTGTGGTTGGAAAGCCGGGGTTTGAAGAGAGATTTCCTTCAGTCTCTGCTGGCGGGGCCAGAAGTTCCATTTTCCTCGGAATGTGTGTGTGTGGCGCTAAGCTTGAAAGGGCTAGTGTTTAGTCAACCACTGGAGGATTGCGTCTAAGCCACATGTGGCGCGACCTAGAGCTCACCCAAGGCCATCATCAACGATGTGGTCAAGGTTGTAAACGGGTGTCAAGCCAGGCGTCTGACGGTTTGAATAAGAACAGTATGACTCTAAGCAGGATCCTATACCTCAGTTGACTTGGCTGGAAACATCCATGATTCCCTTGACATTTGACATCTGACATCATGGCGAGCCCAGCTAAGAAGCGGAAACTGAACAGCAGCAACTCAAAGCAAGCTGCCTTGCCATCAAAGGGTCTAGAATACTTCTTCTCCAAACAGAAGCAGAAGGGGGAGTCCAAATCTGTATCACCGGCCCATGAAGAGGATAAGGGTAAACCAGAACAGGAGCCACCACCCCAGCAGTTGACAGACGAGGAATTCGCAAGGAAGCTCCAGGCTGAATGGGACGAGGAAGCACGCAACGGCATAGCCCATGATAAACCTCAGACTGAGACCGAACGTGGCTCGCCGGCAAGTGCAGATATCAAAGCAGAACCAGCCCAGCAACCCCTTCAGCAACCTCCTGAGCCGACTGCCATTCCAACCAGAGCTGCGTCAGGCAAAACCGGAAACACCCTGTCACTCTCATCAGCTGCAGCAACAGAGGACCTTGCCTCGTCATCCATCCCTTTGGATGAGAGCCCACTCACGTTTGACACCTCAAAATACCTCCCTCAACTGCAAGGATCCTGGTCGGCAGAAGGTGGAGATGCATCCTACGCCCTGCTAACGAGATGCTTCGTATTGGTGAACGGTACAACAAGCCGTATCAAGATCGTCGATACACTTGTCAACTCCGTCCGGCTCCTCATCGAAGGCGATCCTTCCAGTCTCCTGCCAGCAGTATGGCTAGCCACCAACGCCATATCGCCCCCCTACATCTCCATGGAATTGGGCCTAGGTGGCTCCGCCATCTCCAAAGCCCTCAAGCAAGTCTGTGGGTTGGATAACCGGTCGTTAAAGGCTATCTACGACAAGCTCGGCGATCCCGGGGATGTGGCATTTGAGGCGAAGAAGAAGCAGAGCTTCACGCTGCGCAAGCCGAGGCCTCTGACCATTAAGGGCATGTACCAATCGCTGGTCAAGATAGCCAAGAATCAGGGCCCCGGCAGCGGAGAGGTCAAGCAAGGGTTAGTGGACCGGCTGCTGCAAGATGCTAGGGGTGGCGAAGAGAGCAGGTATATTGTGAGGACTTTGTGTCAACATGTAGGTGTGCCGTTTGTTTGCTCCATGGAATGGCGTGGCTAACTCGTCCAAGCTGCGCATCGGGGCGGTTAAAACGACGATGCTCATTGCATTGTCGAGGGCATTCCTCCTCTCCCGACCCGCTGGGGCGGACTTCCCGACCCGAGATCCAAAGGAACTGGCGAAACTCAAGAAGGAAGAACTTGCCGAGATATGGGCAAGGGGGGAGGAAATCGTCAAGGCTTCCTTTGCCAGACGCCCGAATTACAACGACATGGTCCCCGTCCTGCTCGAGATCGGTATCACAGAAGAGCTGCTCGTCCGATGCGGGCTCTCCCTGCATATTCCTCTTCGACCCATGCTGGGGAGTATCACGAGAGATCTCTCCGAGATGCTCACCAAACTCCAAGGGCGCGATTTCGCGTGTGAATACAAATACGACGGGCAAAGGGCCCAGGTACACTGTGACGCAGGAGGGAAGGTTTCGATATTCTCAAGGCATCTCGAGTTGATGACTGACAAATATCCCGACCTGGTGGCGCTCGTGCCCAAGATCAGGGGAGAGGGCGTCGAAAGCTTCATCATGGAAGGGGAGGTGGTTGCCGTAGATCGCCAGACGGGAGAGCTGAGGAATTTCCAGACCCTGACGAACCGAGCCCGAAAGGATGTCGAGATCGGCAGTATCACGATCGACGTCTGCTTGTTCGCATTCGACCTCATGTACCTTAACGGCGAGCCTCTCCTCGACCGGGCGTTCCGCGAACGACGAGAGTTGTTGCGGTCTCTCTTTGTGGAGATCCCGCACCACTTCACCTGGGTCAAGAGCATTGATGCCACGTCACAGGACTCTGAAGCCGTTCTGGAGTTCTTCAAATCGGCCACGGACGCGAAGTGCGAGGGGATCATGGTCAAGATCCTCGACAACCTCCCGGACCTGGAATATGCTGATGGCGGCGGTGGTGGCGCGGATGCAGAAGTTAGCCTACCCGACAACCCTGCCTCTCCTTCGAAGAAACCTACAAACTCCAAGCCAAAAGGCAGGAAGGGCAAATCCGCATCAGAAGGGCCCGCCTCAGAAAAGAAATCCAAGTCCCGGCGCAAGCCCCTGCTAGCGACCTACGAGCCCGACAAGCGGCTCGACTCGTGGCTCAAAGTCAAGAAGGACTACCACTCGAGCTTCGACACGCTGGACCTCATCCCTGTCGCGGGCTGGCACGGCCAAGGCCGCAAGTCCAAGTGGTGGTCGCCCATCCTGCTGGCGGTGCGCAACGAGGAGACGGGGTCCCTCGAGGCCGTGTGCAAGTGCATGTCCGGCTTCACCGACGCCTTCTACAAGGCCAACAGGGAGTTCTACGACGACGACGGTGAGCAGGGGAAGAACACGCACGCCCGCAAGCCCGGGTTCGTCGAGTACGCGGGCCATCCAGACGTCTGGTTCGAGCCGCAGGAGGTCTGGGAGGTCGGGTTCGCCGACATCACGCTCAGCCCGACGTACACCGCGGCCATCGGCCTGGCCAGCGAGGAGAGGGGGCTCAGCCTGCGGTTCCCGCGGTTCCTGAGGAAGCGTGAGGATAAGGGCATCGACGAGGCGAGCACGAGCGAATTCCTGGCCGGGCTGTGGAGGAAGCAGGAGGCGAAGACACCGACGGCGAATAAGAATGATGTTGCGGAGGAGGCCTTCAAGGAAGAGGATTGATGAGCCGTTATTTTACGTGGCGGATGCTCCTATCTTCTAACTCCCGAAAGCCGAAAACTAAGACCCCATGTCGGTTCGCCCTTACTCCTTCCATGCGCGATACACGATGTGGCACCCGTACTTCTCACCCTTCTTCAACAGCATCTGGCCCTTCCATCCATCGACATTGCAAGCATTCACGTAGCGGCTGGGCTCGACGCAGAAACCACTGCGCTTGCCCCGGGCCGCAACGCCGGCCACCTCGGGGACATCGATATACTTGCCCGTGTAGAACTGGAAGGCGGGCTCGGTGCTGTGCACTTCCAGGTTGATCTTGGAGCTGGGGTGGTGGGCAGAGACGAGCTTGGTGAGCGGGAGGGATCGGGTGTCGATGGGCACCTTGTCGGCGGCCTTGTCGATGACGAAGCAGTCGTCGATGTCGGGCTCCTCTGCCCCGAGTGTGAAAGCCTTGTTGCCCTCAACACCGCTGTAGGGTTTCGGGCCACCGGTGGGGATCCCGCCGTTGTCGACGGGGAGATACGAGTTCGTTGCGAGCGTTACGACGGTGCCTTCGATTGAAGGGCCGCCGCTGAGGTTGAAGTAGCTATCATTGCGGTCAGATTTGGGAGGCCGGCCAGTGGCAGAACGAACCACGGGCGAAGGTGTATCACGAAGTGCTAAACATACGAGTGGTTCGTCATGTTGATAACAGTCTCGTCCGCACCACCAGTCAGCTCGGCCTCATACTCGATGCCCAGCACGACTACATCTTTGCCGTCCTGAACCTGCTTCCCTACAGTGTAGACGACGCTGGCCTGGACGGTGCCGGGGAACCCCTCATCCCCATCCTCGCTGAGCAGGCTGAAGCGGACGCTCTCGGCGTCCCTCAAGCCCTCGACGCCGGGGACCTGTCTCGCGGGGGTGACAGGGGCGGGGCCCTGCCAGACGCGCTTCCCCCAGCCGACGGGGCCGCCGTGCAGGGAGTTGGAGCCGTCGTTGGCGGCGAGGGTGTAGGACTTGCCGCCGTTGAGGCTGTTGATGCGAGCCCCGGCAATCCGGTTGGCGACGCGGCCGATGGTCTCGCCGAAGAAGGGCCCGTTGTGGCTCACGTACAGCGCCTGGGTGGGGAAGCCCTGGACGATGTTGACGCCGCCGACGTTGAGCGTCTGGATGATGGCGCCGAGGGGCAGGAAGGTCACAGGGGCGTCCGCCATGTTTAAACTTTAGGTTACCTAGGTGGGTAGGTGTTGGAAGCGGAATGGATATGTGTAGGAATTGGGGTTGGGTGAACACTGTTTTGCGAATTGATCTGTTCTAACTTCTATGGAGGATGTGTCTGACAAGCAGCGAGGAGGAGACACTGATATGGTGCACGGCAAGAAACAAATACCGCCGACATGGCGAGGATATTCAGGCTATATTGTTTTTAGTTCATGTGGATGTGCAAGACGTTGCCCAGCACTCAAGCTGCAACTGCGGCGGATGAGAAAGTCGTGAGGTGGGGCAAATGCGGGGCACAAGGAAAGTTTTGGAGACGGACTGTGGATTACCCCTCAATGGAATGCCAGGTCTTCCTCCAAAACAGTGGAACCATGGGCTCTAGAAGAGAAGATCCCGTCAGCAAACTCAGTCACAAATGTCCCTAGAACTAGGTAAGGTAAATATCAAGCAGAGGGTAGACTGGTTCCACGTTGATACCAATTGCGTTCCCAGCCCGGAAACACATTTGATCAGCCTTGGCAGAAGTACCTACCACCTACCCAGAAAGTGGCCGTTTGACTACCACGTGATGGTCGTTGAGCGGACGAATTAAATAGGCATGTAACGTGAAATTCGGTGTCTTAACTGGGGCAATTAGGTTAAGGTGTAGAGCTTCTTGCCTTCCTTCTATCTTATTAGACTTTTTGGCCATGCTGTATGGTTTCCACCTGCCTACGTATGAAACGTACCTTCCCCAGTCCCTGTGCCTCGAGCCAACTGTCTCCAATCAGTCGGGCCAGGTGGCTGACCAGCTAAGGGCAGCGGGAATCTGCAGCGGCTCCCTTACCACCTAATACTTGGCTCGGTTTGCATCAATTAAGGCTTCCCTGCGTCAAACAAAAGCGCTCCCGCCACCCAGAACCCTAAAACCCCCAAGCTTGCTTGGGTTCACGGACAAAGCACGAAACTTGCCATCTTCCACGATAAAGGGACGTAAAGGGCCCTTTCCCTCTTCAAGTATAAGAGAGCTTGCCGTCTCCTCTTCATCATGTTTAAGATACAGGGCAGCTGCTACTAGGCCAGTCAGCCCCCGATATCTGATCAGCAAGCCTGGCCCACGTGCCGCTGTCGGCTCATCTCCACAGCCCCCAACCATGGCCGACAGTCCCATTACCACGCCGAAGCGGAAGCGCAGCCAGCTCCTTACCGATACGGCCCCGTCCTTAAACACCACCAAGTTCTCTTTCGCAGTGCCCCCGTCGTCGCCGGAGGATGGCAGCAACAGCCCCCGCACTAGAGTGGCCCACCGATTCCGCGGGCTTGCCCTCGAAGGTGGGGGCGGGGTCACGGATAAGGGTTCCGATTTCAGCCACGACGCGATGCAGGAAGACACAGATGTCGGCGTAAGGAAACGAGTGAGACTGCCCGAGGTGGACCAGCTCAGTCCCGAACTGTACGAGACACGGCAACTTGCAGCTGCTATTGCTGAGACACCTACGGAAGCCGCCGTTGCCTCGGAACCATTACCCGTCCAGGACGGAGCCAAAACGGATGAGGGCCAGGGAAGAACAGTCACCCATACCGACACCGTAACCACCCATCGGACTTTCCCTCTCGTGGCTAACGAGGCCGGGCACAAGCCGCGAAGCCCACGCGCTGCGTCTCCAAATCGCCCGCGATCCGGTTCGCCGCCCCTTACCACCTCAGCCTCAGCCTTGGAAGAAGGCGTCGTAGAACCCATCCGGGCAGCCCTGACGTGGCACGAGGACGAGATCACCGTCTACGACCCGGACGACAGCGACGACGACGGCACGGGCATCAACGGCATCGGGTTCAAGCCGACACCGGCGATCGCGCACGCGAGGACCATGAGGCGCAAGCAGCAGCTCGCCGAGTACAGGAAGCGCGAGGAGCGCGAGGCGAGGGCGCGGAGGAGCCAACGCCGGAGAGGCAGTCCCGCCGCTGGCATGGCGGAGGTAAAGGCGAGAGCTGAGCGGAGGAGGGTGAGGTTCATGGAGGCCGCTGGCTAGGGGGGGCGGGGCAAACCGCCTGATCGTTGACATCCGACATCCCAAACACACTTCTTTTTTCCCCCCTTTCCCGGGCCTTTGGCGGTTTTGATGATGGGTTCCGGGTTTGCTTTTGAATCTTGCTACGATCCAGATACGTACGGGGTTGGGGTGGCGTTCTGAGGATACCTACCTAACTGGTCCATGGCGTTTCTCTCTTGACCGCTTTTGTGTAGATGGAACCTACGCGGTATTTGATGACATGGCTTGATGCCCTAGGTTCTTGGGTTTTGGGTTTTGGGTTCTGAGGCTCTTGGGCTCTTTTTAATTATTGAGAATTATGGCACTTCCATGCATCCTTCTTGAATTCGATTTCCAAAAACACCGATGCTCCTCCGCCCCAGGCCATGCAGATTGCAGACCGCTGTACGGATACATGTCTTCCTTAATACATGTGACAAATATATACAGCTGGGGGATATGACCCCTGCCCAGCTCACCAAAACTTGTACCACCTCCTCTGCGCCTTCAGCCTCGCCTCCTCCTCCTCCCGGATCCGCTCCACCCTCCTCCTCTCCTCCTCCTTCTGCCGCGTCTCGGCCTGCTTCCGGTCGTACACCTCGACGACCCTCTTGATCTTGTCGCGCTCGCGCCGGCGGCGGTACTGACAGAACTCGAACTGCGCCACGGCGCCCGCGACACCGACGCCGACGGCCCAGTTGGCGGCCCGCGGCACCGGCGAGCCCATGACGAACCGCAGGAACCCGACCGCCGCGCCGCCCCCGATGCCCGTCAGGAACCCCTGCCGCGAGCACGGGTACTCGTGCACCGAGAGGAAGTCGTCCGCCTTGATGGTCCGCCACGCGTCGCCCAGCGTGGCGCGCTGTTGTTGCTCGAGTCGGGCCTTGAGCTGCTTGATTTCTTCCTCGGTTGGGAGGGTCAGCGGCTGGTTTGGCCCTGGTCGGGGGGCGCTGGGGGCTTGTGTTGGCGGCGCCGCCGGGGGAATTGGGGTTTGAGGCCCGGCATCTTGGGGTTTATCTTGAGCCATTGTCGAGTCAGGGGGTGGGAACCACCGTCAGACTGGAGGAGGGGGATGGTTGATGTAGTTAGACCTGGGGCTTCATCGAGCTGCTGAGATCGCACAGCTCCTAGGTAATGATCTACCCATGCAACAAAAAGGTGTGCTGTTGGAAATATGTGGAATCAGGCTGGGGAATTGACCACCCTGATCGATTTAACTGTTGCCTTGGGCAAGCCTGGAGTCAATGACCCTTCGGAAGGTAGGTACTTCTAGATAGCTTCTTTTCCTAGAGCTCAGGTTCCTTTTTCATTTCCTGGTCTTTCGATGTTGGTCTGTGCGCCCTGCATGGTGCCCCACCATTAGTGTCATTGAATAAATGGAAAGGACGTGCATAAGTACACAGAGACTTTGACGCGTCGCGCTGTCCAGGGGTCACGGCCCGCGCGCAGCGCGTCGTGCAAGTTTAATGGCCTGGGCCAGGACATTGTTGGACTGACTGCAAGACAGCACCTGCACAACATCCACAAGTCCAATTCCCCAATCCCTTGGTTACTAAAGTGCTTTTTCAAGTCTCCTTGCGACCAAAGTCCTTTTTCATGAATCCCATTGTTCACTTTCGCCCTCTAACTCCCCTTGCTGGAGAGATCTTGGCCTAAGAGAGACGGACTGTGTGGGCAGCTTGGGCGGCTGATTGTCCTCGATTTTCAAACATGCCCAACACCTCGCTCCGCCGGCCACAGAAAGGCTACCGCCGGGCCGGTAAATCTGCCTACCATGGCCCCAAGACACGCACCTTCGCCCCTTCGACCACCCGCCGCGGCGAGGCGACGTCAATGGACGAGAAGTGGGAGCGGACCGCCCTCGCCCACCGGATAGACGAGTCGATGGGCTTCGAGCGCTACGAGTCCGGCCGCAGGCGCGAGGGCTGGCTCGTCAACGTCCAGCCCACGTCCATTGAGGACGGGCGCGTGCCCGGTGGCGGCGGCCGCGCCGCCCTCGACTGCTACTTCATCGAGGAGGACGGCTCCACGTTCAAGGCGACGCTCGAGTACGAGCCCTACTTCCTGGTCGCCTGCCGGAAGGGCCACGAGGGCGAGGTCGAGGAGTGGTGCAAGCGCGTGCCGGGCGGCGGCGTGGTTAAGAGCGTGAAGAGGGTCGAGAAGGAGGACCTGCAGATGCCGAACCACCTGCTCGGCTACCGGCGAACCTTCCTGGAACTCCGGTTCGCGAATGTCCAGGACTTGTTGTCCGCGAGGAGGGACATCATGCCTATTGCGGAGAAGAATAGGAAGGGGATGGACGCGATGGATACCTATGCCGAAGTCGCAACGTAAATATCTCCCTTGGCCTTATTGTCGCTTTGTGGGGACTGGCAGAGAACTGAACTGACTGTTGTGCAGAGCAAATGCCGGCTTCGACCTTTTTGATGACGATTCACGAGATGACGAGAGACGGCTCAACACTTCGTTTGCCGACGCGAGCGATTTCCTTGTCGATATACGGGAGTACGACGTTCCATACCATGTTAGAGTAATGATTGATATGAGTATGTCGCGCCCAAGGAGTGTCCAATCTGTTGCTGGACCAAACTAACACAAGGCATCTAGATATACGGGCTGGAAAATGGTACTTTGTTGAAGCGAAGCACGGCGTCACGAGCATTATTTGCAACGAGGAACGCCTCGCCCCGGCGGATCCCGTGGTCATGGCCTTTGATATTGAGACGACGAAGCAGCCACTGAAATTTCCCGACGCAGCAATGGATCAGATCATGATGATATCGTACATGATCGATGGCCAAGGGTTCCTCATCACGAACCGCGAGATTGTGTCGGAGGATATTGCGGACTTCGACTACACCCCCAAACCAGAATACCCGGGACCCTTTATGACCTTTAATGAGCCCGATGAGAAGGGCGTCCTCGAGAGGTTCTTCCTCCACATCAAGGAAGCTCGGCCCACAGTCATTGCCACTTACAACGGCGACTTCTTCGACTGGCCGTACGTTGAGACTCGGGCTAGTGTCAATGGCATTGACATGTACCACGAGATCGGATGGAAGAAGGACAGCGAGGACCAGTTCAAGTGCAACTATAGCGTGCACATGGACTGCTTCCACTGGGTAAACCGAGACAGTTATCTTCCCCAGGGTAGCCGTGGCTTGAAGGCTGTCACCGTCGCCAAGCTGGGATACGACCCCGACGAACTCGATCCAGAGCTGATGACGCCGTATGCCAGAGAGCGGCCGCAGACCTTGGCCGAGTATTCCGTCTCCGACGCCGTTGCGACATACTACCTGTACATGAAATACGTCCACCCTTTCATCTTCTCCCTCTGTACGATCCTTCCCCTCGGCGGCGACGACGTCTTGCGGAAAGGCACGGGTACCCTCTGCGAGATGCTGTTGATGGTCCAGGCGTATATGAAGGAGATTGTGCTGCCAAACAAGCATATTTCGCCAAAGGAATCCTTCTGGGAAGGCCACCTCTTGGACTCGGAGACTTATGTGGGTGGCCACGTCGAGAGTATCGAAGCCGGTGTCTTCCGTGCCGATATCCCGGTCAACTTTGCCGTGGATCCAACGGCTATCGACGAGCTGCTGCGGGACCTCGACGCCGCACTGATCTTCAGCATCACGGTCGAGGAGAAGAAGGCTGTGGAGGATGTCGAAAACTACGACGAGGTCAAGGAGCAGATCGCGGCGAAGCTGAGGAGCTTGAGGGATACACCTAACCGGCACGAGCGGCCCCTAATCTACCACTTGGACGTTGCGGCCATGTATCCGAATATCATGACGACGAACCGTCTGCAGCCTGATTCCATGATCCAGGAGTCCGACTGCGCAGCCTGTGACTTCAACCGGCCGGGCAAGACGTGTGACAGGCGCTTACCTTGGGCCTGGAGAGGAGAGTATCTGCCCGCAAAGCGAGACGAGTACAACATGATCAGACATGCCCTGGAGAACGAGAGGTTCCCCGGGAAATACCCCAACAGCCCGATGCGCACGTTCCAAGAACTGCCTTTGGAGGAGCAGGCCAACCTCACCAGGAAACGGCTCCAGCTCTATTCGCAAAAGGTCTATCACAAGATCCGCGAGTCGACCACTATCGTCCGAGAAGCCATCATCTGTCAGCGCGAGAACCCCTTCTATATCGACACGGTGCGAGACTTTCGAGACCGGCGATACGACTACAAGGGCAAGACAAAAGTTTGGAAAGGGAAGACCGAGTCTCTTAGGTCTGCAGGAGCATCGTCTTCAGAGATTGACGCGGCAAAGAAGATGACCATCCTCTTCGACTCCCTACAGCTGGCACACAAGGTCATCCTGAACTCGTTCTATGGCTATGTCATGCGAAAGGGGTCTCGATGGTACTCGATGGAGATGGCGGGTGTCACCTGCTTGACCGGAGCCCACATCATCCAGCTGGCGAAGGAAATGGTGGAACGCCTGGGCCGTCCTCTCGAACTGGACACGGACGGTATCTGGTGCATGCTGCCAGCAAGCTTCCCGGAGAATTTCGCCTTCAGGTTGAAGAATGGCAAGAAGCTGACAGTCTCGTACCCCTGCGTCATGTTGAACCACCTCGTCCACGGCAAGTTCACCAACGACCAATATCAGACGCTCTCCGATCCAAAGACGTTCAAGTACGAAACGCACAGCGACAACACCATCTTCTTCGAGGTCGATGGTCCGTACAGGGCCATGATCTTGCCCACGTCGAAAGAAGAGGACAAGAACTTGAAGAAGCGGTATGCCGTCTTCAACGATGACGGCAGCCTGGCCGAGTTGAAGGGCTTCGAGGTCAAGCGGAGAGGAGAGCTGAAACTCATCAAGATCTTCCAGCAGCAAATCTTCAAGTTCTTCCTCGAGGGCACCACGCTGTCCGAATGCTATACGGCCGTTGCTAAAGTAGCTAACCAGTGGTTGGACGTGCTCCACAACAAGGGCACGACGCTTGCGGACGAGGAGCTCATCGAACTCATTTCCGAGAACCGCAGCATGAGCAAGACATTGGAGGAGTACGGGACACAGAAATCAACGTCCATCACCACGGCAAAGCGGCTGGCCGACTTCCTTGGCGAGCAGATGGTCAAGGACAAGGGGCTGAACTGCAAGTTCATCATCTCGTCGCGGCCAAAGAACGCGCCGGTGACGGAGCGTGCCGTGCCGGTGGCCATCTTCTCGGCCGACGAGCAGACGAAGCGATCTTACCTCAAGAAGTGGCTCAAGGAGGAGCCTGCCGATACCGACCCGCGCGCCCTGCTGGACTGGGACTACTATTTGGAGCGTCTGGGCTCCGTCATCCAGAAGCTCATCACGATCCCTGCCGCGCTGCAGAAAGTGCGCAACCCAGTCCCGCGCGTGCCGCATCCGGAGTGGTTGCAGCGCCGCATCAACGTCAAGGACGACAAGATGAAGCAGAAGAAGCTGACGGATCTGTTCGGGGCTGCCACCAAGGGCGGCCCTCTCGAGGACATCACGAACATCAACACGAGCCCGCGAATGGGCGATATGGAGGACTTTGGAAGCAAGCTGCTCAAGCCCAAGACCATTGGCGCCGCCATATCGGCGTCACAGAAGGCACCGGCCACTCAGAAGAGGAAATCGCCGGAGCCCACATCGGCGGAGAGCCAAGATCCAGCAGCAGCACTGCCAGAGAAAATGCCGTCACCGAGCGAGGATTACCCTGCCTTCCTGGAATATCAGAAGCTGAAGTGGAAGCTGCAAAAACAAGCCAGGATAAGGCGGCGGCATCTCTTCGGCGAGCGGCGAGGCAACGCGCAGAATAACATTCAGCAGACGTTCCGGAACCAAGCTGAGATGACGTTCAGGAACACGTGGCAACTGCTGCAGTTGAAGACGTCAGACACGCCCGGCACCGTCATCGCGTACGTGCTGATAGACGCCAAGATCCACGCCTTGAAGATCCAGGTCCAGCGCCAGGTCTTCCTCAACCTGAAGAACAAGGAGCTACCGGACATTGAGATCGACGGGTGCATCGTGGAGCAAGTCAACCACACGCTCCCCAACGGACACCCGTCTGTCCATCTCTTCAAGCTGACGGTGCCCGAGGAGACGTACTTCGCCGAGGCGGAGAAGTTCTCACTCCTATTCAACCACCCAAGCGTCGAGGGGGTGTACGAGAAGCAGCTGCCCTTGAACATCCGGGCCGTGCTTCAGTTGGGAAGTCTCTGCACCATTGATGAGAGCCAGCCGGGAGTGCTTGGCAGGGGCTTGGAACAGGGGTTCGACCTCTCCTCCCTCAAGCGACCAGCCAAACGGAAGACTTACCTCGAGGCTTCCAACATGGCGTACATCTATCTCTCCCATATCAGCGCCGGCGATCGTCAAATCTTTGGCATCTTCTCTACGACCAGCGACCAAGCTCATGTCGTGATTCTTCACAAGAATAAGGAGAGCGGAAAAGAGCTGCCAAACATCTCCAAGCTGTACTCGGACCTCCTGGATCGGCGGAAGGAAGAAGAGGATGGGAATGCCTGGCAAGAATGTTTCCCGTATCAGGACAAGCTGGCCTTCAAGATCTCTCAAATCACCACGCGGCGCAAGGCGTTCCTTGAAATCGGAGACATTGTCAGAAAGATGAAGAAGGACGAGCCACGGCCGACCTTGATGGTGATCCAGTCATCGCAGCGGAATCTCCTCGTCCACGACATTCCCATCCTGGGCGAATTCCCCGTCTTGCCGCTTAAGTACGACCAGGCCGACAGCTCCCTCCCTCCCCTGGGTTGGCAGCTGGTTGTTGCTCGCCGACTAGTCAATCACTACCTCGGCCTGGGCTCCTGGATCATGCACATGACCGCCCTGGCCCGCTATGGCGACGTCCCGCTCTGCAACCTCGAGCGAGATGATCCGCGATTCCTGATCGACGTGGCGTATGCGCGCCGGCTCCAGGCGAACAACGTGGTGCTATGGTGGTCGCCGTCTCCGCGGCCAGACCATGCCGGCTACGAGAAGGACGACGTTGTCGGCCCGCTGGAGACGGTCCAGATGCCTTCGGTCAACACCCCTGGCACCTACGCGTCGGTTTGCATCGACATTGACGTTCGCAATCTCGCCATCAACACCATCCTGACGTCGTCCCTGATCAACGAGCTCGAGGGCGGCTCTGAGAGCATCTCGTTCAACCCGGCATCCGACACCACGGGTGCTTCGGACGGGAACGAGGTCCTCTACTCGGAGAACGCCTTCGCCAACGCGGGCGTCCTCGTGCTCCGGGAGATGGTCAAGGCCTGGTGGGCGGAGGCGTGCAGGGGCTCCACCATGGCCGACGTCATGGTGCAGCACCTCGTGCGCTGGGTCGAGTCGCCCGCGTCGTGCCTGTACGACCACGCGCTGCACTACTACGTCCAGATGATGAGCCGCAAGGCGCTGCTGCAGCTGATGGCCGACTTCCGCCGCGTGGGCAGCCAGGTCATCTTCGCCAGCTCGAACCGCCTCCTCCTGCAGACGACCAAGGCCGAGGTGGGCACGGCGTACGCGTACGCGCAGTACATCCTCAAGAGCATCAAGGGCAAGCCGCTGTTCCACTTCATTGACCTCGAGATCAAGGAGTACTGGGACTACCTGGTGTGGTACGACGAGTTCAACTACGGCGGCAAGGCGTGCCAGGAGGTGGCCGAGCGGGACGAGCAGGACCTGCAGATGATCATGCACTGGCAGATGGCAACGTTCCTGCCCGCGCGCCTGCAGCCCGTGTTCAGCGACTGGGTCGTCGAGTTCGTCCAGCTGATGCACGGCATCAAGCGGCCCGCGACGGGGAGCGACCCGACGGCGACCCCGCGGCTGACGCAGCTTCCGATCCGCGGCTCCGGCAGCAACAACAATAACACCGACAACAACAACGCCGGCCTGGGCGAGGGCGACGACGGCCAGATCATCCTCGGCAAGGCGTTTGAGCGGCCCCTGAAGAAGGAGATCGCCGCCCTGCTCAACACGCAGAAGCGCGAGATGCTGCACCCGGAGCTGGCAGGCGACTACGCCTTCCCGCAACTCCCCGGGTCGCACCTGGCGCACCTCTCTCCGGGGGGTGGTGACGGGGGGCCAAGTGGCAGCAGCATGAAGAAGAAGGGCAAGACTGGCGGCGGGCGGGCGTCGGCCAACCCGGTGCTGGAGCTCGTCAAGTGCCTGATGCAGGTGCTCAGCCTGGACAAGAACATCACGCTCGAGGCGCGGCTGCTGCGCAAGGAGCTGCTGGTCATGTTCGACGTGCGCGAGTTCAGCCGCGACGGCGCGTTCCAGAACCCGTCTGAGAGCCTGCGGCTGGAGCAGCTGAGCTGCGAGAACTGCACCATGGCGCGCGACCTCGACCTGTGCCGCGACGAGGACCTGCTGCTGCTGACGACGGAGGGCGAGGGGAAGGCCAAGGCCGCGGCGTGGAGGTGCGGGTTTTGCGACGGCGAGTACGACCGCATCGAGGTCGAGGAGAGGCTCGTCGCGTCGGTGGAGGCGCTGGTGGTGGAGTGGGCGACGCAGGACCTCAAGTGTCGCAAGTGCGGCGCCCCGAGGGTCAACGAGTTCATGGAGCACTGCACTTGCAGCGGCGGCTGGGGCGAGAGCGTCGGGCGGGAAGGGATCGTCGCGAGGCTCGGGGTGTACCGGAACGTGGCAAGGTTCTACGGGCTGAGGATGCTGGGGGATGTTGTTGAGGGGGTGTTTGCGGGGCTTTGAGGGGGCTTTCCTTTTTTCCTTCTCGCCGGCGTTGAGGTGTCTGAGTGAGTGCATGCATGGGAGGTCCGTCATTCGTCAAGTTTGGTTTGATACTCTGGCATAATAGATACGAGTTTAACGAGTGCTCCTTGGGGGCGTGATATTCCACCTCAGTATGTCTGCATATGCCAGTCGGGCTTATCTGATAAGTCAGGGGCAAACTCCTCCCCTTTCTTCGTTCTTGTGACAAAAACATCAACCTATATAAGACGATCCTAACACAAGCTCCCGGCCAACCACCATTTAACCCGGGTTCAACCCTTGATATGCAAGATCCATGCCATCTATTGTGCCAACCCACTGCCTATGCCATTCCGTATCTTCCCTTAACGCCGACCCGAATGCCCAGATCCCAAAGTCAAAACAAAGTAAGATAGTAAACCCCTCCGTATTATTCACGTCCCACGGCTTGCTTCACAGCGCAAACACGGCAAACGCGGCAGCGGCCCCCATGGCGCCCATGGCGACGTCGGTCCTCGCGGCGACGTTCCCGGTGGCTGTCTGGCTGGTCGTCACCGTGGCCAGCGCGGAGGTGACGAGGTTGGACGCAGAGGCCACGTCGGACGGGTTCGGGTTGTCCTTGACGGCGCTGCAGATCTCTGGCGCTACGGACTGGGCCTCTATTTGGTTTGTGTCAGATCGGCATACAACAACTCCACGCCTCTTTTTTCATCATTGAAGGCTAGTTGGGGGTGGGAGGGGCTTGGGGGCTTACTGTTCAGGTCGGAGCTCGAACAGGCGCCCAGCAGGAGGCATGGCGCGATCTTGGAGACCAGCTCCGAGGAGCTCGCGCACAGGCACGAGAGGTTGGCGGCGTCGCAGCCGATGTCCGACGCCGCCAGCGAGAAGCACCGCAGCGCGCAGTGCGGGAGCTGGGCGACGAGGCCGGCGACGCCGGTGGCGGTGGTCGTCGGCGCCGAGGAGGAGATCGTCGGTGACGATGCAGGCGTCCCGGTCGACTGGGACTGGGCGGCGGCGAGGCCGAGGAGGGAGAGCGAGAGGAGATTGCGGAGCTGCATGCTGAGGATGCTGTGTGTGCGGCTCTCTCGGTTGGGGTGGTATGGTTGTAGGGTAGGGTAGGGTCTGTCGCTGACAGACGAGGAGGAACGTGGAAAATCACACAAGGCAGTCGAACCGGTAAGTGACACTGAATGAAATATGTAGGAACAAACGGAAATATATAGCCTATTTTACGCCCCCGGGTAGACAAGTTAAAGAGTTGGAGGATGATGCACAGAAGGAGAGCAGCTCAGCAGCTCAGGGTCGAATAAGTACACCTAGGAATACGAAACGGGGTCCAGACCCTTGTTTCCAAACACGCCGTCAATTAACTGACACAGCCTCATCGGGAGCTCCTTTACATCCTACTGGACAGAGAGCTTCGGTGATCTACGGTGAGTGGAGGAGCCCACATCGACGCGTGGCAGGGTAAAACTGACGTCATGCCGAGAGAAATGCCTATTCATAGCTGAGCCCCACTTTCCTCACCTGGCCTCACCGAGGTGAGAGCTTCCGTGAGGCTGCCTTTGTCCTTCACCTCGCGCTTGGCTCGCTGGAGAGCGCTGTCTTGCCTGTAGTCTTGCCTTTCCTCCCAAGGAGGTCTTTTGGGGCTTCTTTTAGGGCGGACCCTTGCGGCCTTTCCCAGGCAGGGCGAAGAGGTCGCCCTTGTCCTTTTCGGGTACGCAGTTCAAGGGATGATTGAAACTCTACCTTGAATCAAGCTGCGACCCGTCGGAGCTTGGAGATGGGGGAATCGAAGGGTGACTCACAAACCCTAAACCAAATTTCTTTCCAAACTCTAATGAGTTCTTCAATATAAGTAGAGAGAGACTATTAGACGAAAGTGAGAGGCCACTTCTCCAACGTCATACCACCATGTCAAACGCAGCTACGATGCACAGCCTTTTTGGATCTCCCCCGCGAGCTAAGAGACATCATTACAGATTTCCTTGCCGAGGTAGAAGATATCGCGGCCCTCATGCATACCTACCGCCAACTGCGTGCCGAAGTCCTATCTCGCCTGCCGGGAAGTCGCTTTATCGGCTACCAAGACGACGAAGATGAACTCAGACAACAAATCCAGGAATCCATCAATGGGAGACCCTGAACATTATTGCTGGACCATGGTACTCCTCTGGATCAGCCCTGAAATTCGAGCTAACTTGGAGACCAACGGAAGGCGGGTCCGATAGATTGAGAACCTCCCGCTGGACTATCCGCGATCTATCGTCACCAATGGCAAGATACATCTACTTCTATCGACCCGAGGCCATCTCAATCACATTCGAAGCAGCCACTGCCGGCTACTTCCATTTTGCGCGCTTAATCTTGCGAGCGAAGGTGTTCGACGTCTGCCGGATCCTGACTTACATGTTGAGTCAAGGCCGCTGGTCTTGGACTCGGGCGCTGAGTATTCGGTTCCTCGGTGGAAAGGATCCAGACCGTCCGGAGCTACCTCGCAAGTCATTTTGGGAGATGCGCCCGCGCATGATTCTCCCAAAATGGATCGTTCTCCACGACAAACGAATCTCCAACCCAGGAGAAATCCACAAAGTTGCGAGGAAACCTGATTCCCTGGAGATGCTGGGGGGAGGATAGCACCATGAGAGAGCAGTACATTCAATGGGCTCTTGACGGATAGAAAGCTGCAGTCTAGTCATTTCCCGCGGGTACATGATGGTTATTCAAAAATAAATCTCTTGCATTGGCTACAAGGTGTCATTTGTAGTAATAATTACCTTGGTACCATGTTTGGTCTGTGAACCCTCAGTCCTACGTCGGTTCACACTAGTAATCTGCCCCTACCTATCTCAGGGGTGCGGCCCTGCTGAGCATTTCACAGCAGGAGGGAGCAATTGCCCAGTAAACTCTATCCCCAATGCTGCCCTAGTTGGCCACTGCCCACTGGTTCCTTCCTGTCTTAGGTAGGTAGGTCATGGTGTCCAACTTCGCCTCCTTGAAATTGCATTTGGCATATATTTGGGCAATAACGACTAACAGCAATGGTATAGCAACCAACAGCGACGGTAATAGCAAATAACAGCAACGGCAATAGCAACTGACTGTGACAGCAATAGTGATTGACAATAACGGCAAGAGTGACAGACAGTGACCTCAATAGCATTAACAGCAGTCTAAAGATACTGCCGTCTGCTAAAAGTCTCCTAGCCTGGTAGCAACTGACGCACGAGTAGGAAACTGCCCAGGCCCGCGCAGCAAGACTCTTCTTGAATACTTATTGTTGTGTAATAAACACTGATACTACATGGTGCCTTGGCACTGGAACCTGACACGCAAGTGCATGTCTGGAATGTACATCTAGCTTGGCAATTTGGCATGTAGTGTAGACTTGCATACATCCGTACTAGGTATGTTGCTGACGCGGAATGTCGATTGCCATACACCCGACATCTACCAGGAACCTATGCTTTCCGTTTCTAGGCACTGCCTACCTAAGAGATATAATTACATCGTTATTCATGTGTGTCGTTGTGTTACGCAATTAGTTGTCTCTTTGACAGGCTCTCGAACATAGTTAACAGCAGTAGAAAGCTAGCAGAACCGTTGTACACGGTATAAACTGACTACAGCATATATAAGGCAGGTAGTTGAGCTTCGATTCTAACTGGTAAAGCGGGTATGCTCGGAATGAGGATATGACTGACGCTCTTATTGGTAATGGCGACGGACATCCGTACATTCTCGCGATTACACAACAGTGACTCGTCTAACGCATCGCATGCCGCTCTCCGCAGCGATCTGCGGCGTCGGGTATGTGGGATGGTGACTCAAATAGCGGCGTGCTGCTGTGGCCAGCCCTCGATACTTCCCGCTCCCTCCATTTTCTGCATACTGCGTACGCATTATAACATGCGATCTCCACCATCAACCCTGTCCCACTTATATACCAACCAACTCCAAGTCCCCCCTGAGAACACACAAAATGTCGGAGAAGCCACTCCCAGACTTCCCTCCTACTGCCGACCTATGTACTGAAGTCTACCGGCCCTTACCTATCGTCCCTGAGCTCCCATCAGAAGCGAGCGGGGATGGGGCAGCCGTGATCGGTGCCCAAGTCCTGTTTGACCTCTTCGACTCGCTACAGGCATCTGACTCGCCGAGCCTTGCTAGTCAGTTCCTGGACGACCGGGCCTACTGGCGAGACACCCTGGCCTTCACTTACCACCTGCGGACCTTCAGCGGCCGAGAGGCCATCGCCAAGGTCCTACTTGAGCTGAACCCACGGCGACAAAGCAGGGACTTTCTGATCGTCCCTGGATCGGCCATGTCTGTCTCTGCGGGCCCTTCGCTTGTGAGTGCACGGTTATAAGGGGGATTGTGTTTCTGGGGTTGAAGATCGTGACTCTTCTGACAACTTTCAGGGGTGGGTCGAGTGCCGCTTCACCTTTAAGACGGACTCCCCAAAAGCCACCTGCGGCGGAAGGATGATGCTTCTCCCAGACATCCGTGATGGCGATACGGCTGATTGGAAGATCTGGGTTCTGTCCACGTGGCTTATCGACTTTGACGACTTCCTACCGGATGAGAGCAGGCTCACGGCTCCCTCAAGAGTCCCAAGTCTCGCCAGCCAGGAGAAGTTCGAAACTGATGTTGTAATTTTTGGAGCTGGCAACAGGTACGAGGCCAGTTCCAAAGCCCAAAACTGCCTGGAAGGGGTGATTGGTGCTGACTGACGCTCACGCTGTACTAGCGGTCTTGTTCTAGCTTCGCGTCTCAAAGCACTCGGCATGAACTACGTCCTGGTCGAGAAGAATAAGCATATCGGCGACAACTGGGCGCTGAGATATGATGCCCTGCGTTTCCATACCGGAAATGGCTTTTGCGAGACGCCCTACCTGCGTAAGCTAAGAAACCCGGGAAGCAATGGGGGGAATCAAGTCACTAATGATCAATTATTCTCCCGTAAAAGCATACCCCAAGCATGCCACCGTGGGGCTTCACAGGGACGACCTAGCCGACCAGATGAGGCGGTTCGCCAGGGCGTTTGACTTGGGACAGGATGTGCTGCACTCGACGACCATCCGGTCAACCTCGTATGACCCGGAGCGTAAAAAGTGGACGCTGACCTTGAGCCCATCGGGGAAGGGCATCGAGTGCAAGCACATCGTGCTGTGCACAGGTATCGGCTCGTGGGCCCCGCATGTACCCGAAATCCCCGGCCTGGAGACGTACCAAGGGGTCGCCATCCATTCGGCCGACTTCAAGAACGGCAGGGATCTCGCAGCCCAGGGCGTCAAGGTAAGCCTTAAATCCTTCGATATTGGACACAATAGCACAATGAGTAATGGCGATTTCTGACCCACTCCAGTCCGTCATTGTAGTCGGCTCTGCAAACACCGCCTTCGACGTCTTGGAGGATTGCTTCAACGCCGGCCTCAAGACGACAATGATTCAGCGCTCACCAACATACATCATCCCCATGGCGTATCTGCTGCACCCGAACGGGTTCGGCATGTTCGACTATCACCCAGTCGACATCGCAGACCCAGCCATGTTTGCAGGACCGCTGGCGATCGGGGGACAGCTCATCGGATTGCTGCACGCATCCCTGGCATCTCAAGAACCGTGAGTGCGGCGGGACACCCCTCCGCCCCCTTTCATTTTCTTGGAAAGAAGGACTCCGCCTAACAGCCTACTCCACCTCAAGAGACCGCTACGCACGCCTCGCCAAGGCGGGCTTCCAAGTGCTCGACAGCACGCAGACGAACCTCACGAGCAACCTCGCGGAGCGGCAGGGCGGGCACTTTGTCGAGGTCGGCACCGGCGTCGAGCTACTGTCCACGGGCAAGGTGGGGATCCGGTCGGGCGTCACGCCGGCCCGGTTCACAGCCACGGGGCTGCGGCTCGGCGACGGCTCGGCGCTGGACGCGGACGCCGTCGTCTGGTGCACGGGGTACAGGGACGCGGACGTGCGCAACGTCGTGGCCGACGTGCTGGGGGAGGGCGGCGCCGAGGTCAGGGACCGCATGGACGGGACGTGGGCGGTTGATCGCGAGGGCGAGCCCCGCGGCGTGTGGAAGAGGCATGCGAATGTCGAGGGCTTGTTTGTCTTGGGCGGCGGGACGGGGTTTCAGAGGTGGTACTCCAAGATTGTGGCGCTTCAGATCAAGGCCGATGTGGAGGGCATCCTGCCCGATGCCTATAGGGAGTAGGTGCCACCCCTGACCGAACCCAGGACCACGTGCTTGGTGCAAGTGCCCCTATTTTTCTTATGATGCCGAAAGCCACCTTCCCGGAGTGTGGATACATGGGTTGTTTTGAAGAATCACAGGATATAGCTCCATTATCAGTAGGATAACAACAAAGTCACAATAGGCAGGATTGCAATCGCAAAAAAAGAGGACCAAGGAAATCTGCCGGGGAACGCGGTTCAAAGTATCAAATTCTGGACTTCTCCAAATGCTGTGCCCCGCGGCGTAATCCGATCTATTTGTTGTGGCCCGTGCGTTTCCAAGACAACAAGGTTTCCGTGCATCTCGGGAATCCATCGCCCGTCTTTTTCCCTCACCCCCAAACTTTCTGTTGTCGGACGGCATTGGACCACCTTATTGGACAGCACTCTCTTCCCCGGAAGGGATTCATGTACTGCAGCCCAGCTCGCGTCCAATAGTCGCAACCCGTCCTTTAAAGTTTGCTCAACTCGCGCTGAGAATTGCAACTGCTGCATTGTTTACGCAATGTCAGGCAATACGATGAGAGGGACGCCCAATCGTGGCCAGTCCCGCGGAGCCATCCCCTTCACTGGCAGCCCCGCCAACTCGAACATCCCAAGACCCGTGCTCGAGACCGCTCATGCAAGCACCAGCAGCGAGGCCGGTGCATCTAGCCTCAGTGCCAGCAGGCAAAAGCAGACCAAGAGAGACGAGGTGCGTCGTTGCAGCTCGCGTCCCCGCTCCCCTCCTCCCGTCTTTGCCCCCTCGCCTCGTCACTAACTGTCGTCTTGTTCAAGGCCATCCGCCGCAAGATGGAAAATGACCTCTCCAAGAAGAAGAACCTCACGAGCCGTGCTCGACACTCCCGAAAGGCTCCTCCCGGCACCGTGCTTGCACTGAAGCCCAGCCAAGCCCTCCAGATCAAGCCGGCCACAACCGTAGCCGAGGCTGCCCAGCTAATGGCTGCGAAGCGGGAGGACTGCGTCCTGGTAACCGATGACGATGACAGGATTGCCGGCATCTTCACAGCCAAGGACTTGGCCTTCCGGGTCGTGGGCGCCGGCCTCAAATCAAACAGTGTCACCATTGCCGAAATCATGACGAAGAATCCCCTGTGTGCCCGGACGGATACGAGTGCGACGGATGCCCTAGATCTCATGGTCCGCAAGGGATTCCGGCATCTTCCCGTCATGGACGAGAACCAGGACATCTCGGGCATTCTGGATATCACAAAATGCTTCTACGACGCCATGGAAAAGCTGGAGCGGGCTTATTCCTCCTCCAGACGGCTATATGATGCCTTGGAGGGAGTTCAATCCGAGCTCGGGACCAGCCAGCCGCAACAGATCATCCAGTATGTCGAGGCCCTGCGATCCAAGATGTCTGGGCCGACGCTTGAGTCCGTCTTGAACGGCATGCCTCCCACGACTGTCAGCGTGCGCACCTCAGTCAAGGAGGCGGCGCAGTTGATGAAGGAGAATCACACAACGGCAGTCTTGGTCCAGGATCAGGGGGCTATTACGGGTATCTTCACCAGCAAGGATGTCGTTCTGCGTGTGATTGCGCCGGGCCTCGACCCTGCGACCTGCAGTGTTGTCAGGGTCATGACGCCGCACCCAGACTTTGCACCCGTGGATATGACCATCCAGGCTGCTCTCCGCAAGATGCACGGTTGGTCCACCCCCCCAAGTATTTCCGGCCGTGCCTGAACTAACGGTCAAAACAGATGGCCACTATCTGAATCTCCCAGTGATGAACGAGTCAGGCGAGATCGTCGGTATGGTCGATGTTCTCAAGCTCACCTATGCGACGCTTGAGCAGATCAACACCATGTCCAGCGGTGACAGCGAAGGACCTGCATGGAACAAATTCTGGCTGTCCCTCGATCATGAAACCGAGTCTATGGTGTCCGGCGACGGCTCCTTCCAGCACACGCATCCAGGGCCTCGCTCCCTCATGTCTCCCGACATTACTCGGAGTGAACGCATCGTTGATAGTCTGGCCCCGGGCGACTCGGCCAGCCACGCAGGGGCCGAGTCTCCCCCGCATAGTGCCCTCGCCCCCGTTCTCGAGCTGCCACCGAGCGAAGTGCCGTTCCCGTTCAAATTCAAGGCTCCGAGTGGCCGGGTGCACCGCCTCCAGGTCACCGCAGCTCAGGGTATCGCCGAGTTTGTTGCGAACGTGATGTCCAAGCTCGGCTCCGAGGTGGATGCCATTGGCGGCGCTCCCTTTGTCGAAGATGGCAAGCTTGGGCCGGGCGGCTGTGCTCTCAGCTACCTCGACGACGAGGGCGATTCTGTCTCCATCACCACCGACCAGGACCTCCTGGAGTCCATCCTCCTCGCACGCCAAAACGGTCGGGACAAGGTCGACCTCTTCGTGCACGACCCAGAGAAGCCTCCGACGGCGCCTCAGCCGGCCGCTCCCGCGCCCGAGGCCGTCCCACTCCCAACCCCTCCCGCATCATCGATTGTGCGCGAGCGACGCAAGGCTTTGAGCGACGACGAAGAGCTGGACGAGGATGAGGACGAGGACGATTCGAGAGTGCGGAGGTCCCGCAGGACGCGCACGGCAGCACCGCCGGCCCAAGAGCAGGTCATTGCCGGCGTCCCTAACGAGCTGCTGCTCCCTGGCGCCGTTGTTACGCTAGCAGTCGTGATTGTCGGCGTGTTCGCCATCTCGAGGGTGTCCAGCCGATAATGGGGACGGGAATCCGATATCAAACCTTTCTGGCCGCGGGGACTAGGTAATGCTGTCGAGGAGATCGGCTTAGAGCGACTTGATTTTATTGGGGGGTTCTTATGTAGGTGTATATCACTAGCCGTCTATAAATTAATACGTTTCTTTCTTCCTCCCTATCTACTTCCAGTTTCTGTGTCTTTTGTCGTCTACATATAAGTCTCACCAGGCTTGATGTGCCGGTTTACATACCCCTGAAGTGGAGCCCATCGGGTGCAGGACCGGGCTGAATTCTTCCGAAACGCACGGACTATCTGCATGAGCTTCGGAGCTCCCAAGAAAAAATGCGAGGTTAACGACTTATTGGATGATCGTTGGTTGATTGCCCAATGCCACCCAGAGAGTTGCGAAGATGATTTTAAGAAATATTGCGGTACGGCATGGTAAGAGGTTACTGGTATACTCAAATGGCTTCAATGACTGACTCCCTCGCCAGGCCGGAAGGCTTTCGCCGCTCCCGCCCCGAGGACCTGCCTTCGCGCCCTGTCAGCCGCGACGACGACCACAACTACCCCCGAGGCCACTCCGCTGTCGGGAGATGCGAGCCAAACGCCTACTCCCGCCGCGTTCCACAATCCCCGGATACCATCACGCGCCGCGGCGGACCAACAATCCGATACCATCCCCGACGATTTCAGAGTCTTCAACACGATCCAGAAGCGGACGAAGAAGCTAGGATCCGCAGTCGAGCTGCGCTACATCCCCGACGAGATCCTCAAGAACCCGCCGCAGGACGCATCGCTCGAGCTCCTGATGGCCTCACAGGCCCACATGGGCCACAACACGTCGCTGTGGAACCCGGCCAACTCGCGGTACATCTACGGCGTGCGCGCGGGCATCCACATCATCAGCCTCGAGGTGACGGCGGCGCACCTCCGGCGCGCCGCCCGCGTCGTCGAGGACGTCGCGTACCGCGGCGGCCTGGTCCTGTTCGTCGGCACCCGCAACGGCCACATGCCCATCGTCGTCCGCGCCGCCGAGCTGGCCGGCGCGTGCCACCTCTTCGACAAGTGGACGCCCGGCGCCATCACGAACAGGGACCAGATATTGGCCTCTGCCGAGCTGCGCATCGTCGACCAGCTGGACCGCGAGCTGGAGGACTTCGACAAGCACCTGCAGGACCGGAGGCCGGTCGTCCCGGACCTCGTTGTCTGCCTCAACCCGCTTGAGAACCACACCCTGCTGCATGAGTGCGGGCTGGAGAATATCCCGACAATTGGGATCATTGATACGGATGCAGATCCGACGTGGGTCACGTACGCGATCCCGGCGAACGACGATAGGTGAGTTCTGTTCCGGTGGCGCGGTTTCCGATACGAGAGATAACTGACTAAACTACGTAGTTTACGTGCTGTGGCTGTGATCGGGGGCGTACTGGGCCGCGCCGGCCAGCGGGGCCAGAGGAGGCGGTTGAAGGACGCAGAGAACGGCATCGTTACGTGGGAGAACCCTACGGATATCAGCAAGTTCATCGCGTTAGAGCAGGCTGCCAAGGAGGCGGCGGAGAAGGCGGAGAAGAAGATGGCGAAAGCCAGGGACCAGGGCGGAGAGCAGGATGGAGTGTCGGCGGCTCAGCTCGAGGCGTTCGACTACTTCCAGAAGAAGAGGGACCAGGGCGAGAAATGATGATGGCGTAGTCCAGCCGGTCTCAATCTTGGGACCGGAGGCCCAAGGATATGTCATAACAAACAACACTGTACACTCTGTAGCATTTACCTATCAATTGGTCGGGTTTGCCTGTCGATTGATATCAATAGATTTTTGAGCATATATTGCGCGCTTCAATCGATCTCCGAACCCCAAGCGCCGCGGCCAAGCGCGATTAAGCGCAACTGAGCGCCACATACATGGGTGCTCCAAGCGCGGACCAAAATCTTCACCCTGCGAATATCCCCTCACGAAGGCGACTCACTTTCAGCACAGCTTGGTGACGCGCACAACCCCGCCATATCGCGCTCATACTGCCCCTGAATTTCCCGATTGGGTGTGTATGGCTGCAGACAGGTATGTGTTTTTGGCACCTGTTTCCGCAGGTTCTTGCCTGCGATGTGGGGGACGCTGGCGGAAAACTTTGCAGGCCTCATCTGTTCCGTCCGCTCCGTGTCTTGGGTTTTTCAGATGCTGGGTGTTATTGCGCGACGGTACCGGGGGCCAGTCTTGGCGGAGATGGCTAACATCTCCAATTAGACATTATTGTGCTGCCGTTCTTGCGTCTTGAGTTCCTCGTGTAGCCCCGTCCCAGAGTGGGCTGTGCCGCCCTAGTCTCCAGGCAAAGATGCCGGCGATCCTGGATGACCCGGACGCACCAACCATCTACCGGGTATCGGGAGACCCCCCCTATCCGGACCCGGCTCTCCCGTCCCTCCCACCATCTGTCGTTCCACGTCATGTGACACTGCGAGACCGACAGACGGTTGCAAGCGTCGTCCCGTTTGCATCTCGCTACCAAGTTCCGGACTCTCTCCTGCGCTACCTCAATGATCAGTTCAACAAGGAGATCGAAGGGGGGGACACGTATCCGATGATGGAGACGATGCCTTTCGAGAAGTTCGCCTCGTATTGGTTCCAAAATTTTGGCGCCATTATGCTGCTAGGGGACATAGCAAGCGCCGACGAGGTGGTCGAGGGCAAGGACTGGTCTAAGGAATGCCTGGGCACCTTCTACATCAAGCCCAACTATCCGGGTCGCAGCAGTCATGTTTGCAACGCCGGCTTTATTGTCACCGACGCTTCCCGAAACCGAGGCGTGGGCCGGTTAATGGGCGAGACCTACCTCGATTGGGCGCCCAAGTTTGGCTACACCTACTCCGTCTTCAACCTGGTCTACGAGACGAACGTGGCGTCTTGCAAGATCTGGGACGCCCTCGGCTTCAAGCGCATCGGCCGTGTCAAGGGGTGCGGCAACCTGAAGAGCTACCCCGGCCGCCTCATCGACGCCATCATCTACGGCCGGGATCTAGGCGACGGCAACGGCAACGGCGGCAACGAGGAACTCGTGAGTGAAGAGCGTTTCGACAAGATCAAATTCTACCTCAAATACGGGCGATACCCGAACGGCGCTGACCGGGCGGAAAAAAGCAGGCTTCGCAGCGCGGCAACGCACTACAAGCTGCTTGACGGAGATGTTCTGATGCTCAAGGACAAGGAGGTCATCTCGGATCCGCAGCGGCAGTATGACATTGCCCGGAACTTCCATAACCAGACGCATGCCGGCATCAACAAGACCACCGCGACCATTGCGGAGCGGTATCACTGGAGCCGCATCAAGGAGACCGTCTCGGATGTAATTAGAAACTGCACTGAGTGTAAGGAGTTGGGGAAGGCCCAGACGCCACTGCCCGGTGGGAATGGAGGGAATCAAATACGTCGCTCAGCTCTCAGTGCGCTGCCTGGCGCTGCCATTCCATCCAAGAGGTCATCTCCTAGTCTCGCTGCCACGGGATCGAGAGACGCTGCCACTCTTAACGGTCCCAGGAGTCTGGAATTATCCGAGCCCGGGCACATACCCCCATTTGCTATACAGTCTCATTCCTACGCCAACGCGAACGATATAGCGGTCGTGACGCCTTCGCACACACTCCAAACGACAGCCAGCGGAACCATTACAGAGCATGGCAGTCTCGCCCGGCACAATCCCATGTTACAAGACCAGTCACACGGCCTGCATCCCCCCCATCACGCGGCGAACTCGCCCCTACAGCTTCAGCCCCCCCACGCCGTCTCCGTCTACCAACCCATCGACCCGCAGATCATCAGCCAGCATGCGCATCACCATTCACTGCACCACTATTCCTTCCACCACAGCCCCCACACCCACGACCCAGACGCAGACACATTCCAGGCCCTCCTCAACGGCACAAGCGACGTCGACCCAGGCCTGCATTCCCACCACCACCACCACCACCACCATCACCACGACGACGACGGCAGTGCCGGCGGCGCCCACCACGATGACGACGACGAGGCTGACCAGGCGGCCGTCGATCGCGATCTGGAGATGCTGATCGAGCCGCAAGACGATGACGAGGACGAGAACGATGGCGCGGGCGCGGGCGGGAGTAACGACGGCGACGACCGCGGGCCCGCGACGATGGTCATTGACGGCGGCGGTGGTGCGGTGGGAGCCAGGACGGCGAGCGGGAAAATGGATGTGAATCACCTGCTTTCGTCGCATGTGGATGATGATGAGGAGCAGGAGACGGTGGGGAGGGATGTTGATCCGGGTAGGGGGAGGGGGATCTACGATGTTGGGTTTGGGGGGTCGGGATAGCCTGGTTTGTCGGGGGTGGCTGGCTGGATGGGAGGTTTGGTTTGGGATTTGTTCAGGGCGGCATGGAAAAAGGCGATGGTCGGAGTATATACTCTGGAGTGGCATTATTTTGGAGAAGCAGATGATGTTCTAATAGCGTTGCGGTTCAGCATTGGTTACCTTAGTTATGGGAGTCTCCTGAAAGACACATGAATATCATCTCTGAACAACCAAGTTCCTCTTCTTTATCTGATGACGCCTTCTTTTTTGTATTGTATCATACAGCCCGCATAGGACAGACAACTGGTCATCCCGCCTCTCCTCTTCCCGGCTCGAAGACTTCCCTCCACATCCCAACCTAAATTGAGCCGCTCTACCGCCGTGGCATACCCCGGCCTCTGCCCCTCAGAGCGCGCTGCGCGGCACCGGGAGGCAGCTGGCCGGTCGGAGCCAAAGGCTGGGCGCTCTCCTCGTTGCGGATGGTCTCGTCGACACCGAGGATGAGGCAGCTGGCCTCGGTGGCGGCCTGGATGGCGTTGACCTTGACGAGGGCGGGCTCCCAGACGAAGCGCTCCATCATGTCGGCGACGCCCTCAGTGTCGAAGTCGACGCCGGCCCAGGTGTTGCCGCGGCCGTGCTCGACGCGCAGCCGGTTGAGGATGTCGGTGGCGTCGAAGCCGGCGTTGTCGCACAGCTGGCGCGGGATGACCTCGAGGGCGCGCGCGAAGCTCTTGACGATGGCCTGCTGCTTGTGCGTGATCTTCTTGTCGGCGAAGCGGTGCAGATAGCCCGACACCTCCATCTCGCAGGCGCCGCCGCCGCCGACGATAGTGCGGTTGCGGATCGCCCGCTTGACGATCATGATGGCGTCGTGCAGCGAGCGCTCCACCTCGGCGATGAACTGCTCGGCGCCGCCGCGGAGCACGAGCGTGCACGTCTTGGCCTCGGGGCAGTCCTCGAAGAAGTTGAAGCGCTCCCCGCCGATCTGCCGCTCCTCAAACGTGCCGCAGGTGCCCAGGTGCTCGGGCTGTATGTCGGAGCACGTCGACTGTATCGTCGCCCCCGTCGCCTGCACCACGCGCTCCATGTCCTCGGTCGCGACCCGGCCGGCGCAGAAGATGTCGCGGTCGGCAAAGTACTGCGTCGCGAGGTCGCCGATGGGCAGCTTGGACAGCACCACCTTGGCCCCCGTCTCGTGCAGCGCCTCGAGCTTCTGGAAGATGATCTGCCACTCGGCGTCGACGATGGCCTGGTACTCGGACACCTGCTCGACGCGGATCTCGGCGTTGTCCTTCTCGGCCTTGAGCTCGAGCTCCACGTTGAGGCACACCACCTTGGGCTTCTTGAACGACTTGGGCTGCTGCTCGAAACCGGCGTACGAGAAGGTCTTCTTGAAGGCGACGCCGTTGACAAAGAGGGACTCGGTCAGTGACCCGCCGGGAATCTTCTTGATGCCTATCAGTTTCTCGTTCAGGTCGTCCTGGTCGAGGGACAGGACGGCGTCGACGACCACTAGTGTTCCTCTTGTCAGCACTGAACGACCCTTCTTCTCCTCTGGGGCTTGGATGCTTCTGTAAATATTACTTACTTTTTGTGAAGAAGCCAGTGTTGCGCTTGATCAATTTGCTGGTCATGGCAGTCGCGGCGAGCTTGGCCAACGTGTCTCTCCGATTCCCTGCGTCGGTGACGATGGCAATCTCCTTGATCTTGTTGACGGCCATGGCTGAAGCCCTCCTCAGGGCCTTTATGATGATCTGAGAGCTAACGCCCTGTTCCACATGCTCCTTCACCTCCTTTAGGATCTCGCCAGCCAGGACGACGACCGATGTAGTGCCATCGCCTACTTCGGCATCTTGTGATCTTGCGATGTCGACGAGGATTCGCGCGGCGGGATGGACGATATCTAGAAGCTGTGGGGTTGACATCAGCACAGAGGCTCGGTCCGGGTCAGAGAGAGGAGGTACACTCCGTACCTTCATGACGGTCGCGCCATCGTTGGTGATCGTTTGCTTGCCGTTGGCATCCACCATTAACAAGTCGCCTCCATACGGACCCAGGGTCGGTTTTATTGTTGCTTGAACTGCCATGCACGCATTGATATTGGAGATAATCTGTCCCTTTCCCTGAGAGGTGTCCGTCCCTATGGTGAGCCTGTCAGTGGGGAGCTGTGGGAAACAAGATGGAGGGGTTCCTGACCCTCTTTCAGGACGATAATCGTCGGGGTTTGTCCGCCGAAAGACATTTTTCTTTTTGTTCCCGGGAATTAAACGGCAGGTATAGACTTGTATAGGAGCCCGCAAGGAACGAAATAGGGCTGTACGTCTTAAGGTGGGAGGTTTTGGTGGGCAAAGAAGGTCGATGTGTTGACTATCAAATAATAAACTGAGCTCCAAAAATTATTGAAGCCTTCACCGCGGGCCTGCGCACGGACACCTAAGAAAGCTTCAAAGCTTCCAATTTCCATATCATGTGACTTGTGCTTTCCACACAAAGCCATCACAGATACGTATGGTTATGCAATCCATACTATAGTAGCAAGGAAAAAAAGAAAAATGGAAATCCATTTGCGAGAGTCGAGTTCAGTTATATGCCTTACCTTCTGTGATGCAACCTAGCGAGAAAAGGAGATCCCCATTTCCACCGTACATACATTCCAGTATACGAGTTACAGCAGAACAAGGTCAACAAGCTCGTGCCTCCCAGTTGCTGCTTTCCTTGCACGTCTGCCATGCAATTCCTATTCCTGCCCGTCTATGAAGATGATCCAGCAAGTCGGACGGACTCACAATCCGTTTCCAATGCTTCTCCGGGCATTGCTGGATTCTACACCACGCCGGACCGGGCCGTGCCAAGAACCAGAATAGTTTGCCGATGCCGGTTGGCTGGCTCAGATGTCGGAGTCGGGTTCTACGGGGCTCCCGACGGGGGATAGATGTAATTACTGTACGTGTAGGTGCGTACGTAGTATGTATCCGTGCGAGATAGCGTTGTGAGAGAAAATTCGGGGTTAGGGGGTTAGAGGCTCAATAGCCCCTCCTAGACCTCCAAGACCTCCAAGAATACCGGATACGCAATAGCGTTCAGCTTTGACTGCTTACCCCGACAACGATGGTGCATTAATGTTTCTCATCTCCAAAACCAACAGGAATTCGGGGTATGTACTCGTTGCGAGGTACCATGATTTGTGTTCAATGTCCACTATCTACTGTCGGACCCAATGTGCCGAGAGGGGATCTACTATCGGACCCAATGTGCCGAGAGGGGTCCGTCCCCGCGCGGTGAAGCTGCCGATGGGGTAAGACATGACCAATCTTTACTTGTTCGCAGCGGGACATGCGGCGTCTCGGTATGGATGCCAGAGGCGGGATTACTTGCAGCCGCCGCATCGATCAACTTCAATGAACCGGGACTAAAAAGGGAGCTGTTGGACGGGGTTGTTGCTCCAGAAGTCCAGATTTATCAACAAACCCCAGGTTCCCTTCCCCCCGAGATCCTCAACATACCTAGCCCGTGAGCACTACATTCACCATGGAGTCCGAACTAGCAGAAATCAAGACGCAGCTTGCTACTTTGCAGAAGCAGGTCTCTCGCGTCTCTGGTGAGTCTCAACATCCCAGACCTTTACTATGTACGACGATACATACCTCCGGCTCTTGATGTTTACGGTTGCGGTCAACAGATGAGGCCGAGGTCCGGAAGACCCACTTCAAGTATGGCTACTACCTCGACAAGTGCATGTACAACGAGGTAAGGCGTTCCGTTCGAGCAATGGGCACTGTATCATTGCCCCAGTACTGCGTTCGTTCTGACCAGAGCTCCCACAGGTCGTGGACATGTTCGCGGACCATCCCGACACCTACGTTGAGTTCCTCGGGTCTCGTTACCGCGGCAAGGCGGGCGTCAAGCGCCTTTACCAGGGGAGGTTCCAGAACGTGTTCGTCAAGGGCCGCAATGGCCCCGTGGAGGGCTTCTTGCTGGACCACATGATGATGCAGGATGTTGTCGACGTCGACGAGACGGGCACCCACGCCTGGTGCCGCATGCGGACCCTGATGCAGGCGGGCACGCACCAGTCGATCCAGGAGGAGCACCCGCGCGGGCACGCGCAGTGGTGGGAGGGCGGCCTGTACGAGAACGAGTACATCAAGGAGAACGGCGTGTGGAAGCTGTTCCGCTACCGCTACTTCCCCTTCTGGCACGCCGAGTTCGAGCGCGGATGGTCGCACACCAAGAAGAACTACATCCCGTGGCCCACGACGACTTTCCCCGAGGACCCTCTTGGGCCCGACGAGCTGATCGAGCAGAAGATGCTCTGGCCCGACACGAGGGTCGTGCCCTTCCACTACCCCCATCCCGTCACGGGCAAGGCCTCCAATGCCGACGATCTGAGGGCGCCAAGGTACGGACAGGCTGCTGACACCAGCAATCCGCCTCTGACTCTGGCTCTGCCGGAGGGGCAGAAGAGGACAGCACAGGAAGGCGACGTGAAAGCCAAGAAGGTCCTGCCCGAGCTCGCTGATAGCATTGCCTCGGCCTGAGTTTGTTGTTCGTCGGCCCCGGTTCGCGGTTGTGTATGTGGGGTAGAATCAGGCTAGAGTAGCTAGGTAGTTAGGTTGTGTACCTCTAGTCGATTATCTCCATGGTCTCGCCCTCTTTGGCCACGTGTATCAACTGCGAATATCCATTCATTTGCCTGCATCTGCAGCCCTACCCCGATCGTTCCGGTGAGGGCGAAAGTTTTGCAACCGGTACGCGTGTTTCCAGTCTCGAATGGCCATCTGCCGGGCTAGCCAACCCCTCGATGTGAACCCCGCAAGGCTTCCTCCACAGCAAATTGGGGAAGAGGGGCAAACTCGGTAGATCATGGACCATCCCCCGCATGCAATTGTGCAACCTATCCCAACAGACGAGTTACAAATTGTTGTTCCATGTCCATGACACGAGGGAGGCGCATGCCGAGACTCCTCTCGGACCCGGACCGCTCCTGCAGAGCCTCTGGGGCATTGGGGTACCTATTTGTTCCGTGCCTGTCTAGACACACAAATATAGTCTAGAGGTCGGCCTAAAGCATCCGAGAGATATACATACCACCTGAGAGATATATATACCATCCCATGCGAGTGTGTGTGAAATCAGTCGGTCCAGAACTCCAAGGCCCCTGGTTATTATCCATTGTTGTCTACAACAGAACAGGGACGTGAACCATGGCGCACATCTTCGATCTTGCCAAGGAGATATCGCCATACTCCGATGGCCGTCTCACAGGGGATCGAGTCAAGTTCCCGGAGACGGATGTATTCCGTTCCATGAATCAGCCGTCCCGGTTTGAGGGCGACGTCTTCGACATTGAGTTCACGGGGACAATCCCAAAGGACATCAATGGCACCTTCTTCCGCGTCCAGCCGGACCAGCGGTTCCCGCCCATGTTCGAGGACGACATCCACTTCAACGGCGACGGGAGCGTGACGGCGATCCGGATCCAGAACGGCCATGCCGACTTCAAGCAGCGCTACGTCCACACGGAGCGGTACAAGCTCGAGACGGCGGCGCGCAAGAGCCTGTTCGGCCGGTACCGCAACCCCTACACCGACAACGAGTCCGTCAAGGGCGTCATCCGGACCGCCTCCAACACCAACATCACCTTCTGGCGCGGCATGCTGCTCGCCAGCAAGGAGGACGGCCCGCCCTACGCCATGGACCCCGTCACACTCGAGACCATCGGCCGCTACGACTTTGAGGGCCAGATCCTGGCGCCCACCTTCACGGCCCACCCCAAGTTCGACCCGGACACGGGCGAGATGCTCTGCTTCGCGTACGAGGCTGGCGGCGATGGCAACGACTGCTCCGTCGACGTCGCCGTGTGGACCCTCAATGCCGACGGCATCAAGACGGAGGAGGCCTGGTATAAGGCCCCGTTCGCGGGCATGATCCACGACTGCGGCGTCTCGAAGAACTACATGGTCCTGCCCCTGACGCCGATCAAGACGAACCTGGACAGGGTGAAGAAGGGCGGCAACAAGTTTGCCTGGGATCCGAAGGAGGACCAGTGGTACGGCTTGGTCCCTCGCAGGGGCGGCAAGCCCGACGATATCATCTGGTTCCGGGCCGATAACGGTAGGTCCCTCTTCCTCACCTTGCCTTATGACACCCTCCTATCGTATCATCTGGTTGGATTGTGGGATTGTTAAGCAAGTGATGGCTGCTAATGGCAACAGGATTCCACGGCCACGTGGCGGGCTGCTACGAGAACGAGGACGGGCACGTGGTCGTCGACCTCACGGTCGCGGACGGCAACGTGTTCTTTTGGTTCCCGCCGGACGGCGAGGAGGCGGGCCAGTTCGCCAAGCGCAACAAGCTCAGCAGCCCGACGTGCCGCTGGGTGCTAGACCCGAAAGCCAAGACGGGCACGCGCATCACGCCGTCGCTCGTGTGGCCGACCAACGGCGAGTTCTCGCGCATCGACGACCGCTTCGTCACCAAGAAGTACAAGCACTTCTGGCAGGCAAAGGTCGACCCCACGCGGCCGTACGACTTTGCAAAGTGCGGTCCCCCCGCGGGCGGGCTGTTCAACTGCATCGGCCACTACACGTGGGACCCGGACAACGAGAAGGCCACGGGCACTGAGGACGTCTACTACCACGGGCCGACGACGACGTTCCAGGAGCCGTCGTTCATCCCGCGCCCGGGCGGCGGCGAGGGCGAGGGTTACCTCATCGCGCTGATGAACCAGCTCGACGTGCTCCGCAACGACATCGTCATCCTCGACGCCCAAAACCTCGCCGCCGGCCCGTTGGCCGTCCTGCACCTCCCGCTCAAACTGAAGCTGGGCCTGCACGGGAACTTTGTCGACCACGCTGATATCGAGGCGTGGCAGCGCCGCAGGTCGCCTGCCGGCGGGGACCTCGGGCCTGTGAAGCCTGCCGTGGAGCCGTTGCCGTGGCAGAAGGGCATCCGTGTTGGGGAGGCGGCCGGTCAGAATGGTCAGAGTCAGAATGGTAATGGTGTGTCTGGCTGATGATGGGTCGCGTTAGATGGGAGATACTGTCGGGTTAGTCTGTGTATTTCAGGAAGCACGCTTGTTTTGCATGTCATATTGTCTGCTAGCCACTTCCAATTTGCAATATATGGCTTCATTAGTTGTGGTTGTAGGGTTATGGTTATCGTCCCGAGGTGTCAAGACTGTATGCATTCTTGCTTCATGACCCCAGATTTCTCGATGGTGGGTCATGGTTGTCAACGAGGGACTTGAGACTGAAAGACGTTGGCGTAGGGGTGATCACGTGGGTCAACCTGGATGTTCTGTAGCTCCCCGGTATAGGTGGTCCAAGCTCCCTCGCGATTTTTCTAGGCACGCGTCGAAACTGAAGCAGAACTGACACCAAAGAACAACTTGAAATCCATGTTCCTACCTTGCAACCCGCGTTAAAACTGCGGCGAAACAATTGCAATCAGCGCCCGCAAATATGCCTTAGAAATCCTACTTGCTTTCTCTATCTTCAATAATCGCCCGGCAACTCTCCGACTCGGCCCAGCATGTCGGCCTTGCCCTCGCCGCGAGTCCGCCGAACGGCGCAGAACACCCAGTACACGTATGCGCGCACACATGCCCTGCCCAGCACTTGCAAGAGACTCTTTTTCTGACCGTGTGCAGCTACAACCTCAACCGCCGGATACACGACGTGAAGACCTACCCGATCCAGACCCCACAAGGTGCGACTGTCCTGATCTATGGCCACGAGAATGGCCTCTCGCTGGTCTGGCGTGGCGGGAAGCCGCTCAAAACCCCCAAGCAAAGCGCCAGCAAGGGAAAACAGAATGGAGCGAGCGCAGGCGACGCGGTCATGATCTTGGATTCCGACGACGAGACGCCACGGAAGCCATCTAAATCCCCTGCGTTTCAAGACAAGGCCGAATTCGAAGATGCCCCGGCCGATGATCCGTCCTCCGTCCCAGAAACCATCCAAACACTGGATCTGGTCCTAGGAACTGCTGCTCTACATATTGCCGTGCTCCCGCTCGCCCCATCTACCGCCGAAGACGCCGCTTGGAATGCCTCGGACATACTCAAGGAGAGGATGGTGTTTGCTGTCGCCTGCGCCACGAACGACGTCTATCTGATCACCTTGCCCCTGACCCCACCGTCGCATCAAAGCAAGGCGAGACCTGAGCTGCGCAACGATCTCCTTGCTGGCGCTGCTGGTAGGGGCTTGTGGGGTGAGACGTTGACCTTGCTGGGAGGGCAAAGCAAGCATAGCGATGGGCTTGCTGTCACTCTCGTCCACCAGAAGCAGGCAGCCGCAGAGCGAAGCAGATCTGTGGACCGGACCGGCCCGCTGCCTCCTCCGTCGGCTCGGGTTGTCGTTGCGGCCCACTCCCGCGAAGCATGCGGCATCCTGCGGTTATGGGATGTGAACGTCGAATCCAGACCAGCGACGAGTCGAATCGAACCTTTCCAGACCGAGTATCTGCCCGCACCTCTCAGCGGCATCTCTTTCAACCCGTCGCATTCCACGCAGCTTCTAGCTGTCGCTTCTCCACATGCCGCGCGCATCTACGATTACTCCCTCCCGTCCATTCCCGAAGATATGTCAGAAGGCCCATTCCCAACACAGGGCTCTTGGCTGCTGTCTCTCTACCCGCCATTCTCCCAAGGCTCGACGATGTCGACATCCCGCAAGCCCATCCTTGCTGCATCCTGGATTGCTCATGGACGTGCCGTCCTATGCCTCCTTGCGGATGGCCAATGGGGCATTTGGGATATAGATGGCGCCACGCCATCGCTAAGCGGTGGCGGCGGGGCTACAAGCCTCTTTGGAAAGCACTCAGCTGGCCTCCGCGGTGCCGGCCTGACGAGTTTCAGCGCCAGTGGCTATTTGGAGGGTACAAGCTCGCTACGCAACCAGGGCGCACAGAAACCGGCGCCCGCGCCAAGATCCAGCGGAGACTTTGTGCCAATGACACCACATACCAGGCGCGATACCCTCGCTGCATCTATCGCCGGGGGTGCAGAGAGGCTAGCTGCTGTAAGAGGAGGTATCGAAGTGGTGTACTCTCAGCCGCTGAGAGCCACCAGTACCGGTTCTCCTGCAGATGAGAGTGCTGTGCTCTGGATGGGAGGTGTTGACCCTATCGTTGCAGTTATCCCTGGTGTGTCCAGATTCTGGGACGCACAACTTCGACGCGGCGTTGGTGGAGGGGTCAATCTCTTCAGCGGCGCCCAGCCAACCCGAATGATCCGGCTCACCGACCTCGCCGCCGGTCTTCTCGGTGAGCGATGCACTGGCGTAGGAGCTGTTCCAAGATTGGGCAGACAACAACCCAACAGCAGCCCGTCCCCCGACGATAGATCCCCTCATGGCGAAACTACCAACTCGGTGCAGGGCCTTCCCATCGATGTCCTCGTCAAGGGCGAGAGCCGCCTTGTCGTGGTTCTCGAGAGCGACGACGGCACTCCCATCTCGAACCGCCTTCTCAGCACGCGCAAAAAGCAACGCCCCAGCGGCCGCTCCGCCAGTGCCATCATTGCCTATCCCCGTCCGGAGAAGCCAAGCAGCATCGCCTTCAACTTGAGCGTCTCGCGGGCCGGGAATCGCCGGGCCTCGCGCCAGCGTCTTCCCGTGGCGGGCCTGTTCGACCAGGAGCAGATGGACGTGTTGCCGTCCACGGAGGTGGAGCTGGACGATGGTGGTGGTGGCGCCGCCGCGGGCCACGGCCTGCTGATCCCCGGCCTCTCCCGCGACACCGGCCTTGCCTTTGGACAGTCGCTCAACGTGGCGGCCGACGCGAGCGACAACGAGGAGGAGGCCGAGGAGCGGAATGTCGAGGCGGAGATCTTGGACATTATGGAGATTGATCGCGAGCTGGAGGAGATGGAGAGCGAGCGGCAGAGTGGGAGGAAACACGTTTTCTTTGAGGAGGGATAGAATCCGACGTCGACGGAGGGGACAAATGGGCCGATGTGGGAGATTACTCGACGGCGCTGAAAGCATGTGCCTGGTATCGATGCCCTGAGGAAACGCGCCTCGTTTGATATCTAGCTCTGGATTGTTGGCTGGAAACATTCGAAGCCGTCAGCCGGGGCCGGAGGTATCGCGAGAGACAGCATCATCTCCCTCGCCCTAGTGGGTTGGGTGAGGAGAGCTGTGAAGGCGAGATTTGTACGATATCCAAGAGCATGGCAGGCGCATCCAGGGCCAATAATGAAAAAAAAAAAGAATTTTCCCAGCCGGGGGCCAGGGTTCCAAACCCCCTGGCTCGTCGTGGAGTGAGTGTTGTTGCCTTGATGATACCCAAGCAAGATAGCAGAAATGCAATCGTCCGCACGGCCAGGTGGAGCACAAGGCGAGACCAATCCTTGATCCAGCTCTGTATTCCGAGCGGTATATCAACACAGCTTTCCCCAAAGACGGCACCGGGCGGTCCTAGACTGCCTCTGCGCGTGCTTGCTGGGGGGCTGCACCGGCGCCACCCCGGAGGGAGGGAGGGGGTCACTTTTCCTTGGGCAGGCGGAGTTCTCAAGCGAATTGACCATTTGCTCTCCCGTTTCTTCTCTCGTGTCCTGAGACCTGTCGGTCTGGGGATGCGCTACTGGGATGGGGGGTGGTGCGCGTCGGTACATTTCGTCTGGAAGGGGACTGTTTGGGGACTTGACTCTTTCTCTCTGAATGTTTACGCTGTTGTGATGTCTAGTTTCTTGTCCCGGATAGATCCATGTAGCCCGTGGGAGATGTCCATGAGGCCCAGTTGCCATACGAGTCGATCATGTTCTCACTTTCCGTACCGATGACACGAATGAGTCTCTAATATACACCCTGTACATCCATATAGCTGCAATGACCAAAGCTGCTATTTCCCATCCTTCTATCCAAGAATGCCGCACCAAAAGAAAGGGGCAGCATATCATCAACGCAAACATATATATGTAGCCTCTGGCTTTCCCACTTTTGAAAAGACGTCAACTAGGTAACATCTCACCCTTCTCATCCAGCTCCAGCACAACCCTACCAACCAGCCGCTCAGTCACGCGCGCACACCACGGATCAACATACCCCGTCCACAACACAGCCGCCCCGTAATTCAACGGTATCCAGAAAAGCAGACTCCAAGCCAAGGCAGCGGACCCAGGAAACCTCAGCCGCGGCCCGGGCACCATCTCGCCCCTGTCGTCGCGCACCGAGCCGGGCACGTCGACGCCGTACACCATCCACACCAGTACGGTCCGCATCAGCGGCCCGTGCAGCAGGTACACGGCGAAGGAGTGCCTGCCGAGCCACAGCAGCGGCGGCGCGGAGAGGAAGTCGCGCAGGCGCGGGGCGAGGTGCAGGCCCAGCGTTATCAGCGAGAGGCCGATGCCGGTGGCGAAGCGGGGGATGTCCGGGTTGGAGGGGAGGATGCGGGTTAGGAGGCGTTGCTGGAGGCGCGACCAGGGGGTCCAGTCTGGGTGAGATTCGGGGTAGGAGGCGAGGGTTAGGCCGAGGAGGAGGAGGGTGCCGGAGAGGAGGCGCGAGAGGCGGCGGTGGTTGGTTAGGAAGGCGGTTGAGGCGTCGTTGGATTGGAGGTCGGAGAGGAGGACGCCCCAGAAGAATTGCATGCCGAATGTGGCTTTGTAGTAGAGTTAGTGGTTTCTTTTCTCTCCGTGGAGGGAAGTGTAGGGTTGACTCACAGTCTCCGGCCATCCAGAAGTAGAAGTACATGCCCAAACTCGCGAGCATTCGGTATTTCTGCTGGACGAAGGCGGTCCCGACCATGAAGATGTAGACCCAGAAGCTACCCTTGAGCAGCGACAGCAGGTTCCAGTGGTTCCCATCATATCTGTTCCTCCCCCTCGTCCACGTCTCGACGATGCCAGCCACAAGGCTCTTGACCGACCCCCACAGCGTGGGCGGCAGGTCGGGGGGGCTAGTGGCTCCGGCCCAGAAGCTATCGCAGCTCTTGGCGACGCGGAACGCGCCGAGCTGGGCGAGCAGCCAGATGAGCAGGGTGACGAGCGCGGTGGGCAAGACGAGCCTCGGCATGCGGCGCAGCGCCGACCGGCCGATGGACAGGAGGGCCGCCTCCTGGCTGCCCTGCCGGCACTGCCGGATGGGCTTGATCGCGCACACGTACCCCGTCACGAAGGAGAAGATGCTGACGCCGATGCGGCCCTGCACGAGGACGCGCACGTACGGCCACTGTAGCACGCGCGGAGGGGCGCCCTCGCGGGACGTTGGTTGGAAGAGAGCTACGTCGAAGGCGCGCGCGATGTGCGTCACGACTACGAGCGTGGATGCTAGTCCGCGGAGACCCTAGCCGTGGGGGTTGGACACGAGAGAGGGAACGTCAGAGTGAATGCGTGAGGATAAGGACGGCAGGCAGTCCGGGGGGGATGGGTAAGGAAAGGGATGTCCTGGGTGGGTTTTTTAAGGGACGGATGGGTTAGGTAAAACTCACATCCACCCACTTCACATTTCCCTCTTTACCTATAACCATGGCAGTATGTAGATGTGCCAGAGCTAGCTTGACGGCTTTCTCATTCCATGCCCCTACAAACTGAAAGAACGACAGGATGGAAATAACTTCCAAGGACAAGAACAAGAACGTGCTCTGCTCGGAAACGGGGGGATTCAGAGCCGGTAATCGAGGAGAAGAACAAAGTTAATTCTAGCAAACCAGACCGCAGGACAGCGAAGGAGCGACTGACTGGATATAGAGAACGACGGGGTAGGACAGGTATGGGATACAGGAGGTTACTTAAACGAAAGCCATGATCGATCCAGGTGGGAGCAGGGAGAGGGAAAGCGGATACGAAGCAAGAAATCGGAAGAGGGGCGGAAAGAGAGAAGAAAAGGGGAATTTCTCGAGAGTATCATCTTGATGAATTCAACCATCAGCGAATCCCGACGAGAGGATGATCAGCCCGTCGGCGCCACGGCGGGCAACGGCGTCCGCCACAGAGCGAGGTTGGATATACAGAAACTCGGCCCGGGACAAACAGACAACCAGAGGTATGTCCAGGACGCCACACCGCGATGATTTGGGTGGTTCCTATCCGGGCATGAGAGCTTTGGATGAGGCTCCCCATCAGAACTTCGGAAGTCATGCCTCGCCCAACAGCCAGGGACCATGTTCGCCCCGAAGCTAATCAAGATGATGCCGAAACCCGGCTTACGCTCGCTGCAGAAACGCTGCGACTGGGTGGATAACACGGATGCAAGGATGGCAGCTTGGAGTGGAAAGCGTCGGGTGTCACAGAAACGAGGACAGCGTTCTCAGCTGGGTTATTTTCCGAACTGCTAGAGTCACCCCTGCGTGACACCATCACTGCTTACTCGGTGTGTGCGGTATCTCCATTTCAGTTCAGCACGGTCACCAGTTGCGGCAGCTGAAATCCCTGAGCATTGCCCGAGCACTCAAATTGTAATCGCGGCAGACATCTTCTGCAGCGTTTCGAAATCCACCCGGACGTACACGGCCCTGGTCTTGTCAGCCTTCGACTTTCTCCCGGGGCAGTCGCCACCAATCACCCTCATGGCATCCTTGGCCTGGCTGTCTCCCACGTCTCCTCGCCGCTGATACGGCTCTGCGACGTCGGCCCGCCCGACTAGCTCGTAGTACTCCCCGGACGCATCTTCCGAGGTAGGGGGTTTACGGCGCACGATGATTGCCGCGTCGCAGTTCCAGAAGCGGATGATAAGGTCCCCCTGGCGCGCTTCTGGTGGGGCGATTCCTAGACAGAGGTCGGTTCCGAGGAAGCGGACGGGGTCGCTGTGCGGTGGTGGCGTGCCCGGGGGGCCGGGCAATGTCGGTGACGGCGGTGACGGTGGCTCCTCCTGCAGAATTGACCAAGCTACAGCCTCGGCGCTGTTGATGCCGCAGATGCGAGAGACATCTGTGTCCGTGTAGTCGATTACCTTGGCCGAGTATTGCTCCTCCATCTGGCGTAGCTTCTCAAGGTCTGCTATGGCCTCATAGTGCATGTCCCAACTCCCGATCCAGAGTTGCTGTTCACGATAAGAACCTACAAAGTCGCTGTATGACGGTCCCAAGTGGACGACCGTCCCAGCGACATAACCCTTGGCCTTGAGCATCACCCTATTCGGGTCATTGCTATCACCACCTCCCCGAAGCTCGTCCTCCACTCTGCCATCGAACGCCTTCTGCACGACTCCTGCAAAACGCACGAGGCGCACGCGACGCTCGTCCTCCATCTCTTCGACCCCCTTGCCAAAGTCAAGCTTGGGCTTCGCTCGATAATACATGTATGAGACCACGTCGCGCCAGATATTGTAGAAAGTCCGCTTGTAGTCGATCTCCAAGAGGGCCCTCCCCCTCTTCTCCGTCGCCGGGCTAGGCAACAGACCCCGAGATCCCTGCTGGGCGCCCTGCCCCGCCAGCGCGAAGGTATCGACATCGTTGGAGAGACCGACAAGCCCAAAGACCCGGTCACGGGTATCGGCACAGCCGCTATCCAAGAACCGCTCCACCAGCGCCTCGAGCCGCATGGCGTCGGTAAAGCGGTCCTGCCGCGCCGCCAGCAGGCGCTGCATGTCGGTCTGCCCCACCGGGATGACGCGGCCCGACACGCGGTCCGCCCGCGCCAGCATCTGGCGCACCGCCGCCTCAGGCCAGACCTCTCCGCCGAGAACGAAGGCCAGGTTGCGCGGCAGGCACACCTCCTGCACGACCCACAGGCGCCCCCAGTAGCGGTTCGCCTGCAGCTGCCGCGGCACCACGGCGCCCGAGGAGGAGACGGCGCACCAGACCGGGTGCGTCCGCTCCGCGTCCGGGGCGACGAGGGGGTGCGCGAATTTGAACAGGTCGTCTTCTGCTGAGCCGCCGCCCGCAAACCTCGCTGCGATCTTCCGCGCCAGCCCTGCCTCCCACACCGCCGTCAACTTGCTGCGCAGTCGGCGTCTCCCCTCGGCCAACGTCTCTAGAACGAAGTCGGTCGTCATGTCCGGCATGCCTAGCCAGCCGATGACGGCGGCGGCGCGCGTGAAGATGAAGCCCATGAGGGCGACCTGGGCGTTGCGCTCGGGGATGCTGCGCTGGTCGATGCACACGGCGTCCAGCCACAGCGGCAGCGGGTGCGTTGGCGAGCGCAGGAACCGTAGGGCTAGCGCGGCGTTGTGGAGAAGCGGGAGCTGCTGGCCGCTGGGGCCGAGGACGAGTTGTGGTGCGGCCGGCGGCGGCGGCGGCGGCGGCGGGGCTGTTGCTGCCCCGGATGGGTCTGGTGGTGGTGGTGCCGCCGGAGTAGCGTCCAACGCTGCGGAGATCTTGGCATGATCATCGTCCGGGTTGGCCCATGTGTATGATAGGGCGATGTACTTTGGTTTTTTGGAGAAGGGGACCGATTCCAAGGTGGCTTCCAACGGATCCCAAAAATCGCCCGGCGAGAGGGTCAGGATGCGGAGGCCGTCGCTGGACGGCAGAGGTGGGTGGGAGAAGGTCATGTCTCTTAGCTTGGGGGAATTGCCTCGTCTTTATACTCTTTAGGTAGGATAACCACCGTACCGTCCACCTCTGTCCCTTCGTGTTTATATTATTTTTTCTTGGCAGCCCCTCGGTTTTTGAGGCTGAAATGAACAGGGACCAACAAGTAAGTAGCCGCTTACGTCTGGTTCGGGCTGATTCTGGCCGAATATCAAAAAGTCCACGACAACCCAGTCATGCAGACATCGGTTCATGCTGCCATCGGTTCATGCAGACATCGGTTGTTGACCGAAAGCCAGAGACAAACTCAGGAATTCATTACTTCATTCATAGTTCCATTTGCCTCCAACCAAGCAATGCAATCGGGTAACAGGATATTGTACAACCGGGAACACCATTGACAGTCTCGGAGAGAAAACCCACCCACATAAGCTCTCGGTCGGCTTAGAACTTTTGTTTCGCCTCCTCAGCGGCACCTTTGGCCTTTCCTGCGACCTCGTGGGCCTTGCCCTTTGCCTCGCCAGCCACCTCGTGGGCCTTGCCCTGTGCCTCTCGCCTGAGCTCCTCGGCCTTCCCCGTGGCCTTGCCGTGGGTGACTTCCCCGCCGGCCTCCTTGATCTTGTGTGCGACCGTTGCTGGAAGTGAGGTTAGCATGGCGAGCACAGTGTGAGGATTGGCGGGGTTGTAGAGGGGAGCTGCAGCTTACAGCCAATGTTGATGCCGTCGACGAGCTTGTCGCTGACAACGCGGTCCACCGACTTCAGCTTGTCCTTCACCGTATCCGGTACCACTTTTTGTCGCTGGGCACTGATGGAAAATGCAGCTCGTGGTGCTGTGGTTGCCACAGTGCGTGGCAACTGAAGCGATGCTAGCCGGCGCACGGTGACTTCTGTGAGGAACGACATGATGGTAGATTCTGTCTTGTTGGGTTCTTCGGTTCGAGATTTTGTTAAAAAAATGCTTTTGGTACTCGCTGATGATGCTTCTTGGGAGAATTGAGGTCAAAAGGAAAGAATCAGACAGTTCGGCCTGCCGAACTTCTGTATTAATACCTCCCACGAGTTGATGATCTTTGAATGATGTCATCACGAAGCCTCACAAGTAAGACAGTGCATCTGCACCAATGACGTCCATCAATCGCAATGAGACCAAGGAAATCACCACTAAACCGAGTATTTGTGGTCCCGAGGTCACGTCCAGGTCAAGGGTAGCACATACAAGATACAAGTGCCTCCACAATGAATCACTCACTCGGCGCAACTCTTGGTTCGGTGGGTGATCGTGTCCAGATGCAACCGAGGTTTGCAGACAAGCAGACTCCCGACCCAAAAGGGATCTAAGCTACCTACCTACGTGGGTAGGTTATCCAGTAGCAAGGTGCCATCACCTCCCCTTGAACACAGGCTTCCTCTTCTCGCCAAACGCCTTCAGCGCCTCGTTCCTGTCCTCGGTACTGACAACCCTCTCGTACATCTTATTCTCCACCTCCTCCCTCGGATCCGCCACCGCCCTCAGCGCCGCCCTCACCGCGACAGGCCCGCCCTCGCAGATCTCCCCGGCCATGCGCACCGCCTCGCTCAGCGCCGCGCGCCTCGCCAGCGCCAGCACCTCGGCGTCGCGCTCCGGGGCCTCCATGCCCTCCCACGCCTTGGCCTGCTCCTCCGTCTCGGGCGCCACCTCGACGAGCCGGTCCGCGATGCCCAGGAAGTAGGCCTCGGGCGCCGACACGCGCCTGCCCGTGGCGATCAGGTCGCGCGCCCGCGACGCGCCGATCAGCGCGGGCAGCCGGTACGTGCCCCCGGCCCCCGGGATGATGCCCAGCCGCGTCTCCGGCAGCCCCACCACGGCGTTGGAGCTGAGGACCCGGAAGTGCGTCGCCAGCGCGAGCTCGAGGCCGCCGCCGAGGGCCACCGACGAGATGGCGGAGATGGTCGGGATCGGGAGGGCCGAGAGGTGAGTCAGCGTGGTGCGGAGGTTGAGGAGGAAGGCGGAGGTCCTTTTTTTGTGTGCCATTAGTTTCCCTTGCTCTCGTAGAAATTTTGGAGGAAAGGGGGTGATCGGGGGGGCGTTTGAACATACTCCTCCTGGCTAAAGCCCTTCCGCTCCTTGAGGTCGGCGCCCGAGCAGAACGACGTGTCCACGGCCGAGGCCAGGACCAGCGCCCTTGTGGGCCCCTTCTTGTCCTCTCCGGCAGCCCCGCCAAACCGCTTGTTCCACGAGGGCTGCGCGATCTCGTCGCCCGTCGCGGCGTCGTACTGCGCGTGCACGGCGTCGATCTCGTCCCGCAACGACGACAGCAGCGCCCGCGAGATGGCGTTGCGCGCCGCCGGCCGGTTGAGCTCCAAGATCCGGATGTGGCCCGAATTGGGCGCCGGGAGGTCCGTCACCCGGACCAACGGCCCCGGATTGCTGTTCTTGTCGGTCGAGTACGAGGCCCGCTGGCGTGTGCTTCTGACGATCAGGCATGCCAGCTGCGGGCCTTTCGTCGCCGACGCGGGCCGCAGTCGAAGGGCGAGAGGCCCGGAAGAGCTGAAGATAGCTGGAGCTCGTGGAGGCATTGTTGCTAGGTCTGATTACTGGTTACAATTAAGTATCCAAGCATCCCGTCAGAAGTTAAAGGGAAGACAGCAGAAAGTTTGGTAGGTTTGCACATTATGACGTCCTCGGCTCGTCACCGGTTACCAGCGGGTACAACTATCCCGATTCCCAATTTTCATCAGTAATTGCATAGCATCTTGACCTTTCCTCATGCAGATAACGCATGTCAGGCCATCGCCAGACCAGACATACCATCATCGAAATGGTACTGGATGTGTTCAGTGGTTATGGATCTTTTGCCTTTTTTGACCCCTTCGGGATTCTCCGATTCCCAGACAGGTTATCTTACGGGTTTGCATAAGTATCGAACCGAATATTCGGGATATTCCCGCCACAGCCTCCAAGGTGGAGCCTCAACCGATCGAAAAACACCTCGCAATCTCCATCCGTCAAGCCCGGGGAACGATCACTATAAATAATTCTGTGTGTTAAGAAGAATTGATGGGAATGTGAACCAAACTAGCTAAACATGCCCGCTAACATGCCGACATCCAATGCTACGCGTCAAATATCTCTTGCATGGCAGGCCATGGAAGTCAGCTGGGACTGGCAAAGATATTCGTAAAAAGGATTAACACGTAGTTGGAGTCTTTGTCCAAGAGAAGTGCGTGCTCTCCACATGATAAGAGGCCTCCTCTAGGCTCTGGCTGCCCTCCAGTTCCAGAACATCCGATCCATGACTGTTGTTGCTTGGGGGTACATGGTTGAAGTACAAGAGAAGGTAATTATTGCTTTTCGTCCCTCCAGAGGACCCGCAAAGGAATGGCCAGAGCAGTCTCCTTGAGTGGGGCAAGTATGCACAGTAAACAACCGACACAGGCTACATAATACACGTCCGATCGGGCGTCGAGAAAAGCAAACCTCACCTTCGGGTTCCTTCCTACCTCGCCTCGCATCGAAAGCGATCCAAATTCGACCGAGGTACCTATTTGACATGCAGCATCATGCAGTAGGTGTAGCGTAGTGTAGTGCGGTATCCCCTCTGCCCGTTTTCAGGCTGCAAACGAGACCCCTATTTCCCCTCCCGTTGCTACCTACTTGAATGGGAGCACTGTCTTTGCGTAACTCTGTGCTTCGTAAATAATATATTCCATGCAGGTAGTATGGATGCTGTTGGTCCGCCTCGGGATACCGACATCCCAGTTTGGCGGCGTCGTGCCGCTGCTTCGTGGCGTCGTTTACTGTGTTCCCAGGTTCCTGTTTCATATGCGGGAACACCGGGAAGCGGTCCCAACCCACATTTAGTGTATTTAGCGCGTGTACGCATACCTTCGATTGCTCGTATTCACTCTGCCCTCACTTGGCTCTGGAATAATTTTCCATGTCAAAATAAGACTCTTGCTGCCGGTACCCTCTTGTCGTTTGTTTCTGCCTGTTGGTGACTATCAGGGCTCATGGATGAATCAATTCGAGACATGAGCGAAAAGGCGAGGTTGCCGAGGACTTCCTCAACCTCCCTCTGGGATGCACCGGGTAAGGTTAGGTAGGTACCTAGACTTTTGTGCCTGAGGGGGGTTGGTACCTTGAGGGGTCCTCACTTAGCACTGGAATTTGACGAAGCCTGGTGGAATTTGGTAGTAAGCACTCTGTAGATGCTGCGAACCCCCTAACAGCCTCTAACGCCGACCTGGTTGCTCGCGTTTGAAGAGTAACCTGCAAGCCCAATTTCGGTTGGTTTCCCCCCTGCCCGTAGTACCTGACGATCGTCACTGTCCGCCCAATAGGCCACCGCCGATCTGATATTGGGCGCAATCTTCCTGCCAATCATAAGCCGAGGAGGGATTAAATTTGGCGATATAGGCCGATCATTGGCCATTCCGCCCGGTCGGAGCTCCAGACCGCTAAGCCCGAAGTGGGCTTGCTGGGTGAGGTGGTGAATCAAATGCTCAAATGGGAAAGTGCAGGGCCAGACCTTGTCCAGCGCAGAATCGGCCAGGTGGACGCGGGTTTGCAAAGTCACACCAGAGAAGGGCCAAGAAAGGGGCCGTCCCCATTCTCTCCATCTCCCTCCCTTTTCGCCCTTCCAATTCCAACAAAAACACTCGACCTGCCCTCCGCCACCGCCAGTCACTCGTTTTGTTGCACTGTTTCTCCGCGTCTTCCAGTATCGCCCTCTTTTCGTCGCACCACCACCTTCTTTTCCCCTTACGTTCTCTTACCCAACTGCATTTCTTGTTCCGCACCGGTCCAACTCGGCCATTCCCTCTAGCACCGACAGCAGAGAGGAACGGGCACCACAAAAATCCGACATCGATGAACCCTCGACTGTGATCAGTCCGTTTACGGAAAGCGAAAGTCAAGGAAAGGACCAGTTTGGGAGCCGACTGTCACGAGGCCATTGTTTTTGGACTCTTTGCACGCTCCCTTCGTCATTCACTCGGGCCCCACGTGAGGTAGACGTGAGTCGACAAAGGATCTCATCTCCTCACTCGACGGCTCTTCCACCCCATCCACGCCGGCTACCCTTCTAACCGTCGATAATCGTTTCCGGAACCGAAATCGTTCGAACCCGGGACTACCATATCATTATCATCTCAGAACAACCAGCCGACCACCTTTCCGATCCCAAACCCCCAATATGAGGTCCTATTCGATTGCCATTGCGGCTTTGCTTGCCGCAACGTCGGCCATGGCGGCGACTCCGACAAAGGGTGTCGAGGAGCCCTCGTCGCCGGCCATGCTGAATGTTCCTGTCGTCCAGGGCTGCTATTCATCTGCCGGCGAACTGAAGTACCAATCAACCGAATTGTACAACTCAAAGAGCAAATGCGCATCCGATATCTGCTTTAAGAAAGGGAAGGCTGTCGCTGGCACAATGGGTGGAAATCAGTGCTTCTGTGGAGACAAGTATCCTCCGAAGCTGGCTCTTGCCAACGACACCGATTGTAATCTCGGATGCAGTGGCTTCGACCAGCAAGCTTGTTAGTCGCAGAGAGATGGCTCGCCCCTTTCTTCCGAGATCAGTGTTGCTGACCTGTTTCCTCCCAGGTGGTGGTTCTTTCTTTTGGACAATTTACAATACCGGCCTGACGCTGGCTGTAAAGGTCTCTAGCGACGATGTTTTGGAGTCTGCCAGCCCGAGCTCAAACCCATCCAAGACGGGTTCTGTCGTTACCAAGCCAGGTATGGCGGTTCTTATCGAGCACCTAGGCTATCAGGCCAGCCTGCTAACGTTGGATTAGGGGGAATCGTCACCGTCACTGGAATTGAGACGGATAAACCGTCTGGGGGTCCGAATACGGCGGGTATTGCTGCTGGTGTTGTAGTCTCCGTCGTCGTCGTTGCGGCTATCATTGGTGGAGTCTTCTTTATGTTCCGCCGCCGACGGAACCGGGAGATCGAGGAGGAACACCGTCGCAACGCCGCTGTCAACGCCTTTATTCACGGCTCAAAGCCACCCACTAGCAGTGGCGGATATTCTGTCACAGATGCTCGCCTTGACCCCGTCATGGCCCAGAGGCGAGTCAGCAACGGGAGCATCGCAGACAATGAGGATTACTCGAGGAGGATTCTTCGGGTGAGTCAAACTTTCAATTCCTAGCACAATTCAATCCCAGCCTACTGACAGCAGCACCCCCCCCAGGTCACCAATGCCTGAGCAGATCCCTTGACGACGAACGACTCTCGCCTGTACTTTACTTTCGATCGGCATACTCGGCGTTGGGGTGAACATGTTATATTCTCGACATTGACGGATCAATCCGTGCAATAAATCTAACCGGCGTTCATACCATGCGGCTGGGGAAAGCGGCATATGTTTGGTCATACACTGGAAGTGGCCATGTGGAATCTGCTTCCCCCTTCGCTGTCCTCTCCTTTACACCTCTTCGCATCTCACCACTTTGGGTGTGTCGGTCGCCGAACCCCTTACTATCGACGATGGAAATCAGTCGTAGCGGTTCACCTTTTTCTGCACTCGGCAGCCTTGGTTGGCACGTCTCAGCTACTGGCAAGTCAAACTGATCGGGAATATTGGACAGACCAGTTGGACAACGTGCATTGCCGTCCACTGGTTGTCCGAACGATAGGCATGTCTGTCTCAGACGTCCATCATTTGATATCGAGACGTCGTTTTCCGGGATATGGAAACCCGTCTGGGGACATGGGGGGATGTGGTCCGATGGGAATGACTGTAGCTACTCTTTGGAAGGCTTAGACAATTCACACGGAGGAATTCTATTACGATTCTAGACGGGGCGAGGCTTGACCGTCCCATCAGAACCCCTCGGAGCTTCATCGTTTCCCATGCCTCGGCGGTGAAATTTTTCCAAATGAAATTAGCCCCCTGCCCGTCTTGCCTTGGAAGCATCCATGAGGTTTTTTTTTTGTGGCAGTACCTTTTTCATGGCGCTGAGCCTCGCTGTTTACTGGCTCAATTGGTCCCATCCTTGAGCCGATCGTTCATGCACGCACTGATTGTTGCACAATCGTCAGAACTGGCAATCTTGGGGCTTAGACCCTTATGAAACAACAAGGCCATTGGAGCTTTGTTTGTCAAAGGCGCAAACGGGACTCGAGTCCCCGGGTATCATTCGCCGCAGATGATGGTTTTCTTGGTTCAATGCTGCCTGTTCGACGCAGGCTGTACCAGGGGAAATGTCGTGTTTTTGCCTTCCGGTTGCCTGTTTGTTAGTGTGATTCTCTGAGGAGGGATTCTTTCCGAGGTATCTAAATGGCAGGGTTCCGCCGCCAAAAAAGAGTTGCTGAAATGCAAGAAAAACGAGAAGACGGACATGTCGGAAACAGTTTATTCACCGTTTGGCCGTAAGAATTGAGCAGTTGGTATTTGCGTGGATGCGGCTGTGGGATTGTCATCCCTGCACGACGGTCCCATACTAACAATTTTTTGGGGCTGGAATTCAAGGCAACCACCACGATTTTGGAGGCTGTTATTTATCTGTGTTGCTGCCCTGCCAGCCGAATCCACTGTATATCGATTTTGCTTTGCAAATGGAACCTATAGAGGCGCCATGAGTTCTCCAGCTACATCTGTACAGGCCGAGTCGCGTAGAGCCTGCGTCAACTGCGCAGATGCCAAGGTAAAGTGCGTCCCTCGCGAGACTGGCGTGGTTGCGAGCTGCGAGCGGTAAGTTTCAATGGAAATCATTAGCTTCATCCGATGCCCTAACGGCACCTGGCAGTTGTCATCGTTTAAACAAGGTGTGTGGCGTGCGGCCAAGGCAGGCGAGGAGGCGAGCCAGAAAGAGGGGCCATGTTGCTCTGGCTCAGAAAGTCGACGAGATTGTCGCCCTGCTTGCTGGCAGGCCGGGCCCGGTATGTGGGGTCTCGGGAAGTGTGACACCGGCCCCGGGTGCCGCTCCTCCTGAGGTCCCGCGCACGCTCCAGACCCTGCTTATAGACGATGCCGAGGCCGAGGCGCTGCTCCGTCACTTCCGTCAGGACCAGGCCCCTTATTCCCCCTTTGTCGAGGTTGCCGAGGACACAACAGCAGCCTCACTCCGCGCCGAAAAACCACTGCTCTTCCTTGCCATAATGATGGCTGCCTCGCACGACAACACGGCTCGCCAGGAAACCTTCTCCAGGGCAGCCATTTCCTTGGTCGCCGACCAACTTCTCGTTCAGGGGCGAAAGAACTTGGCACTTCTCCAGGGGATGCTGGTGCTCCTCAACTGGTACCATACCCAGATCTTTGTCAACCCGCAAATCACCAACCTGCTCCATCTGTCCACGGCCCTTACGACAGATCTTGGGCTGAATCAGGCCCCGACTCCTGCGGAGACTTACACCCTGTCATCCGGCATCAGGAAGGCCATCTATGGGCTTGGCATGAACTCTCAAGAGCGGACGCTGGAGGAGCGAAGAGCCTATGCCGGCTGCTTCTACCTGGCCTCTATCTTCTCCACCAGTTTTAACATCCGCACGGAAATGCCATGGACGACGGAACTGGACGAGTCGTGCCGTATTCTAAGCTGCTCTGGGAAAGACAGCGATTTACGGCTGGTAACCTTTGTGAGGCTGCAACACACAATCTCCCAGATCAGTCAGATGCAGAGGGAGATTACCGCGAATGGAGGTCTCTCGGCGCCATTGACGGTCTACATCACCCCCTTCGAGGAGAGCCTGACGCAGCTCTGGGACGACAGCCCGGAAACCCTCCGCCAAAATGGTACGTAGGCAGGCAGATAAGGCCTCCCCCTTTCGCAAAAGAACCAACTCCCCCTCCCTTCCCGCCCCAAAGCCCTCTCCATTCCACAACATGTACATGTACTTGTACCACGCCCAATCCATTATCCGCCCTCAGCTAATAACCATCCTCCCTCCTCCCCTTCTCACCAGCCCACGTCCAAATAACCCACCACGCCGCCCTCATGCACCTCTACAAGACCAGCTGCCTACCCCCCTCCCCATCTCCATCCCCGCCCCCGCCCCGCCCCGCCGACCCCGCAACATTCGTCTCCCTCAACCGCGCCCGCCACCGCTGCCTCGCCTCGGCCCTCGCCTGCCTCGACGTCCTCCTCGGCGTCCCGCCCGAGCGCTTCTACCACAACTCGGTCGCCCTCTTCATCCAGGTCGGCTACGCAATGATCACCCTCGGCGTCCTCGCCCGCTGTAGCCCCAGCCCCTGGGGGGAGGACGGGGGCGGCGGTGGTGGTGGTGGTCTGCCGGCGCTGCTGGAGCGCGTTGCGCTGCATCTTGATCGGTCGTCGGCGGTGGTGGGGGACGGGGGCGCGGAGGGGGATTCTAGAAATGCGAGGCTGGTTCAGTGGGCTGCGTGGTTGAGGATGTGTATCCGGCGGCTTGAGGCGGAGGAAGGGGTTGTTGGGGATGGGGCGGCTGGCGCCGGGTGGGGTGCCGTAACCCCCGGGGAGGGGGTAACTGGTGGTGGTGGTGATGTTGCGCCGGGATTCCTGGACACCGATGGTCTTGGTATGGACTGGGCTGCGCTGGCGGATGATATTTCTGGGCTTGGCTTGTTTGGCTTCGCGGATGATGCGCTGATGGGGGATTTCCTTGCTGGTGAGAGCGATGTGGTGCCCGGCGGGTGAGATGGTGGGAAGCCTTGGGGTGTTTGTTGTTGAGGTTGTAACTGTACTTGAGTGTTGGTTCACGGATACCTGTGATTATCTCTGTGCAGTACCCAGGTGGTAGATTATCAAATGATCCAAGATGTATTGCTATCACAAGCGGTAGAATGGTATATTTATTGTTACGGCTCAACCTGGTGAACCACTATTGATCTTGCGAATGTCTACTATCTGACTTCCTATGGTACTTCCTCCAGGCACATCTCGTGGCTACGATTGCTCAGTCACATTCTACAGCTTATCGCCAGAGTATTCCATTCCATTACAGTCGTGATAGTCTGTCTTGTCTACCCAATCAAATCCAAGCAAAGTCGGCGGCCCGTGCCAGTCGAAACGTCCCGCAACTAGGTACCCAATCCCAAACAAATCCTGCCCTTCCTTCCCAGCTCGTCGCCTTCGTTCCACCTTCGACGCCCGACCCAGACCCAAGCCCGGGCCCGGGCCCGGGCCCTATTGTTACAACTGACACGATCTAGATTACACAAGGTGTTGACATGAGCGTCGTAAAGCACGTCGAAATTCCAAATGCCGACTCGGAATTGCGAAGTCGCACCAAGTCGAAGGGCGGGGAGGCGTGCATGCGTGCGTAAATCATGTTCCTTGGAAGGGGAATCGGAAACAACCAAAAAACAGACCCATATCAATACCGTTCGTCGTCCATCGTCTATCGGGAATACGCAGCTCGTGACTGGCTGCGAAATGGCAGTCCTGTGGAAGCAAGCAGAGACGAGGGGTGCAAGGAGAGGCCGAATTAATCTCCAAAAAGAAATATTGGTGAAAAACACATCCGAAAGACCAGCAGCAATCAAGCGCTCCTAGGAAAATGGCCGACCGGGAAATCGAGGATCACGAACTCTCAGGCACTGCCGAAGAAGACGTCGTCACTGTTAGTGAACATGGCAACGGCGTCGTAATCGTCGTCGAACTTGGCCCCGAGCATCATGTCGCGATCCAGCTGGACGAGCCCGCCCTCGCTGGCGAACAGCAGCATGTCGTCCTCGAGCGACATGCCGGACATGCCGCCCCCGCCGCCGCCGCCGCCGCCCATGCCTCCACCGAGCCCCATGGACGCGTCGTCCGAGAGGCCGCTCGAGTTGGGGTCCAGGTTGAAGAAGCGGTGGTGGTGGTGGTGGTGGGCCGCGTCCGTCGTCGCGGGCGGCGAGCTGGACGACGCCGCCGACAGGCCTGGCGGCGTCCCAGGCTGGTGCGTGTAGTGGCTGGCGACGCTCTTGGCCGGGGAGCCGGGGTGCGTGGGAAGGCCGTGGCAGTTGGTGGATTCGCCGCCGCCGCCGATGGAGGCGTGCGACATGTGCGAGTAGTTGCTCCGCGCTGAGGGTGAGTGGATCTCCTCCGGCGTGACGACGCCCAGGACCTCGGACATGTCCATACTGCCTTCCAGGGTCGGCATGGGAGCCGACGAGGAGACGGCAAGGTCGGTCGGGTCCATGGTCACGGTGGTGGGGACGTCCATCGAGGCCGAGTCCGGGCCGCCCATGGCGGCCCTCATCATCTCGGGGAACGGCCTGTCGTCGAGCATGCCGTCAAAGTCGTGGTCGTTGTCGTTGTCGTGGGCCGGCGAGTTGGCGCCCGAGCTGTCCGAGTAGCCCGACTGGCTGCTCGCCGAGCTGGGGCTGTTGCTGTTGCTGCCGCTGGCGGTGGCGGAGCTGGAGGCCGTGTTCTTGCGGCGGGTGCGCTCGCGCTTGTCGCGGCGCTCGTCCATCCCTGGCCTGTGGTGCTTCCTCGGGCGGCCGCGCTTGACGACCTTGCGCACGATGCCGTCGAAGGCGCCGATGCACATGCCGCGCTGGCGGTGGCGCGTCAGGGCGTCGTGGCGCGCGAAGCTGTTGCCGCACTCGCACGGGTACGGCTTGATGCCCGTGTGGATCTTGGCGTGCCGCTTCAGGTCGTGCTGCCGCACGAAGCACTTGTGGCACGTCGGGCACTGGTACTGCCGGTCGTTGAGGTGCGTCTGCACGTGGCTCTTGATGTTCTCCTTGCGCCCGAACTTCTTGCCGCACGACTCGTACAGGCACGCCCACTTGCCGTCGCGCGGGTCTGGCCCCTCGATGTACGCCGCGATGTCGTCGCCCGTCACCCCCGTCTCCGTCTTGGTCTCCTCGATGTTGATGCTTGAGATGCTGGCCGCGCTGACGATGGACGCGAGGGACTCGGTCCGCCGGTGCTCGTGCTGGTGGTGGTGCGAGCCATGGTGCGAGCCGTGGTGCGAGCCGTGGTGCGACTCGGGCGACCGCGCCGCGTGCATCGCCATCGCCGCGATCTGGGACTCGAAGTCTGCGTGCCGGAGGTCCTGCTTGGTGTCAAATGGCCCCGAGGGCCCGAAGCCACCTCCCATGTGAGGAGTCATCGGCGAGGACTGCTGGCAGAGCTCGGGCGACATGTCGATGGTATTGTTGGCTGGCATGCCGTCGAAGGTGTGTTCGAGCTTGACGAACTCGGTGTTCAGGTTGTTCATGTCCATGAAATCTGGCGTCGGCATCGCTGCCGCGTTGGTATTGTGGTATCCCATGGACATGGCATTGGATCGCTGCGGCGTCTGGGAAATGCCCTCGGCCTGCTCCCGCATCTCCTGGAAGATGTCGGAGCTTCGCTGACTCGACCTCTTGCCACGGACGGGCTTGAGCGTCTCCTCCATCGACTCGTCGTAGTCGTCCGAGAACCTGTTCGGCCGCGACGGGTCATGCTTCATCATGCGGTCATGGGGCGTCTCCATGGGGGTGGGTGGGAGGTAGCCTAGATTCGCCTCGCTGTCAGTTCCGAAAAAGTTCCAAGTCTTCTCTATCCCGCGACCCCCTGCGTCACCCGCATGCGGAACTTACTGTTCATATTCTGATGGGGTGGCGTTACGGGCCTCTGCTGCGTGGACCCCGATTCCACGCCGCCGTGTCCCATACTCTCAAACTTGGCAACCCGGTCAACAATGCCGTTGCTGATGCGGCGCGACGTCCTGCGCCCTTTGGGGCTCGCCCTCTCGTCCTCGGATATCCAGCCGCCCTGCTGCGACCCTGCGTGGCCGCCGTCGGGGAAATTCACAAACGTCGGCGTGGACAGGGCGCTGTCGGCTGCGAAGAGATCCAATTCTTGGCCGGACGCGGCATTGCAGCTGTCGTTGTTGTTGTTGCCGTGGTGGGGGTAATTCGGCCGGGTCTTCTTCTTGTACATGCCGTTGACGGCCCCGACGTACGGATCGAAGGGGCCACCCATTTCTTGCATGTGGCCCTGGTTGGCGAGGGCATTGACGTATCGTTGGCTGTGCGGCGTCTGATGCGGCGAGAGGAGGAAGTTCTCGTCCTCTTCGGCCGCGAATGGGGGCTGGCTGGGGCCCGGGCGTGCTATGCGTTGCTGCTGCGTTTCTCGCAGAACATGCTGTGGTGTCGTTGCTAATCCTGTCTTGTTAGTGGTTGAGGTACTTACCGTGGTGTAGTCCTGCCTGGTGGTCGTCGTTGCCCTCGTCGGCGAGACCTGCAGCCGGTGCGTGTCCAGGCTGAGGCCCCTCCGGTGGGACATGTGCGGTTGCCGGTGCTGCTGGTGGTGGAACCTGGGCAGGGGCGCGATCTTCACTGCCTCGAACGCGGTGGGCGTCGAGTTCTGCCGCCGGTGTTGCCGTTGGCGCGAGTGAAGATTGCTGGCGATGGGAGGATTGGACAGCATTGTTAGAGTGCAGAGTGGAGTTCGGATATGGGAGGGGGAGGTTATCGTTGTCGTCGACGGGGGATGGGAATTGTCACACGCAGTCTTCAAACTCGTGCTGGTCGATTGGGATCCGAGACTTTGGGGGAGACACCTTGTCAGCGAGCCAGATCCAGATCTCCAGGCATGGGCGGATTCGTCTGTCTGGTTTACCTCACGCAGCGCAAGCCAGGCGGCCGGGCAAATCGTCTTCCTGTAGTTGTGCCCAGTCGATGCTGACCTGGCAGTTGGCTACCGAGATATGTTCACTGCCTTATTCAGGCAACCTTGTAAGTTGCTGAAAAGCTCTAGCCTGACGGATGAAGCTTTTCGCGAGTGTGTATGTGTGTATGTGTGTGTGTGTGTGTGTGTGTAGAGTTTTGAGCTTATTTGTAGATGTGGGTTGTGTATGCGGGTGTGATCAATTGGCAAGATGATAAAAATCGAACCAAGAGATCGGGAGGTGAGTAGTAGCAGCAGAAGTTTTGAGTATGTATGGAGCTGCGCAGGTTGCTGAGCGGGCGGCAAGCAAGGCGGGATGGGGCAACCTGGGCGGAGCTCTTTGTTGACTTCCGGGGGGCAGGGTTGCCAGGCAACCACGGGCCGGGTCGACCCAATTTACCCGCATGAAGATCCGCCCGCCAAAAAGCCCCAGCACCCAATGGCGGATCTCGCTAAACTTGGTTCCAGCTGTTTTTCTCACTGCCCATTTCGACTTCCAGGAATAATACAGACCGACGTATAACAACAAAGGCCATCCCCAGGGCGCAAATCGTTGTTCAATATGTCATTACTACGGTGTCCTTCTTCCCATCGTCTTATGCGGCGTTTTAAGAGAGGCCAACCAGTTCGGACCAAGCCTGAAAAGAGGAAGCCGGGCGGACCAAAACAATCTCGAATGTTTCAAGTAGTCGGAAGAGTTGATCCAAATCGCCGACCGCCCTGACAACCACCATCAACAAGACCCGTCCATGCCACAAGTGACCGATCGATACCGATCCGCCCCCTCTTGGCAACGGGTCCTGGTTTTGCTATCCTGATTTCTTTGTCTTTGATGGGAGACCCTCCACTGGGAGACGGCCCGCACCGCATGCACTGTATCTGCACCTGCCCGTGCTTTGGGACCACAGCGTTGGGCAAGTCGACCACCATAACTTACGTGGTCAGGATCAAGGCCGGATTAGGAGATGCAGGCAACCACGAGATCACGAATTGGAATTCGCCATTGCTGGCCGAGTGGTCAGCAGTTAAGTCGGTGTATTCTGAATTGGCGACAAAGGTCCCCCGCTCACATGCGATCTGCCTCGACAGCCGCTGCTTCCCGGCTGGGTGGAATGCTGCCCAGGAATGAACCCCGACGTTAGGATTGCGAGCACGAGACCATTTGTGGGGGGCTCATCCGAGTCAAGCGCCGGGAACTCTTTTTGTCGCCGTCTATCCGTAACTGCCTGCCTAATGTTGACTGATGGACTCTCGTTCTCTCCATCTGCCGGCCCGGGTGGAATGCTCGGAGCATCATATTCTCCGCGTGGACGTTGATCACGGGTTTCGTACTGCTCAAACCGAAGCAAGGCCCGGTGACACGGTCTAAAAAAAGAATCATGTTTAAGACAATACGGCTTAAGCTCTTCGTGTTGGCTGTTCATGCGCAGGTAATTCCAATTTCGGGCGGTGAAGAATACACGATGATCCCACAGTGAATCTGAATCGAGTGCTCACTCCCATCTTCCTCCCTTCTCATGTAAACATTCTTTCCCGCGGAAGAGCACATACTCAACGCCCCCAAGACCAATTCCGGCACCTGCAAACACAGACCAAAAAAAAGCAAGAAACCAACAGAAACGAGAAAGAAAATCAATCCATCCCGAAAAACCGCTCAATCGTCCTCCTCAGGTCCCCAGTCCGCCGCCGGATGCTGCGCCGAACCCGGCTCGTCCCCCGCGTCCGCCGGTGCTCGCGATCGTAATCGTCACTGCCGTCGTCTCCATCGTTACTCGCCTGCGTCGGTCTCGCGCCGGGGCCCGGACCGGGAGCCTGGGCCTGGGCCTGGTTGCGGGGGGGCTGCGACGTGTAGATCGGGGGAGGCGGGTGGGCGGGAGGGGGGCGGGCCGGTTGGGGTTGGGGTTGGGGTTGGCGGTAGAGGAAGGGCATCCCTGGGGGTGGCTGGCGGGGTGGCTGTTGTTGTTGCTGTCTTGCCCTTGGTGGTGCGGTGGCACCTGGGTAGACTGCTGGGGCTTGGGGTTGTCTGTACAGAGGCGGTATCCCTTGCTGCTGCTGCTGCTGCTGCTGCTGGGGTGCCTGTTGCCCTGCTCTTGGGGTTGGACCAGGCGGGAGAGCCCCTGCTGCTGCTTCTTGTTGTTGTCCGTATAAATGTGGCATTGCTTGTGGCGGCGGCTGCGGCCTGGGCGGCTGCCATCTTCTTTGCCCTGGATACAGGGGGGCATTAGTTGCTTCTGCTAGCGATCGCTCGTACTGGGGTGGCATCAGTTGCGGCTGCGGCTGCGGCTGAGGCACCTGCTGCTGCTGTGCGCCTTGAGTTCGAGCTGGAGGGAGAGCTGCTGCTGCTGCTTGTGATTGTCCGTATCGAGATGGCATCGCTTGTGGCTGCGGCTGCGGCTGAGGTGCCCGTTGCCTCACCCCCCGCGGCGGAATTGGAGGCGGAACAGCCCCTTGTGGTTGGTCATACGTGAACAGCATCGTTTCGGCCTCCGGGCGAGACGCTTGCTGCGTCGTTCTCCCTGCCGTGGATGCAGAAGGAGGAGGAGGAACATCTGCTGTTTCTAGCTCATATGAGAAAAGCTGCTTCGGGGAAACCGGCGGAGGCCTCGCTCCCTGCCTGTCCACGCTCCTCCGGCGCAGGGAAGCAGCTGCTTGTGATGGACCATACGACGTTGACGTCCTTCTAGCCGGGCCCTGGGGCAGCGGCTGTTGCCCTGTTCCCCGTGGCGGACCAGCAGGAGAAGGAGAAGAAGGGGCCGCCGCTCCTCGTGGTGGTCTATATGCGGATGGCATCTCCCGAGGCCGCTGGTGGGGCGCCTGTCGCGCTGCTCCCGGCTGTCCGGGAACGGGAGTTAGCGGTCGTGGTGGCATCTGCCGACGCACCGGGGGAGGTTGCCGTCGCCCTGTGCCGGGGGTCGGGGGACTAGGGGTCCTGTATGGGGTTCTACTGTAAGTCTTCGTCATATAAACCTCCCGTGAGTAAGATATAACTTGCCTTGGACCCCGGCCTGGAGTGGGAGATGTATGAGTTGCTGTCGTAGCAGGACCTGCCCTTTGGGGCTCGGATGGGTCCATGTCAACGTCTCCGTCAGCATCTGGAGGAGGAGGAATATGATACATAGGAGCAGCTAAAGAAGATGCTGCAGGAGGTGCCGCAGGCTGAATTGTTGCTTGTCCCGTAGGGAGAACCGTGGCGTAAGAAGAAGAAGCCTGTGGTTGTCCACGGACCTGACCGGACGGCCCTGCTCCTGCTGGCTGTGGTGACCGATGCGGCCTATATTGCCGCGTGGTTGCCGGTTCAGCGCCGGGAACTGGTCGTGGGGCCGGAATCTGTGGGGGCCGAGCTGCCACTTCCGGTCCTGCCCTGGGAGCTACTGGCTGAGCGGATGGGTCCTGCGGCGGTGGCGTCGCCGGTTTCTGGGCTTGGGTCGGTGACTGAGTCGCGGTGGAAGGCACAACAGACACGGGGGGCGGCGGGTCTCCGAAGATCTCATGGGCCAGTCGCTGGATCTCCTCATCTTCTGGCCCTGATGCGGCGGCTTTCTTCGCATATTCCTCGAATTCTTTGGCAAGGATGGCAATCGACGGGCGTGTGGTGGGATCGTGGTTCATACACGCGACGACAAGCTCTCGAAGTTCCAGGTCGACGTCGTCGAATTCGTTCTCGAAGAGATAACCTCCGTAACTCCACTCGTATCTAAGTGTCTTCTCGGGAGTCTTCTCGTAGTGCCCAATGTGTTCCCTGGCTTCAGGGGGGTACGTGGGGTGGCAGAGGGTTATCAGCGACCACATAACCTATCAATAGGGGTTAATGCCTTCGAACTGTTGCTTGGGGCTGGCTACTGTTACTTACGTGGGCAGCTTGATACATGTTTGTCCACCAGTGGTAATTGCCCGCCGTGGGCTCGTCTCGCCAGTATGGGGCCCCGGGCACAAAATCCCATTCTTCGGTAAACTGTTCCTGCTCATTGTCAGCACCAACCCGACTTGCATCGAGATACGGGTCATTTACCGGCGTGTAGTACTCTTGTTTTCCGCAAAGCCGCGCACGCCATGTGTATTGCCTGGTCATGTCGGTTTAGCTATCATCGCTCTCGGTCGAGTTACCACCTTCGATTGCGGACCGGGTCTAATTAGCCAGAGACTTACTCGTGGTTTCGGAAATTCACGTCTATGACCCTTGATATTCCCAAGTCCGAGATCTGCTAGAGTTTAACATACTGGAACCAAACTTTTGGCGGTTCTTTGGGGCTGCGCTCACCTTGATAAGAGGCACTAGATTGTGCTCGTCCTCATCGAAGTCCCCGACCAGGACTGGAAAAATGTTAGTAGCTACCAGCAAGACCGCAGCAAGCGCCGAACCTACCATTCGATGCATCGATGTCGAAGTGGATCATGACCGGCGATAGGAAGTCTGGCTTAGCAAAACCGACGTGACTCTCGCTGACCTGCGGCAGGTTTGTGGTTTCAGCATTCAATCCTGGCGGTTGGAACCCGCGAGGATATGCCATAGCGAGACACGCCTTGAACACTGCTCGACCATGATCGGTAATTATTAGTGGCCTCTCCGGGGACATGATGCAGATAGGATGGGGACTTACGACAGTGGAAGATCTGCCACAGAACCTGGTCTGGGAATCGCTTTGAGGCTGCACCCATCTTCTCCAGGTAGGTATTCAGGTTCCCTCGCCTCATGTATTCGAGGAACAAGATGTCTTTCCTCGCATCGAAGGCCTGCCTTGCCTTCTCCACGGTGTTTCCTCCAGAACTGTTGTTATTGTTGTTGTTGTTGTTGTTGTTGTTGTTGCTGTTACCGATGGCGAGTCCCCTGAATTGGGTGGATAGGCTCCCGGCTGGGGGAGCTTGACTGGAAGACGCGTGCGGTTGTTGTCCCTGGTTCTTCGATGGCGAAGCCTGGAGCACGACACGCTGGACAATGTGCTTTGCCCCAGCCATTTGCTAATGATACCCAGTTAGTCAGTCATGGCTGAGGGGGAGTCAAAGGGGGTGCCATTCAGCGATGTCCATGGGGGGCTTACGTACCATGTGGTTATCCCACTCAAGTTCCAGTGTGTCGTCAGGGTTTTGGCTTATGCTGGCCTTGCAGACGATCTTGAACTTTTCGCCGTTCTCCTTGGTTGTTTCACACAGGCAGGCTATCCCACCTCCACCCCAGCCGATCATCTTCTCGAAGCGGATATTGGAAGCCTTGAGCTGGGCTTCGAGTTGTTGAGCGGCTTTATGGGCTTGGGGTCTCAAGGATCCCGGCCCAACTTCATCGTGCGTACTCCTTATCCGCTGGGGCTTACTGGGGAACCGAATTCGCTCGTGGCCCTGCCAAGTGCCCAGCCGCGGGAAACTGTCCTTCTTTGCTGCGTTCTTCACGTGGCTGTCGAAGTGGTTCACCTTTCCTGCTCTCCATAACTGGAAGAATCGCGTGCGCATTTTCTGCTCGTCCCGAAACTCTTTCTCCGAGATTGAACCCAAACCCATGATTTATTTAATAGAATGGGGCGAGCTTCTAAACTGACTTGTGGTGGTGTTCTGATAATCGTGATGTCAACAAGGGCTGATGTGTGATTCCGGAAATCTCAAGGCCGCCCGGTAGCGATCTGAGCAATTATAATATACCTAGTCTAATTACGTCCAGTCAACCTCCAAGAAGCAAGCATTTCACTCGCCATTTGTCAAGACCCAGACCATGAATCAAGGGCAAAGGGCGACAAAGATATATATGGTCCTGATCTCGCCGTTTCCGGGGAACTGAGCCCTCAATAGCTAGACAAAGAAGGGATGAACCACAGCCTACAGTTCCTCACTTCCAAAAGCGGGCAACCATCCCCCCTTGGCGGGAGGCTTTGTGATTTCGTCCCTTCCACCGTTCTTCACGTGCTCCCAAAACTTCTTGCCGTTGCGTTTGTCATCTGAAAATAGATGGTCGAGGACGAGTTTCCGGGGTGTTTCCGTCATCCACTCGAAGAGCGAAAAATCCCGAAACTCGTCCGCCCGGAAGATCTCAAGCATCTCCACGGGCTCGTCCCCGATGTTCTCGACGAAATGTCCCATATTCTTAGGCACAACGCCCACATCGCCGGGGAGATAGTCGAAGGTCCTGGCAGTCCCCTCCGCTGCAAAGACAGTCACACGGGCACGGCCACGGATAAAGAAGGACCACTCGTCCGCATTGGGATGCCAGTGCATCTCGCGGAGAGCCCCGGGTTCGATGAGGAGGTGGGCGGCCGCCACGGTCTTGGATATGGCGAAGTTCTTGGAGTCGGCGATGCGCACCTGGCCCCCTGTCGTGTTCTTTGCCTCCTGGGCTAGCATCCGGTGCGAGAATTGGTACTTGGACTTCTTCGCATTTTTCCCGTCGGGGCGCTCTTTGTCAATGGAGCCGGGTGCGGTTCCCTGAAAGATGTACTTTTCCGAGTCCGGAATGTGGTCAAACACCTCGGGCGCTAAATGGAAATTCTCTGAGACGACGGATTTGGGAGTGTGGGCTTGCTCTTTGTGAGTAACCAATTCATGTTGTGCCAAGGAGGGAGGAAGGGGGCAGCGGCATGGCAGGGAAGTGAAAACCACAGGACTCACCGAGCCAGTCTGTCAAAAGAAAAGTCGATTCCTCCGAGAAACTGCCGTCGTCAAAGATGAGCAGAAACTCGGTGCCGTTTGGACCCAGCCCCTGCAGCGAATGCGGGACGCCGCTGGGGAAGTACCAGAGATCCCCCTTTTCGAGATCGTCCATGAAATTCCCACCCTCGTAGTCGAGGGCCGTGATGCGCACCCTGCCCTCGAGGACGTAGGCCCACTCGGCCTCCTGGTGCCAGTGCAGTTCCCGGATGACGCCCTCGTCCAATCGCATGTTCACTCCGGCGAGCTCGACGCTTGTGGGCAGCTCGCGAACCGTCGTCTGGCGGGTCCACCCTCCCTCCTGAGCTGGCGTCAGAACTTCATTCGTTGGGCACAACAAGCGAGTTCAAAACATGGAGACACGAAAAAGAAAAAAAAAAAAAAAAAAAAAAAAAAACAGGAGATAAGACAAACGCATCTATCTCACCTCAATCCTGACATGCGAGTCCGCAAAGCTCCACCGCAGACTCGGCATGTCCCCGTGATCGGTCGAAGGCGGGCGCACGACGTCCGGGTTCTGCCTCGCGCGCCCTCGGTTCCAGGGTCCCAGGACCGAGGCGCCGCGCCCGCCCCTCCAGGGCAGCGGGTCGAGATCGCGGCCGACGGAGTCGACGGCGCCGTCGTATGGGTCCCGGTGGCCCGGCGTGTACGGCGGCGGCCCGTCGTCACCGCCGTCTAGGGGGAGCTGGTGGGGTTTGTTGTCTTGCACCGGGGCGCAATGGCTGAGAGGCGAGAGGGTGGCCCCCAGGAGGAGGAATTGGCAGGCAGAGAGGGCTGTTACTTGGGAGAACATCGTGGAGGGTTTAGGGAGGTTGCGTGATATGTGCTAAGCCCGTGTCGTGAGTGAGTGCTCGTTGATAGTGCTGTGGTCCCCAATCGCGGCCTTTTTTGCAACCAAGAAGCGGTTCTGGCTGCAAAGCAGTCTACGGAAACCTGGTGATTCAAGGTTTGTGGAGCGGTATAATTCCCAAGTCATGACGTTATCCTGACGTGAGCCCCGGTTCATGAGAGAATCAAGAAGTAGGTAGGGTCGCCAAGGTGTCACCAGAGTATCGCGGAGATGGCAAAAGATGGGATCTTGGTGCACCTAGACATGCGGTTTGCGGAGTATTGTGGTGTTATCTTGCACTGTTCCACCCCCCTTTTTGGGGGGGGTGTGAACAAGCGTGAAAGCAACCGAAAAAATCGTAGAGGATGCAAGAACAGCCATTTTATCAACTCTTATCCATGTGGTCTAAATAAGGTCATAATAATTTTAAAGATTAAACGATTTGATATAGAAAAGCAGCCTTGAGAGGTGACGCCCAGAGTCAGGGTGGGTTGGAAGGGGAAGCAGACAACTGGGAAGGTGTCTTCCTCACGCGGGGCTGCGGCGGCGAACCAAGGCGGGAAGGGGGGCAGCCAAGTGGCCGATACCACAGTTATGGTTCTAATAGGAGGAGTAGATCTTAGCTACCCTCGCTGCGGCTCACCTGGTGGGAAGCCAAGATGCGGCACGAGCCGCACTTCTACAAGCCCCTGATATCGGTATCTCTGCCTGATTTACGTCATGGCCATCGGATGGAGGCTTCTCCTGTGTCAGCAGGTGGAGCGCCAGCAGGGTGCGGGGATGTGGGCCCAAGCGCTTCACACAGGTAGACATCACCTCCCGAGACCATCTCCATGGTATCGAGAGAAGCAGAAACAGGCGGCGGCGGCGGCGGCGGCGGATGACTGATGACCGATGGCGGATGGAACGAAATTTCCTCAGGACCGCTGGTTATCAATCATCAGGGCGCCAAGCCGGCTGTGATTGGATGTAACCGGCGCGGGTGGGCCAATGACTAATTAATAATGCCTCGTCTCGCCCTTCCCTCACCAGACGGGAGACTCGGCACGCCCTGCCATTTCTACTTTACTATGGCAGGATTGCTTTCTGCGCGCGCGAATCGCCCGAATCGCCCCTAACCGCCCCCTAATTTGTCCTGACACCAGACACACGCCTCGTTGATCAAGCGGAAAGAGTGAATATGCCTCGCCCCTGCGAGGTAACTTGGCTATATATAAGCTCGTTGGCCCTCTCTGCCTTTGCAATGCTATTCCATGAAACCCAGCACATTCTCCCTCCTCGCAGCCAGCAGAACCTCCTCATCAACCTGATACCCACACTAGCTTGAGTCCCCGGTCACCTTCCTATTACCATGTCTTCTCCCAAGTCTGTCGCCGTCATCACATTCAGCACTCGCACTCCCCGGGTAGGCCCCGAGATTGCCGCCATTGTCAAGGAGATCCTCGACAAGGATGCGGAAGCAAGTGGCATCCAGCTGACGCCCGTCGACCTGGCCGACTTCAACCTCCCCGTGTACGACGAGCCCGTCGTCCCCGCCATGGTGCCCGCGAACGCGTCGTTCATCCACCAGCACAGCATCGCCTGGAGCGCCGAGATCAAGAAGCACGACGGCTACGTCCTCGTCATCCCCGAGTACAACTTCGGTATGGCGGGCGGCACCAAGAACGCCATCGACTACCTGAAGCACGAATGGGTCGGCAAGCCGGCGGCCATCGTCAGCTACGGCATCGAGGGCGGCAAGACGGCCTCGGAGCAACTGAACCACACCCTGACCATGCTGACGCTCCGCGTCGCCGCCACGAGGCCGGCTCTCAGATTTTTCGGCGACCACGGACCTGAGATGCAGTCGGCCGTGTTTCAGGGCAAGGCCGGCCCGGAATCGAGGAAGGAGTGGGCCGAGAAGGACTCAGTCGACATATTGAAGGCGTTTGCTGAGCTGAAGGAGCTCCTGACGCAAGAGCCCCCCCCGCCCGAGAAGCAGAAGGTCTGAATGCTTGCTTGTAGTGATTCGTTAAGGGTTTAGACAACAGACCGTTTTGGGTTAATTTATTCATTGGGCGTGAAATCGACTGGGCATTTCTCATACATATGTTGAATTGAATAGGTTTGCGATGCATATCATACCTATATACTAAGTACCTCTGGAATGTGGTGATGTGACTAGGGACTCCACTGGCAACTGCTTCCAAGGCGTGTGTGCCGGTATCTGTCATATCCGTACATTGCAAAATTATCTTCGCTTGGATTCATGTGCATCAGTACAAGTTTCATGGCGCTGAAAAGTTGAAACGGATTGCGCAATTCATCCTAATATCACACCAGCCCACCACACCTGTTCACAATTATTTGTGATACGAATGTCCATCTTGAGCACTGCACACATAGTTTAATCGTAAATTAAACTCCGCTTGCCAGACCTGCATCATTCCTACCCGCCAGCTTCACAAAGCTGATTACCATAGAATTTTCCGCATGGTGTCATCTCTCTGATAGGGACGTTGAACTATCTGCGCCTTCATGCATCGCTGTTCATCGTGGTGTGTCACTCCCACGTCGACGGTTATCGCGTATCCTCCCAAAACTAACAAAATAAGCACGCCATCTGCTCGTAGTCTCCCATCGCGTTGACTTCTCCGGCATCACGCAATCGGCCAGCAGATGCGCCCATGTCTCGCTGTGCTGCTGTAAGGCAGCCCTCCCTGTCTTGTTTGTGGCGCTATCTACTCCCGGTGCATCATGCAGAGGGTGGTCTGCGGCTGGTGTCTTACTCTCCTCTCGTCTAGTGGACTCGGATGAAACGACACACCCTCGATTAGCGTCTTGCCCTGCTCCGATGGGATCTAACCTGCATGGCGAGGTGGAATACCATGGATTGACGTCAGCCGGGAGCAGCGACTCTATGATAAAGTACGACACACCGCCTATTTTTTCCCCTCAGACAGGTTCTCTCCTGTCCTTTTAAACCCCGGGCCGTGCACGCTGCTGACGACAAGACATGGCCAGTCTCGTCGAGTTCAAGCCGCATAGACGCGATTATGATGCGGTGTCGGATGCGGGATCTGATAAGGACCCCGCCGACGTCACCACCGCCCTCATCGGCCCGGGATCGGCTCTCGGCCAACCGGAAGTTCGGCGCCGCTTCTGGTGGTCTCGGGCGATTGTACCAGATCTGGACGCAATTGCTACGCAGGTGATGAATGGTTCCACCCGGAGACGGTCGTCTACATACTTGTTCGCTGACAACCCTAGAGCCTAGTGTATACGATGACAGAGAACTGGCAGAGGAGTACGAGCCAAACTCGGACTGGTTAGTTGCCCCTCCCTGACCCTCGGAGCCCGCAGATAAGCAGACACCTGACCCAGGCCTAGGGAGAACTCGCACCGCTTTGACCCAAACGCAAGGTGGACATGGCGTGAAGAGCATAAGCTCGTTCGCAAGATCGATATCAGAATCATGGTATGGACATGCATCATGTTCTGCGCCCTGGAGATGGACCGAGCAAACATCCGACAGGCGGTGACAGACAACCTGTTAGAAGAGCTCAGCATGACGACCAACGGTGTGTCTCAGCCCCGACGAAGAAACAAGAATCTCTTGGGGACACAGTTCTCATGGCTCACAAAACCCCCAGACTACAACCTCGGAAACTCAATCTTCTCCCTGTCCTTCCTGTGCGCCGAGGTGCCTTCCCAGCTGGTCAGCAAGTGGGTCGGGCCGGACCGGTGGATACCGACCCAGATGGTCTTGTGGTCGATTATCGCGTCGAGCCAGGTCTGGCTTGGGGGCCGGACGTCGTTTCTCGCGTTCCGGGCGGTCTTGGGCCTCTTGCAGGGGGGGTTCATCCCGGATGTCGTCCTCTACCTCTCGTACTTTTACAAGCATCACGAGCTCTCCATCAGGCTCGGTTTCTTCTGGACGGCTATGGTTTTCGCTGACATCATTGCGGCATTCTCGGCTTATGGGCTGATGCATATGAGAGGCGTGTTGGATCTGTCGGGCTGGCGGTGGTTGTTTCTTGTCGAGGTGAGTGATTATTCTAATGCCCAGATATTCCTGGCGAGGATGTTCCCGCAGTTGACATGGTTTCGAGGGTTTGGTAACTTTATGCATCGGCCTTGTTTCGTTTGGACTCATGCCTGCTGGCCCAACCCAAACTGCAAATTGGTTCAGGGGCAAGAAGGGCTGGTTCACACCAAGGTGAGCATGAACCAAAACTTCCCCCCAAGATATTTTCTCTCGACAGAAACCCTGACGTCTTCGCAGGGAAGAGATCATCATGGTCAACAGGGTGATCCGAGATGACCCCTCCAAAGGAACCATGCACAATCGTGAGCCCATAACGCTCAAGCTTCTCTGGCGGAGCTTGCTGGATTATGACCTGTGGCCGTTATATATCCTGGGCTTGACTAACCACATCCCCTTTGCGACTCCGAACATCTACCTCACCCTTTCGCTCAAGGACCTCGGATTTTCCATCTTCCAGACAAACCTGCTCGTGATACCCTCGCAGCTTCTCCATGGTAAGTGATGACTCGCACAGCCCGACCAGTATCGAGGCTCGTTAACTGAGGCCTTTCTACCAGTCATGAACATGCTTATAATCACCTATCTGGGCGAGATAACGGGCCAACTAGCATTTATAGCCTCGATACCCCAGATCTGGAGCATTCCGTTTCTCGCGTGGCTCCGGACTGTTGATACAACGGCCGTGTCAAAATGGACTGTCTGGGGCGTGATGACCATCTTCTTGGGCAATCCGTATGGTAAGTGGCTAATAGAAGCAAGAAAAACCAGGTAATTACGGTACAACATCTAATCCGCGCTGGTTAATCGTAGCACACCCGATTCAGGTGGGATGGGCATCCCGCAACTCCAACACGGTTCGGAGCCGAACAGTCGGTGCCGCCATGTATAACATGTGTGTTCAAGCGTACGCAAATCAACCGCTCCACGTACCCCCTGTCCTTCTCGGCATGCTTACGGTTTGGGCAGAGGGACTATCATTGCGTCGAATATCTATAGGGCCGACGACGCACCGCGATATCAGCGTGGAAACACGGTGTTGCTGTGGGTGGTAGCGCTCAACATCGCCTTGTATGCCCTCACCAAGGTATACTATACCATGCGAAACAGGAGCCGGGAGACACGGTGGAATAGCATGTCCGACGACGAGCGGCTGGGCTACCTTAGAACGACCCGCGATGCTGGGAATAAGCGGCTCGATTTTAGATTTGCATCTTGATAGGCAAGCGGTGGGAGAGAGGTGCCGCAGATCCAGCCAATGTGCGTGCGGGCGGGTTGATCTGGTTGGTTGGCATTGAATAGGTAGCATAATGTTCGACGGGGATGGATTGGGAAAGACGGGAAAACGGACAGGAGTGCCGTTTCCGTGGGATCCCAAGGAAATGCTTGGCAGGCGCATGTTAGAGCGTGGGATTTTCAGGCAGGCTAATGGTGCATACTGTGGTACAAGACAGGCAGGGGTAGCATGGCGTGGAGATGTTACTACGTAGTACTGTGGTAAATTCCCTAGACCAAACCGCGGCCCTTAAAATCCCTCTACCAAGGCTTCGGCAATGCTGTGCGGATCGTGGAAAAGGCACATCGTGAAGGGGAATCTTTTCCCCGCGACAGTTCTCGTGATCAGGTACAGTCACGTGTTACGAGTCAAGATGGGTCAACCCTCGCCGCATTGAAAAAAACTTGGATCGTTTGGGAACGACAAATCTTGTAGGCAACATGTTGAAAGCAACAGGAAACGAAGACTTAGTCCGTCCTTGAAAGTCTCCGGCTTGGTGCCATGCAAAATATCAAATGTAGACGAAAGGCAAGTCAAGCAAAGTCACCAGTTTACCCCGCACCACCATCACGACCCGCCGTCACGAATCGCGAAAACTATGATGACTGCGGATCCACCCGCATTTCCCGGGCGTTTTTTAAGGGACGTATATAGATTCGGGGTAGCTGCATGCCTCCAACTGCCGTGCGCCCCTCCATTCCCCTGCCCTTTACCTCCTGTTCCCTCCCTTCCTTGCTGTATTACTTAAAAACTTTTGTGCTGCTGTCGTACATTCGTGGAACGAACCCCTTCACGTACCCGTACTGTACCTACTGTGTCTTAAATCCCATCCAACATTTATACCATGCCTCTCCCCGCCGGCGTCTACCGCGCCGACCATGTCGGCTCCTTCCTGCGGCCCAAGGAGATCCTCTCGGCACGCGAGAAGCTGGACACCAATGGCATCTCTGCCGAGGAGCTGCGCAAGCTGGAGGATGAGCACATCGCAAGGGTGGCGCAGGCCCAGCTCGATGCCGGCATCCGGTCCGTGACGGACGGCGAGTTCCGCCGGGCCTTCTTCCACATCGACTTCCTGCAGCACCTTGCGGGCGTCGAGCGGCAGGGCAGCCTGTCGTCGACCAACGTGACGACGCACGGCATGATGCCGCCCAAGGTGGTGGTCGTCGACAAGCTCGGGCACCCCAACGCCATCCAGGTCGACGACTTCAACTTTGTCGAGTCGCAGATCGCAAAGGCCCGGACGGCCGGCTCGGCCACGGGGGCGGCCACCTGCAAGGTGTGCATCCCCTCGCCGACCATGGTGCACTTCCGCGGCGGGCGCGAGTCCATCAGCACCGAGGCCTACCCGGCGCTGGAGCCCTTCTTCGAGGATCTCGTGCGCGTCTACCAGGAGGAGATCGCCGACCTGTACGCGGCGGGCTGCCGGTTCGTGCAGCTGGACGACACCAACCTGGCCTACCTGTGCGACGAGGGGATGCGCAAGGAGGCGGCGCAGCGCCACGGCGACCCGGAGAAGCTGACCAAGCAGTACGCGGCGCTGATCAACGCCGCCATCTCCAAGCGGCCCAAGGACATGGTCGTCGGCATCCACCTGTGCCGCGGCAACTACCGGTCGCAGTGGTTCGCCCAGGGCAGCTACGAGCCCGTCGCCGAGGTGCTGTTCAAGGAGCTCGACGTCGACGTCTACTTCCTCGAGTACGACGACGCCCGCTCCGGCGACTTCTCGCCCCTCCGCCACCTGCCCGAGAACAAGATCGTCGTGCTCGGCGTCATGTCGAGCAAGAAGGCCGAGCTCGACGACAAGGCCGACATCATCAGGCGCCTGAACGAGGCCGCAAAGTACTGCCCCCGCGGCCTCGACCAGCTGTGCCTGTCACATCAGTGCGGCTTCAGCTCCACCGCCGAGGGCAACGACCTGACCGAGGAGGAGCAGTGGGCCAAGATCCGCCTCGAGGTGGAGATTGCCAATGAGGTTTGGGGATCCGAGGCGTAAAAAGAGTAGAAGGAAGGGAATGTGTTCATAAATGGCGTTCGACTTGAGGAGATTGCTTCAACAGCGGGAAATCTGGGCGGGGGGATGGTCGGGTCGGGTTTTTTTTGGGGGGGAGGGGGCGGCATGATGGGGGGCCCGGTCGGGGATTGGGGGTGGTCGGAGGGAGCATGGATTACATGCCGGTTTCAGCTGGAGTGTGAGCCGGATGTATGTCGGGCGACTGAGACAGGGTCGCTCGCGTAGCCGACTCAACTGAGGCTGCTTGTGCATTTACAAAGATGATCACATATAACGTAGGATATATCAAAAAGCGATAAATTACCACGTCGATGGACAGTTGATTGCCGCCGCCGGTTTCCCCTGGTCACGCGGCCTGGATAGCTCTCAGAAAGGCAGCAGTCTCGTGCCCCTGCTGCACCTTGGCAATGGGCGTGAGATAGGCCTCACTGTCCTCCCTGCTCTCCAGCACCCGTCGGACATAGGACTGGGCCACCTTGAGCCACATAGCCCTCTCCGCCTTGCTGGCGCCCAGACCAACCCACACCCAGATGGCCCTCCCTTCGTCATCCAAAAGGAAAACGTCATTCCCGTCAAGATCGCGCGGCGAGACGGACGGGCCTTCCCGGACCAGGTCGAACGTAAGCTTCTGCGAGGCATCACTGAGCCGGAACAGCCGTCGCGGGCGCGCATTTTGCACTCGGGCAGGCCTATCCCGGGCGGAGGACGCTTGTCGGGAACTCTCCTCGCCACCGCCGAGCAGCTTGGCAACCAGCCCCGACCGGCCGTCCTCCTGGGCCAGCACCTCGACATCGACGTGCTTGGCAAGGGTCATATCGTGGACCACCTGCGCGGCCCTCGCCTTCTCCATGGGACTGCACTTGGCGCCCTGCCACACCCAGATCTTGTCGCCGGCGTCGAGGACAAACACATCGCCCTCGTCCAGGCTGCTCGCCACGGGCTCGACCTCGTGCACAACGACGGCGCCACCAGCGGCCGGCTTGAACACGCGCAGCAGGGTACGCACCTCCGGTCCGGCCCCGGGCACGGGCTCCTCGACGTGGCGGAACCCCGAGGCGACGCCGCCGGCGCGCACCTCGACGCCGCGCGGGAACAGGGCGAGGAACTCGGGCGAGGGCGCGCGCTGCAGCTCGCGGTGCTGCGCCGCCGCGCCGCCGAGGAACTCGTCCAGCTCGACCGTCTTGTAGGCGGCGGTGCCGGCCTCGTCCTGCGAGGTGCGGCTGCCGAGCCAGAAGAAGATGTCGTGGCCCAGCTTGTCGTTGTTGTTGCCGACGGTCCACGAGTGCAGCACAATGTAGCTGTCGCCCTCGTGGAAGCGCCCCCGCTCGGAGGCGTCTGGGCAGGGCACGACGGCGAAGTCCTCGATGCGCCAGGCGAGGAGCCCCGCCGAGACGCCGACGCGGCCGTCGTTCCAGGCGGGCTCCGTCTGGGCGGAGTTGTGCTTCACCTTGTGGTCGATGTCGCTGCCGATCAGCTCCACGTTGCTGTCTGCGATATCGTACTCCTTGAGGTGTACTAGTCCCTCGTGTGGCGCCATGGCGGGGGAGTGTTTGTGCTTGGGTGTACGGGTGTGTGTGTAGGTGTATCAAGGAAGCAAGCGCCCGTTGGGAATGTCGCGGAAGAGGTGCGGGGCCCGGAGGGAGGAGGGGAAATGGCGGCGTTTCAGATGCGGGCAAGGCCCGCGGCCGCGGGAAAGCACAGCATAATTTATGCAAGGTATAATGCCTCCACAGGCACAATGGCGTCAGTGGTGGATCAGGCAATTGCGGGGCAAAAGGAGACCCTCTACAACCACTTATATTTGTTGATACAGGGCTCCATTGAGTTCTCAACGACGGAGAAGATATCGCTGCTACTATGTATTGACCAAAAGTATGCATCAGCCTGGCCCGGCCTTACCACGGCCTGGGGCGTTCTCAAACTTTACCTTCCATCGATCTTCCTGCTTGAACATGACGACGCACTGAAGAGCAGATGGAACACCATAATCAGGATCCGCCCCGCCTCCGAGCAGTGCCTGTACCTCGCCTGTTAGCACGGCCGTGATTAACTGGGCTAGGATGACCTGTGGGAGGGGTTCAGACTTCTATAACCGCGTCTTCCTGCTTAAACACGGCGCCTGCAATCGGGCTCTGGCCTTTGTCATTCAGCCGATTTGGATCTGCGCCGTGCTCCATCAGAAGCTTGACGAGGTCGGCGTGGCCGTGGTAAGCAGCAAGCATGAGCTGTTTTGTTTGTGGATGTCGTTGTCAGCAGCGTGCATGTCTGGAGACGAGGAGCGTTGATGCCAAGCGTACCAGACTATCTCCCTTCTCATTGGTCATGTTCGGAGGGAGACCGGCGGGAAGCGCTTGCTGGAATATGGCCACGTCCCCGGATCGAGCTGCGTCGTACATCCGGCCCGCAAGGGCGATAGCCTCAGGAGGGAGGGAGTCGACAGCTCTAGTTTGACTTTGTTGTGAGTCATCCATCGGGGAAGTGGTGAAAACTGGGTTTGACAGTTAAAGGAAATCGGATGGGCGGAGGAGAGATATGTTGTGTTGTGGGACTCACGTCACGTGGCCAGCAACTTGATTTCATTCTACTTAACCCTAACCCGGGAACATAACTTTGCCGCGTTGTTCTTGTTCATCATCACCAAGTCCATTACAATAAATTGCCCTGCTTCTAGCTACTCTAGGTCTGGGTATAACGCTGTGGCATTGCCAGTCGACTCTCTTTCTTACAGCTTGGGTCTCTCTCCAGGAGCTCACCTCTATCCTTTACTTTTCCTTCTCCGCATCAGAACCTTCTTGTATAGGGCTAGGCCTGACAACATACAGGGGGCGTGGTCGCGCAGAACGTGAGCATGGCGGAGGTCGATGATGCGTGCGTCAAGGGTGACGCTACGGTTGCTGAGACTAGGTACTTAGCAGGACGAAGACCTCTTGACTTGTAGCGGGTTGTATGCCAAAGACGCGTCTTAAAGGCAATGCCATCGGTTGCTGAGATTGAACTGGCAGCAGGTATCGCCGGATTGAGTATTTTTACTGAGTATTGCCTGGACCCCTTCCAACGCAAAATTAAATAAATCAAATAAAAGGCAATGCCAACCAATTATTGTCCTCACAGTGGCTGCCTAGCCTTGGCGAATCCTTCGAGGGCTGTGCTCCGTGTCAAGTGGTACAGGCCTTCTTGAAGTAATATCCCTCTTAATTCCTCCAATTCCATGCGCGTTGTCGCGAAAAGGATTCAATTAAACGCAGCCTCAACGAACAAACCACAGTCTCGAGGTATGGCTAGCCAATCCCCCGACAACACCGGGCCAGCGCTCGAAACGACGCCCCTACTCGCAGAGGACAGACCAACACATCCGGAAGATGGCCCCAGACTCGACTCGAGCGAGCGTGCTCTGTCCCCACCACGCGCCAGTGTTCGAGCGGCGCTGCTCGGCTCCTGGGTCTCGCTCGCGTTCGCACTCGCAACCGGCGTATCCCACGCCGCCATCTGGGTTATGTTATCATACTCACCGCATGGGTATAACTTGCCCTGGGAGACCCGGGAATCCCTAGGATTCATATCAGGCGGGGTGTGTAACTTTCCACGCCCTTGAGTGGCCTTTGCTCATCTCCGTCATGTCATTGTTGGTGATGCCCTAACCACTGGTTCCCAGTCCCTCGTCGCGGTAGTTTTCTCGGGGCTCAATCTAGGATATCTCCGCTACCGCGTGGTGCAGCTCCCACGGCTGCTTAACATAGTCGTCGACGCGTGTCTCGTCCGCTACGTCGGGATATCCAGCACCGTGGCTATTACCGACTTCGCCTCGAGCGGGGGCGGCTACTGCACCATGGGGGAGTGCGAACCGTGGAAGCGCGTCTTCGAGCCGGTGGTGTGGCTCGGCATAGCATTTGGATTGTTGCTTGGGTGAGTCTGGCTGGGCTGAAGTCGTCCCTTATCCCCCTTCGTGGAGGTAGACGCTGAATAATGGATGTTGGCGCAGTATCACCCACGCGTTCCTGCTCGTCCACCGGGCCCTCGAAGCGTATCGGATCTGGTCCTGGGGAGGGGCAGGGGTCTCCCGGTTGCGCATTCCTGTAGGTCAGCTGACGTTTGAGTTCACCATCAAGCTACTCAGAGACGCCCCGTAGGGGCAAAACAACAAACAAACAGAAGAAGGAAGTGAGGGCGGTCTCCGACGGTATATTGGAAAAGTACGTGGCTGCATGCCTCCTTTAAGTTACCTTGAAAGCCGGAACGGCTTTCATACTCTTCCCTTCTACGTGACCTCGCATGTGCCGTGACTTTTCACCCCTTTTCAACAGGAGACCTGTCAGGACCGGGGTAGAGGTCGAGGAGAACATACAGAAAGGGCACTTCAGCCCGAAGCGTGAGCATTAATTCAGCCCCTGTGTGGTCTCAAGCTCGCGGCGCGGATGCTAGGGCACGAGTCAATTTGCGAGGGAGGGGATTGCTCTGGAAGACCCAAGGGGGGTAAAGAGGGAGTTCAACAGCGTGAAAGATCGGATGGAGGAATACACGCTATGAATTGTAAGATAAGACTTGACATTAGGCTTTGGCTACGAAGTGGGTACATATACAGCAATGCAAGTCGATCTCGCATCACTCCGCATCCTCTGGGTCATGCAAGCCCTAGGAGGTTAAATTGGCAGGATGGGGCCGAACCGCGGTCAGTTCCTCGCAGAGTTGGATCGAGATCTGACCTCGTGATGACTGGCGTCTTCGTCATCCAAGCCTTGAGCCTCCAACACCGGCATTCTTATCACGAGCAATGTCAGCTGTCATCTTCTCGCCGGCATCGGCATACCTCCTCGGCACGGCCTTCCTCGGAATGGGCCTCAAGGCCTTCGCGGATCCCGAGAGCTCCTACGAGCTGTTCGGGCTCCCCCGTCAAACACAGACTACTTCCTTTGGAGTTTTGTGAAACCTCCTTTGGAGTTTTGTGGAACCTGGCCTAAGGAGGCGTCCAGTGGTGTGAACCGTGCGAAAAGGGGGGGTCGATGTACAGGTGAACGGAACTCACATACTCCAGATCCAAGGATTTGGGTGCCAGCATCTGGGGTTGCAGTCTACGGTGCCGCTTTTGACCCTTATAGAGTTAAGCCATCATGTATCTATCATGCTTAACACCTCGCGCTCCACGTCTCCAAAACAATCTAATCCTTCTGCGAGCAGCTTCATCGCCGCTGCAGTCTCTTTATATGTCCCCTCGCCGAGTACCTTTTCGATAGCCCTGCCAATCCGCTCGATCCCGGGTCGCGCGCACTCGAGATCAACGCCCACCCCGCTCCAAGCGACCCGCTTCGCGCTCTCGGCCTTGTCCTGGCCCTCGCCGGCGATGACCATAGGCACGCCGTGGGCAAGGCCGTGCATTGTCGCGCCGTAGCCGCCGTTGTGGATCCACAGGTTCGCGTGGGGGAGGATGGCGTCGTATTGCAGGTAGTCCGCGATCCTCGCGTTGCCCGGTACGTCAAAATCCGGCGGAAGGCTTGCCCCCCTGTGTCCGAGGATGGCGACGGTCATGATGTCTTTGTGATCTGCCAGCCATTGCAGCGTGGGGATAATCAACTCATTCGGGTCGGTCTCAACCGTCCCTTGAGCCACCACGATGACCTTCTTTTTCCTCTCGTCATTGTGGTCTAGGTCCGAGTTTGATACAACATCCTGCCACCAGTCTAGGCTCGGCTGTCCAGTTACGGCCCGGGAGGTATGATGCCTATGATCTTGAAGTTCGGCGGGAAGTCGCTGCGGGGATACTCAAATGCCGAGAGACCAATCTGCAGTATCGCATCATGGCACGTGTAATTCGCACCGCCCATGAAGACCTCCCCGACCCCTCTCGTGGCTCCAGCTTCGGCCAGCTTGTTGTCAATCAACTGCGTCACAGGACGCGCCAGCTTTTCCCAAGACGCCCACATCTCCTTATTACGTACTCGGCCGGCATATGTCGGTTCAAACGGAGCCGGATAGGAAAACGGTGGTAAATCTATGCTCCTGATGGCTGGCGACAGAATCGAGATGCATATCGATCGCGGCACCTTCACCCCAGTTGGCAGAGGAGCGCCGTATCTGAGCGGCATGAATCCGTAAAAAAAGGCCTCGCAGATGACAATGACTTGTCTTCCGGCATTGCGCTGGTGCAGTTCCAGTAGCGCGGCCCTGACGCTTTCCCATGCTGCCGGGATGGCATGCAGCGTCTGGTGTCTGGTGTCGATTATGGATCGCGCGCGGTAGGTCTTGTCATCGGCGGCTCCCCTCGGCACCGAGGTGTCTCTGTCAAAGAGTTTTGCATCGTCCAAGTCCGCCTTGCCCTGCAGCTGGAAGAACTCGGCGCCTGACGCCTCGATGCGAGAGCGGAAGAACGAGGCACCGAGAAAGCACACGTCCCAGCCGCGACCCCGCAGAGCGCTGGCAATCTTGATCACGGGTATAAAATGGCCGGTCAGTGGATGGCAGAGGAAGAGAAGAATTGGCCGCTGGCTTGGTTCCGACATGTTGCGGGTGGTGGGCATTCAGCACTCAGGATTTCGCTCTTGGGCTAGGTGGTTTCAGCATTTTGCGTGGAAGGTGGCAGTCATATTTCCCCGGTTCTTACCCCCCCACCGAGTCTTAACCCCACCAAATAGCGAACCAGATTGACTTCATGGGAACGACAAAGCCAGAACTTATTAGTATTCTAGCGGCCAGTTTCTAGCCAGCGCTTGTTACAGTTTTATTACATATGCTCCCTAGCAGGAGCTGCTAATTCTACAGTTTATCCTGGATTCAACGACCCTTGCCCCCTGACTGACTCTATTGTGATTAGGATGTATCCTTCCGGCAACATCCCGGCCTCAACGCCTATTGGCGCTTTGACATGCGTTTTGGTGGCAACTCGTCTGATGAGAAGTTAGCAAGGCAAGAAGAGACGGATATATAAAATCAATTCAAATCTTACCACTCGTCTCAGAATTCTTACGCTTTCGCGACTTGAATATACTTGGCTGGTTTGGCATGGTGGTCTGGTTAGACGAGACCCAAAACGTTGGAAACCAGCGGCGGCCGAGGGATGAGGCGGTGGGTCGGCGAGCTTGTTTAAATTGACGGCTGGTTACAGCGTCCTCGCCGCCGCTGCTATCGCCGGAGCTGGAGCTCGAGCTGGCATCTGCCATGTCAATGTCTCCATCCACCAGCTGCTCGCTAGACGCAATGGGATTGGCTAAAATAGTAGGTCGTGTTAGCAATTCGTATTCGCAGAATGAGACTTCTAGCTATGTACCTTGGGCAGGTAATTCGGTAGGCATGGACACGACTGTGCTCGGCCGGAAGCTCGTACTGAGAATGCCCATTGTAGCGAGATTGAGTGATCGCGTCTTTGGCGACGCGTAACAGACGAGCCAGATTCCACGTTCGAGCACCCCGCGTGTAATTCTTTGCGTTCGATTTGTGATGGGTCGCCGGTACCTCCGCGTGCCTGTCGCGTGCAGTATTCCGAATTCGGGGGATACCTAGAGCGAATCTTCAGTTCTCGGAGAGAGACTGTTTGGGAAAGCAAGGTGAGAAGGTAGGTGGTACGGAGGTCGAAATACGCTAGCGGCAATTCTCTTTGCCCCGGAAACCAGATTGATTACTAACTCGTCACGTGCTGGCCTGCCTCCGAGGCAATTCGCGAATCCTGCAGTTAAGCTCCTGAGCCCAAGAAATCACAGGACCCCATTTTCTGGCCCCCTTGCTTCCATCATGGCCTATATGCGACTCCGATATACATTTTGGCCTCATCGAGCAATATCCCAGCGGACCCGGCTTCCTCGGCAAACCTCTCCACAAACAGTCTCTTGGCCTCCTCCCTGACGGAAGGGTCCCCGAAGTTCCTGAACATGGGGCTGGCGACTGCCTGCTCGAAGACCTGGGGTGCCTCAGCGTTGGTGTATTCGCGGACCTGAAAGGTTTTGCTCATGAATACGGTTCTCACTTCGAGGCCTGCACCCGCCAGCAGCCTCTCGAGAGACCCCTCATCCCGGACCCAGCTCTGATCCCACTGAAGCGACAGCCCAAGCCGGTCCCCAACCCTGCCCAGGATGCGGCTGGGGACATGGACATCTCTGGCAGCGACGTCGGTCACGAGCCGACCTCCCGGCCTCAGCAGCCCCGCCCAATGCCTGACCGCCCCGTGTGGGTCCGGGAGCAGGACAAGCGCAGCAGCGCAAGTGATGACGTCAAAGCCGTCGGATCCGGACGGCAACAGGTCCAGGCCGGACAGGTCCGAGATGTCGTGCTGGATGAAGGAGACGCTCGATCCCGTCTGCCGGGCCTTGCGGCGGGCCACGTTCAACATGCCCTCGCTGATGTCCACGCCGACCACGCGGCCCCGCGCGCCGACCCTCTCTTCGGCCAGGAGCGCTACCAGGCCGGTCCCGCAGGCCAGGTCGAGGACGCGCTCGCCGTCCTGTGGCTGCGCGACCCGGATGTATTCTTCTGCCAGCAGGCCGTGGAAGGAGGCGTCGTACTGCTCGCTTCGCTCGTCGTATATTGTCCTGATCAAGTCGGTCTGTGAATTGGGCATTTTGAGTTGGATGTCGTTGACATAGGAAACTTGGCAAACGGTAGGAAGAGAGCCGTTGCATTCAAGGAAGGTGATTCTTGTTTGGTGAACGTCGAGTGACGTAATTTTGGGTGACAAAGCAATGTTTTTTCAACTGGCAGTTGGCGTCATCAGGTGTAAGGTCTCGAGTCTTATACCTTAAATCGCTCCAGAGCAGTAGAATCACGCTGAAAAGGGGGCCAAATGGAAAAGGAAGAAGAGCATGATTAAGAGGCAAGTTACTGGCCGCAGTTCTGGTCGTAATCAGTTCTGTCTGTTGAGGGCATGATGAAGAGGCGTCGAGAAGCCAAAGACCGTCACCTTTCAGGGCTCGAATTGCAGCTTGTCGGGAATCATCTGGGATCTGGCGGTGTTCTGGTTTCTAACCCTCCATTTGGCGTGCTTTCAAGGTTGCGGCCATTTCCTGCAAACTTGAAGTTCATGTCCGATCATTATATTAAACCCGAGAAGCAATTTCCCACCACATAGATATAGAGCTGAGTCATATGCCGACCAGGCAAGTTCCGGGTTTCTATAGCTTCCAAATACTTCATCCCTGAAACCAGTAGCTTATTGTGGTTTCTTGGAAACGGCATGGATTGTCGTCGGCCTTGTCAGCGTTCACTATCTCTCGCATTCGGCCCACACGTAACTCCTTTCAGATGTCAGGCCAGGTCATGTATAACACTGTCCTTGCAGACTCTTCCACAGCCTTCAGCACAAGGCTCAGCGCATGTTTCGCTGGGACTGTCTGTCAACTCGTCGACTTGGCTTGAGATTAATAAACATCGTCGTCGATTAGGCTTAGGATTCGTTCAAGCACAGAATTTGGATTATTGCTATCTCTTTGAGGCATCCCCAGCTCGCATCTGCCCGTCGCTCCATTCTACTCACACGATGCCCGAGGAGCCGTAGACCGCAAATCATCGGACTACTCTGACGTCAGCCCGAGACTCCGTGTCGAGTGAGCTGCAAGGTGCGGGAACCTAGTCCGAAGCTCGACCAGTTGGGTGGTTGTTGAGGAGAATCTCCACAGTGATGAACTCCCCGCTCTTCTTGTCGTAAACCCGCGCCGTCGGATCTGCGCCATATTTGAGGAACAAGTCAATTATAGCCAGCTGTTCTGAGGAAATCGAGCCTCGGGAACGACGATACCGAAATGTGTCCAGGAGAAAGTCTGTCCACGCCGTTACCTTCTGCGGACCAACGGCTGCATTGGATTCATCGCGCTTGTCGTGCTCAGAGTTCGGGTCTGCGCCGGCTGCCAACAACGCTGCAACAATTTTGGGTGACGGCTCTGACCCGATCCATCCGTAATTCTGTCCTCTCCATATGAGATCTGCGCGTCGCGACGCGGCTTGAAGTAATATTTGGGACTGTGGCTGAGTAATGCCGTTTCCCTTAAGCTTTGAAACGACATAGGATTCGACATTACGGCAAGTCATCAGCTCCAATAGGCTGGTCGGGTGGCCGCTTGATTCTGACTCGTGGAACATTATTTCGACCCAAGACCGATGCAACGGGCCTGTAAGGCCAACATTCCGCCCCCCTAAGAGGTCACTGGCGGCAGCATCTAGTTCGTCCACAAGCTCTTCTAAATTGTCGACATTTCCGAACCTGTCGTGGAGCCTATCGACCGTCTGGAGAGCAAGATCCACCAGACGAATGGCGGTATCCGAGGGATTCGGGGTCTCTGACCTCAGCCAAGATTTTCCGGGTGACTGCCCCGTGTTTTGTGTCTTCTGAAGCTGTAAGACGGCTTCCTGGCAGCATTTCATACGTCGAATTAGTCCGCTCAGTAGGGCGAGGTCCTTATCCATTTCGGGTATCAAAACGTACGAATCGGGAAAGATGAGATTCCACAAGTATGCCCGTGACATGAATTCCTTGGCGGTTTGGTGGATGAACTGGACGTCCCCCGTCCCCTCCAGGAGTCCAAAGCATCGACTTTTGAGGCGACGTTGTAGGTTGGTGCAACGACGACGTAGCTCTTCCCAAGTCCGGGGAGCAAACCTGTCTTTTCTAGCTCTCAAACCTCCGTCGCCGTCTGTATCCAGATGGCCCTCTTCTGCCAGGAACAGCGTGACCATGTCTAGGCTGTAGGTTGGGTAGATTTGGGAGGCTTGAAAGTGCATGACAAGTTGAAACAGTCTTGCGCCCATGAGAAGATCTTTTCGTTTGACATTCTGCATCATCAACATGTAGAGACCGTCCTTTCCGCCGAGTCTCTGAGGTAGTTTGTCCAAGGCCTCCCAGAGCTCGCGCGGGTTGTCGCCGTTTCTGCATCCGTCGACAAGCATAGTGATTACAATCTGGACCCAGAGGAATACCCCTCGCGACTTGTCGGTAATTGATGACACAAACTTTTCCCGATCTTCAAGGTCGTGAGCGTCTTCCGCAAGCCGCCCTTCGCAATACCTTTTGATTGCCCCGGCTATATGCTGATGCACCTGGATCCTTGGAAACTCGCTGAACTTTGATTCGAAGATGTTGAGCTCTCGGCTAGATAAACAGACTTTTACGTTCGATAGGTTCTTCAACCTGATGACAAAGTCCGCAATCTGCTCATGCCCTTCCACAATCCAATCGCTCAGTCCCCAAGTTTCGTCCTCGTTGTTGCCGTCGTAGGTAAGGTCTAGCTGTTCTTCTGTATAGCAATGCATCTTGTCTATCATGCGATATTCGTCCAATCCGTCAATGAAAAGACACACTTTCGAGTCTTGCAGATGATCCAGCATGGAAAACAAGGCGTTGCTCAAGGTTGTCCAAATATTGATTGTCTCATATGTTGGCAGCATGTCACCCATGAAGGTCGGGAATGCAACGGGGATGAGATCGCTTCGCTCTTTAAGGATCTGGTACAGAATACTCCGGATCATTCCTTCCCGGGATTTCTGCATGTTGTCGCCGTTCTCCCGAAAGAAGTATTGCGCCATCACCAGCTTCTTGTCGTTTGCCAGCTTAGAGATCGCTGCTTTTGTATCGACGTGGTGGTAAACGTACTTCATCAGGGTTGACTTGCCGCAGCCAGCCTTGCCGCTGATCCAGAAGACCGACTCGTCGTTCTCAAGCCATGCTTTAAATTGTGGTGCACTGTGGTCATTCGTTTTCGTGACAGAGTTGCCTTCCATTATCCAGGTGCATGTGTTGGCATATGCTGGCTCAATAGACAACTCCCGCTGATCTATTGACGGGAAGTGAAGAATCCTAAGAATTTCTTTGATCTAATTAGAGACAAGCATAGAGCTAACTAGGTAGCAAATGGAGACTCATACCGTTTATTCTTCCCTTGTGAGGATTCATCGCCTCTTGCAGGTTATTAGCTTTATAGAGACCGCTGACGATAGGTAGACAGATAAAGAAACCCCAGACAAGTGCAATGGCGATATTTCCCATGCTGGATAGGTTGCCAGCTTACAATATCCCAACAGTCACGTCTCCCGGGCACCGCCGTACCCTAGGAGTCGGGTCTGCCATTCTTCAAGGTATAAGAGAGTTGAGTCCTGGCATTACGCACCTTGCTGTGCCACTCGAGCGGTGTTGCAGAGCGCCACGATCCAGCCTAGAGTCCGCTGGTACCCCTGGTCTGTCTGGGAGGCGAATTTCACCATGTTCATGTGATTCGCGTTGATGGAGCCTGGAAGGACCTTGAATCCTTCGTACGAAGCGGACGTCTCTGGGACAATCTAGCGTGAAATGTGAGAACTAAGACGTAGCCTTGACATAGATAAAGGAACTCACCATGCCTATGGCCGTCGCTTTCTCCTCTCTGACACACACAATTTCCATGTCACGCGAAATGGTAGTGAAATCGTTTCGCTGGCCCTCAAGGATGTGCGAGTCTTGCCTCAATGTCTGGAGGAGCTGCTTATTTGGCTGCTGGAGAGCGAGTTTCGCAATGTTCGCTATGACGTCGCCATACGGCTCCTTCGAGCTGCCGCGGTATGGAGTGCCCATGAAGATGACGCCGGCCGTATGTATGAATATGGCAGCTAGAGTAGGGTGCCGTTCGTTGTGTTTGTAACTGTTCGCAACGATAAGCGCTTGCTTGACAACCAGGCCACCGAGGCTGTGGCAAACGAAGACAACCGGCCTGGTCTGCGCAGTCCCCGTTAGTTCTCGGACATAGAAGTAGGTTGAAGGTGGAAGGGCATACAATTCCCACTCGAACCCGCGCCAGATCATTGAGCAACGTTCCTGCGTGGCCATAAATACTTTCCTGGCTGGCACTATCGAAGATATTGGCGATGCTTGCGTCATAACCCCAGGTAATGACTCTGATATGCTTCACGTCTTTCATCAGAAAGTCACGTGGCCAGCAGATGTCTCCCTTGGACCACGTCCCCAAGCTGGAGCCGCGCAGTCCGTGGACCAAGACGATATCGGTTCCGCTGGCGCCCACTCCTGCGGCGCCTCCGCCTATGTTGTCAACAAGAACGATCGGCCCGACGTTGTTGAGAGGAGGACTAATCGGCCCGACGCTGTTGAGAGGAGGACTGATCGGCTCGACGCTGTTGAGAGGAGGACTGATCGGCCTGACGCTGTTGAGAAGAGGACTGATCGGCTTAGGTTGGGTCTTTATAGGATCGCCACTCGCTGGTTTCTTTTCCTTGGCCTTTTCCGTCCCGACCTTCTTTCCCCGAGGGAAGAAGCGCTTTAGTCGTTTACACAGCCAGCTCATCGTGCGAGTTTGTTTGAAGGGGAATCTGCGTGGGAAATTGGGAGCAGCCGAGGTCGGCGTAAGATGATGTCGATGCACTCGAACGGACTCGCCGAGTCGAAAGTCGCGGACGGCAGAATGCAGAAAGGAATCGACCAGCAACAATGTCGTGGCCGGAGCGCGGAGCGCGGGGTATATCTTGGATGTCGGCTCCCCTGGCTGCCTGACGAGCCAGTTAGTCTCGATGCCTGACGGCCCAGCCAGCCTCGCTGCCTTTATGGACGCCACCAGATGTACCAATGTGTTGGCCGGGCCAAGCTCTGCATGCCGTGGGCGAATGAGCGTCGAGTTCTGGGAAGGGTTGATGGGCAGCGTATGCAGCTAATGGTACTTTCGAAGGCTAAGTTTTCACAGCACGCCTTCAAATTCAACAAACTAGCCTGCACCGTTATGTCATGTGTCTGTTTTCCCGTGATGGGGGTCGGGCATGCGTAGACGCCGGACAGGCTTGTCCACCATCTCCACTTTCCGGTGTTGTTGGTGGTACAGCACACGGAACTGAGCTGCGGTTGCCTTGACCTGAGCTGGGGTGAGCCTGGTACTTGTCTAACCTGGCTAAAATTCAGCACATGATCAATAAGAAAGAAGTTGTCACTCGCGATGTTAGTGTCATTCAACGCAGATATTCCATGATTCAGCACAAATGTATCCGTAATTTCCCAGGTAGTTTATTGACAGCCAAGTCTTCTATGGATGTGGCCACATGGCTGCTGCCAATTTGGGCCCAAATATTTGAGACAACCGGGCAACGATCAGAAATGCACGAGTCCCAAATTACAGGGCTCATCACATGCCATAGCCTGTCAAGATTTTCTCTCCTGAGTATTGATGAATCCTCCCCTCATCCCTGGGAGGTATCCCGCTCGTCATCGAGGCCATCGACACAAGTGATCTGCAGCAAGTCCCTGTCGACGTTCCTGCACTCATATACGGGTGGCTCCCCACTGGGGACAGCGATTGTAATATTCTCGGCTCGGATGTTACTACAACGCTGAAATCGTGGGAGAAACCGCGTTTTAGCACATTCTGTGAACCTGGGAGCTGAGTCAGGGGTAAGAGAAAAGAGACAATCTACTCACATCGGGGGCACTGCACACCAGCGTGCCAGCCTGTGGGTCCTCAGACGCAGAGGTAGTCCCATACATATTCTTCAATGTGATGTCTTCGATCGTGAGGTTGGCCTGAGATTACGTTTGCAACATTGGCGCACGTGTGTCAGCGCCCCTCCCCTTTTCTTTCCGTAAGGGCAAGTAATTAGGGGCTGCAATACTCACCGGGAACTCTCTGCAGAGGGTCTGGTTCTTTTGCCCGTAGCACTGGGTGATGGTTATGGCCCTGTCGTTGTTGACGTGGTGGAAAAGGTCGTACGTCACGTTCCGGACGTGGCCCAGCCCGCCGCCGCCGTTTAACAAGGTCTGGAACTCGGTCTCGATACCAGGCCAGACTTTGATGCGCGCGCCGTCGCTGGCGTTTGTCATGGATGTGTTGTAGATGTAGAGGTTCTCCACAATGTCGACCTCGCCCTTGTACTGGCCAAGGGACCCGACGCTGATCCCGTGCGAGCCGGAGCAGACGAGATTCTGGACTACCACGTTTGTGCTGTTTGGCTTGAACGAGACGCAGTCTTGGTTTTCCCATTGTCAGTGGATGTAATTAGACTGAGAAATACTAATCAGGATAGATCTCACCGTCTGTGTTGATTATGTGCGAGTCCTGTATCACAACACGATCGGACCGGTAGATATCCCAACCGTCGGCATTTGCAATCGTGACATCGTTAATGCTCTGCGTTACACTTGAACATTAGAGTCTGCCACGGCAGTCAAGCAACATCCGGTAATTACTTACGGTTGCTTTGATGTCCATGTTGCTGATGAGGATGTCGGTGCTGTTCGCAATGATATTGAACCACTGTAAGGGGGTCATCAGAAGAGCCTATAGCCGACCCGCTTATTCGTGCAACACCGATATGAAGCGGGCAGAGACGTAATTAGAGGCGAGGTAGGCTTACATGCGGTGAGTCGCGCATGCGCAAGTTGGACATGGTGGCCCCCTTCATGCCATCAAAAGCAAAGAGCATTGGCCTGCGGAGCTAGTGTAGTCAGAGAGAGAAAGTCGTTAGTTTCGTCCCTGATCTTCAAAAGTATCGAGTGCTGGAGGGCTTCAACGACTGCTCACGGTCTTGTTAACAAAACACTCCTCCCAGAAAAGCTGGCCGTGCCCGTCCATGACCGACTTGTCGCTGCCCAAGTCTCCGTAGATGTTCACGTCCTCTCCGCCAAACTTCCAAAAAACGGACTGGTTCTGGTAGTCGTATTTGAAACTCTCCTCGGCCCAGTGGTAAACATCGTCGGTGAAGTGGATTTCGCCCGTGATGACCATGTCGATGTGCCTGAGGAAGGTGAGGTCGAGCCTTGAGTTGATTAGGTATGACTTGTCTAACACAACCGTGCCACCATCGTTGCATTTCTGGATGGCTTGCAGGATTCGGGGCGCATCATCGCGATCGGGACCGCAGCCCGCCTTGACGTAGCAGTACCTGCCCTCGTCGCGGGGCGGCGAGCAGGGCATGTCCCTTCCGGTATTGAACGGCGCGGGCACGATATGTGGCCGGTCAGGGATGCCAGGAATGCATGTTGGCGATGCTACAGAAAGGAAGGCAAAGATGGCCGCCACCAGCGAGTTCAGTGACTTTATCCGCATAGTTCCAAGCTCAGGGCTGTATCGAGAAGATGAACAGGTCTAAGATAGGATGTGTGTTGATCAGCAGCTATCGATCGATCTATTAATTAACCATAGTTGTAGACCCGGCTCGGGGCTTTATTGCCAAGGTTTGCTGCGTAGTAATTGGTCTCCAACCGCCAGGGGCCCGCCATTAATACATGCAATAGGTGGAATAATGGTCGTCTACTCGGCGACTCGGCGAAAGTCGAGACGGTGCGCTACACTAGAAACGAGGTTTCCAACCGATGATCTCCAGATGGAGGCTTCTATTTAACTGACAGAATCCCGACCCCGCAAGGATCTCCGCTCGTTTTGCCGGGAAAACTGACAGTGCTCTTTTTAGCCCTCCTTGGCATCGGTTGGTGATCGACGTTGAGCGGGAGCAGCGCCTGGGGGTCACTTGCCAGCCCTACCCGATACCAAGGTACAGAGTACTCGGAGACGAAGCTCAAGCGTACCAAAATCCACTTCCATTTCCAGAGCTAAGCTCCTGCTTCTCTAAGCTGAGCTGTCGCCGGTCAGGGCAGTTGAGCCCCCGATACTGTTCACAGCATTTGCATAAAAAAGAGTTCAATGTCAAGTTGCAAATTTGTTTAAACACCAAACTCTACCGTAGCCCGTGTCGGGATCCTTGAGACAAGTTTGGTTCCACCCATGTCATATGCGCCCTCCGAGCAGAGTGGGCAATGTATCGTTGACGTGGTCGCCAGCACAAGCGATGGAAACGCTGTCGAACCAGATCTTCACGCTCTGCCCACAAGAAGCCGCGTAGATGCCATCAGTGTCGTTGGCGTTGCCGAGCCAGCTGCGCAGCCCAGGCGCCTTAAACTCCTCGGTACGGTTATCGCACACAATTGTCTGCAAGCACATATGGAAGAAGATGGATGCCGCGTAGCAGAGGTGATACTACTGTCCATGGTTTATAGCGGTGCGAGGTGTTGTGGAGATGGTCGATCGGTAATGTCTTTGCCAGAAGTCCGTCCCCTTGGCGGATGGCCCAACCCTCCATCTTCTTGTTCAACATGCAGACTCTCAACGCGGCGATACCACAAGTCCCCAGTTTTGTCGGAGACTATGCGTTCAAATATCCAATTCTCACACTCATACCTCGCGACCCTCTCAAACCAGGCATCCGGAATGTCGGCAGCCTGCAGCTTTATCCATCAACTGTAGTTGTCGGCATCCTCGACACCCCGAAAGCGACTTACGGCCTGCGAGTCAACCAGCCAGACATACGCGTCATTGTAGAGACTAGCCCGGGCCTTTACAAGCACGGTGGAGGCGTCTCATCGGGGAGTGCAGTGAGCGAGCGAAGAGAGCCCTCGTCAATTACCAGGAAGTCGCAGAACCTGAGGTTGTCGAGAGGATCGAAGCCGACGTTGTCTACGGCATTACCGACGGCATTACGAACCCAAGCCTCGAAAACATGGGTGAGCGACTTGATGTCATCCTGACTGGCCCTAGCGAGGTCAGGGAACTTCAATTTCTCCGAGTCTGTGTCCTCGAGGACCTCGACGATGTATCGGCGCCCAAGCTCATCGTTAACCGAGCTGTCGTTCTTGTTCGTAGCTAGATAGTTATAGTAGATGAAATACTGGACCACCCATCGCCTCAGCTTTTCCAACGCGATCGGCCATAGTGCGTCAGACTCATCTGAATACGTGGTGCGCAATACTAGCCAGGATAGAGTCAAGAATAGATAGTAAATAAATAAATAAATAAATAAATAAATAAATAAATAAATAAATGGAACGCAGGTTACAACTTACCCGTGTAACCCCACGGCCCACGAGCATATGCGATCCCCATCTCTCTGCACCGACCCATGCAGTCGGTCGGCTGTTCGGGAGCTGAATTCCGACCTGTAAGTACCTGGTTGTCGCCTTTCGAGGAGCATGTGGAGATCCTATCTAAACTGGTAATTATGTATGAGAATAACGGAATCTCAAACAGTCAGATGATTTGGCCCTCATTGTCTGCCATTGTCCCAGTGTGAAAGGATTGTATGACCTGCTGTCTAGCGGGCCGAACCCTTTGTTGGCCATGACGCATGACGAGGGCTGGGCTATTTTGGGAGACGCCTTCAACAGTCGCCTTTGATTCATAACGTGAGATTGGTCTGGTCGTGATTCACTTGAGCTACTTTGACACCAGTGTAATCATTGATGAGGTCCTCGAAACACAGCAAGTTTAAATTCGCCCTGTTGCCCTCTTAGGTTTGTTCCCCTCGGCTTGTTTAAGACTTCTCATAATTACTGCCGACACGTAGCAGTTTCATAATCATCGTCTATTTCCTTCCATCGACTTCCAACGGACAATATGAGAATCACTTTCCTTCTCGCTCTTGCCACCAGCGTTGTGTCAGTATCGGCTCTCAGAGGCGGATACAAGGACGCCTGTTGGGTGAGTTTCTTATACGACCACGGCGAAATGTACGGTCAGTTTGCCGCGACGTGTTGGACGGATCCTGGCGATATCAACACATACAGAGGGACCACCATAGACCTCAACCACTGCCTTGTCAATCGCCATGGACTTCTCGGCTGGGGACCAAAGTAAGTAGTACTTCACCACATATGTTTGAAAAGTTGGCTAATATTCAAATCGAAGTGGCCAAGCAATGAAGACCTGCAACTGCAGGAGTCGCGCAGGCAAGACAAAGGTCATAGACTGCGCGTGCAGGACTGGGAATGGCTCGGAGACTCTCTTCAATTCAATCGACCTGAGTATCTCTCGCCTTGACAATTGTGTTAATTGAGTTGCGTGCTAACCTTTCCGCAGATGAAGGCATCTACACGACCCCCGACGCTCACCTGGCGTGTTTCGACATCGTCGGCCACAAAAGCAATTATTAGGCAAGGTGGCCATGCCAGTGGGGGCAGAAGAATTTGATGAATTTGGTTAGGGATACGGATCCGTATAAAGTCTAGTAATGGGGTTCTCAACACTCGGAGGAACTCGCGGTCAAATATCCAGCTTGCGAATGAGAGAGGGCCATTCTTGAGAAGCGCGTGCAATACATACCTCGGGCCACAATCACATGCTTTCAGCGTTGGTATTGGCTCCTTATCGGGCCCACGAGCCTTATCGTCTGGAGACTGTTGGGCTTATGACGTAGTGGGATCATGCAATCACGATATGTTGATGAAAACACAATTTGCTCCACAAAAGGCCTCTGCAGGGTCTAGAAGAACTTTCGAATCCCCTTCTGAGGTCCGCGTGCTACCAAGGAACCCATCTTGTCTTTTGCCTCTCGGTATCTTCCTCCGCCTGTTTGCTGGTCGCGACCCAAGCCGCCACTATCAACACTGCCGACCGACGCGATATCCATCCGCCTTCACCATGATAGGGACATCTATATGGGACTATGTTTTCATTCAGACGTGCATATTCTTCTTGCACTTGTTCGCTCCTTTTAGCATCCTGTATTCTCTAAGCAGCTGGCTCCTCCATCCTCCATTCTACATCCCCCGCATCCTGCAAGTATTCCTCGCTCTCGAGACGCTGTTCTACTTCGCCGTCTACCTCCCGCGTAGACACTACCTCCAGAGACCCGCGAAGCATCCCACCATCAGCCCCGAGGATCGCCGTATCTTGTTCCGGCGCTGCCACGACAACATCCCCGACCCCCAAGCGTATCTGGAGAAATGGTTCCTGGGCGCCCCGGCCGCAGAGATCAGGCGGGAGAACGTCAAGGACTTCCTCCGGTGGGCTTTCTTCAACACGGGAGAGCCGGACCCGGCATACGACGACGAGCTGGAGGAGTATGTTGGGCGGATCGATGAGTTATTGGGGAGGAAGTTGGAGCCAGGACGCGGGAATGCGAGATGTCTGAGGTTGACCATCGACAAGGTCGACATGTTGCATCGAAGCTTGATGTGGTACTTTGTAAGCTTTTGCCCTGCAGACGGTGCCTGGACTTGTCGCTTTGCAACAAACGTATTGCTTGCATGCTAACGTTTTCCTCTTCCTTCCACTTCCACAGTGTGTGTTTGTTGTCGATACCTTTGCATCTGTATGCTTGCGCTACTACTCCTTCGACTTTTATCGCACTCCGCTCCTCAGATTACCCACTGTCTTCCCTCTGCGTCCTATTGCTCTCTTCACCACCCACCGCTCACCTGCAAAGACTCTCACCTACTGGCACCGTCCACACACTTCCAAAACCAGACTTCCTGTTTTGTTCATCCACGGCATCGGCATCGGACTCTACCCGTACATTCAGTTTCTAGCCGAATTAAACGCGGCAGGAAAGAGGGATGGGTCGGATGGAGAACTGGGGATTATCGCTGTGGAGATTATGCCGGTGAGCTTCAGAATCACCGATCAGGCGATGCAGAAAGAGGAGATGTGTGAGGAGATTCGTCGTATAGTGGATGCGCATGGGTGGGAAAAGTTTGTCCTGGTGTCACATTCGTGAGTCTCCCATCTCCGTCACTACTAAGATTAATCAGTACTGACTGTTAGAAGCTACGGAAGCGTGATTGCTACGCATCTCCTCCACACGCCACAGATCGCAGAGAAGATCGGACCCATCTTATCTGTTGACCCTGTGTCTTTCCTGCTACATCTCCCAGATGTGGCTTTCAACTTTGTGAGACCTCTACTTTATCGCTGCTGATAGTCCTCTTGGCTAACCTCGTTAGATCTGCCGTAAGCCAACCCGCGCGAACGAACACCTACTCTCCTACTTCGCCTCTAAGGATATGGGTGTCTCGCACACACTGAGCCGGCGCTTTTTCTGGGCGGAAAATATCATGTGGAAAGAAGATATCCAGGGCCATCGTGTCACTGTGACACTGGCCGAGAGAGACCTGATCGTCGACACAGAAGCCGTCGGGGCGTATCTGGCAGGCGGAGATGATTGGATCCAGGAGAAGGGTAACTGGAAGGACAGGGCCTGGAAAGGGGATGGGCTGGATGTGTTGTGGTTTCCAGGACTGGATCATGCGCAGGTTTTCGACAACAAGAAGACGAGACGGATGTTGGTGGACGTTGTTAGAAAGTACTCTGTTAGCGGATAGACAACTCGCAGTATTATATCCATTAGATTAGACTAGATTCTTAGAGGTTCGACGTGTGTGGACGGCTGCCTGTTTTCTGGAGGACTTGTACTTCGACGATGTGCCTCCCTTGGGTTTCCTTTTCGCGCTATCAGGATGCCTCGGAGTCAGCCGTGGGAAGGTTGGTGGCAAAGTTGTCCACTGGTTTGCCCGAGCTAAAATCCTCCAAGACATACGCTCTCTTCCTTAATTAACTGCTGCAAAATATTATATCTGTTTCTTGGCAAGCAGCTAATACATCGACGCAATCCGCCTTAGATTCCTCACGTCCCAGTCCCTTCCAAGCTAACGTTTGATTCAGACAAAATGCCCCTGATATAGCCTGTCCAGTTTTACGACGTCCACGACTATGACATGTTATGGGCATTCGACTCCGGACGACATAAGTGTGAAGCGACTGGAGGATGGACCCTAAGCAGCCATTAATTCCATAGAGCAGACATCAAACTGGCCCACTTTGAGACACCCAGAGGGGAACGAGTCCGTCGGAATCCATGTTCACCAGTCCCGCATTCAGGATCCACAATCCCGACGACATTCGGACCAAGCCCGATCCGAAATTCTCGACCTCAGTAACATCGAAATTCATGTAATTGCTTTTGGTGGATCTGCCGAGTAAGATGATCGCTACGTTTTTAAACAGGCCATTTTAGGCAGGATCCATGATGCGGCTTTTACTCACGCCTTTGACAATTTCCGTCCCTTGTCGCCGTTGCCATTATTTGGTGGGTCCCGGGGTCCCCGGGAGTTGACCGTTCGGGGGCGGAGCCGGCCCCGAGCCACTCCGACAATTTTCAGGCGGCCTGAGTGCTCTACTGATGGAAATGCGCAGCATTCATTGGCCAGATCTTGGTGCCTGTCACTGTGAGTCATCCAGACTCATCATCCTATTGGTCCGTGTCTGTACAATCCTGAATCTTCAAGTATCGCGTTGAGAGCACTCAATCATGGCCAGCAATTCAATTCCAGAGTCTTCAATTTTACGTGTTTTCCTGCCGTGGAGGTGGCCAACCGACAACGTGGCTCGAAAGTCCCTCGACCAAGACACGCGCGAGGTGATGGCCAGCGACAGCTCCACCAAGGTCTCCACGGGCGCGTTCTCAGTAGAGGAGGACGACAAAGAACCCGCCATCGACAGCATAAACATGGACAACATAAATACCGACAAGGAACAAGCGGGAGACGAGGTTGCAGAGACTACCCCGGACGATGCGAATAAACCGGAGGAGGCGGTTGAATATCCCCAAGGTCTCAGCCTACTCTTCATCGTTCTCGGCTTGATTCTCAGCATTTTCCTCGCCTCGCTGGACATGACGATTGTCGCTACCATGATTCCCAAAATTACCGACGACTTCGGCGGCCTTGACAAGGTCTCGTGGTATGGCTCGGCCTTCTTCATGACCAACGGCGCCTTCTAGTCATCGTGGGGCAAAGCCTACAAATACTTCCTTCTCAAGTCATCACCTTCCTCCTCGCCTTTTTCGTCTTCGAGGTTGGCAGCCTGGCCTGCGCCGTGGCCCCTAATTCCACAGCCCTCATCGTAGGCAGGGACATTACCGGCCTGGCTGCCTCGGGACTCGGTACTGGTGCCTACACCATAATGGCCTTTGTTGCCGAGCCCCAGAAGCGAGCCATGTTCACCGGCTTTGTGGGCGTTTCCTACGGAATTGCCTCCGTGGTCGGTCCGCTCATCGGTGGCGTCTTTGCCGATAAGGTGTCGTGGCGCTGGTGCTTCTACATTAACCTGCCTATTGGTGGCATCTCGGCGTTTATTATCCTATTTCTTTTCCATACCCCCAGCAACGCCAAGCCGGTCGAGGCAAGCTGGAGAGAGAAGCTGCTGCAGATGGACCCCCTTGGGGTTATCATGATAATGGGTGCCTTTGTCTCATTCATCTTCGCCCTCGAATACGGCAACCAAGCTCATCCGTGGAACAGCAACGTTGTGATTGGCTTACTTGTTGGTTGCGCCGCCATCTTGACCACCATTACTGCCTGGGAGATATTCCAAGGCGACCGGGCCATGTTGGTCCTCCGCCTCACCAAGCAGCGGTCAATGGCTGACAGCTGCATCTTCACCCTCGTCTTTTCAGGTTCCTATTTCCTTGTCATCTACTATCTGCCCATCTACTTCCAGAGTATCCACAACGTCAGCCCTTCCATGTCAGGGGTGTACAACCTCCCGCTCATCTTGGCTGTCACTGTGTCCATGGTCTCGTCGGGAATCTTCATCAGCTCCACCGGGCTGGCTGTTCCTGTTCAAGTTGTGGGCACCGCGATTGCCATTGTCGGCGCCGGTTTGCTCTACACTTTTGATCTCCATACGAGCACTGGGAATTGGATAGGATACCAGATTGTTGGTGGCATTGGCTGGGGTTTGGCTTTCTAGATCCCGATCATTATCAGCTAGAGTAGCGCGGATCCCAAGGACATTTCCTCGGTCACCGCCATCGTCTCGTGTACGTAATTGGCAACTCCCCTCGTCTAATCTCCCCAACCCAGACTTACATCTCCTACAGTTTGCATGAATGCGGGTGGAACCTGCTTCGTCACGGCAGCGCAGTCAGTCTTTGTCAACAGACTTAGAGTCACCCTGCCCGCTACCGCCCCTGGCGTCGACCCCGCGGCTTTTGTCACAACTGGGGCTACGCAACTCCGATCGAGATTCCCGGCCGACAAGATCCCTGGCATTCTGTTGGCTTATGCGGATGGCATCAAGAGCGCTCTGATTATCCCGATAGGGGCAACTGGAGTGGCACTGATAGTCATCTTATTCAGCCGGTGGAAGAGGCTCAAATCTGGGAATTCGAAGGCCGCCGTGGCTGCTTGATGCCAAGGAAATTAGGTTACCCTCTGTATTACATTGTGTTTATATTTGGCGTGGTTTTAACGATAGAGTTATTAGACGGGCCAGGGGATAATTATCTTAGAGTTGGCCCATTGGACCGACATACGCACTTATGCTGTCCCGGAAGGAGGCTGGGGAGCATTGAGGGATCAAAATACTACTGTATAACGCAAGGTTGCGTAAAAGATACATGGATCCCCAAAATAGAGGCAAAGTGTGGGGGATAGGGCTGTCTTCTCTCCGAGTCTGACATGCACGTTTTCTCCACAGAGAAGCATGAATATGGAGAGTCAAAAACAGGAAGATAATCGTTTGGCAAATGGGAGGTTGCATTCGCCTATTTGGTAACTATTTAGTAAAGGAGAGGCTGAATTTGTCGGCGCTATGCATTTCTCTCAAGCCTTAGAGGTATCTTATTGCGCCGAATGGTCCTCTGGACTGGTCTAAGTTGCTTAATCTTCCCCACAATAGCCAAGGACAATGACGAGAGCTGACAACATGGTTTACATTACGGCTGACATGCAGCAGTTGTGAAATGTCTATATAGAGAGACGGGTAAGGATGTACAAGCCCGGATTTTGAATCAACCTTCAACCCGTTCACTCACCATCCCGAATTATCAACTCACGTTGCCCTCACTCTCACCCTCACCCTCACCCTCACCCAGAAGAACAGCTTCGTTGTATTACTTTCAACATGCAGCCCCTTTCGCTCCTTGTTGCTATGCTCCTTCCCCTCGGCGCCTTGGCCGCTCCTGTGGCCGAGGATGTCGATGGCATCAATGCGCCCATCCTCTACCCACGCGAGACCTTGGCTCTCGACCAAGGCAAGGAACTATTCGACCGGTCAAACTAATATTGTGACATTGTTGGCAACGCCGCCGAGGTCAACTGCCGCAGCGGACCGGGTACCAACTACAAGGCCACATACAAGCTGCCCAAGGGGGCCAATTATCTCTTCACTTGCGTCAAGTCCGCAGAGTGTGTCGTGATTAATGGCGCCACGAACTGGTACGTGTTTCGCGGACACATAAATAGTGACTGCTGGAGCTGGACTGCTGGCTAACACCACCTGATAATTAGCGGTTGGGATTGGCTCCCAGCCGGCAACTGCTGGGTCAACGGCCATTACACGGACAGTCATTGCACTGCTGGTATGTGCTCTCTTCCCCTGACCTGCTGCGTAGCTTAGCCTTTTGCTGACTTTCTGCCAATAGCCAAGCTTGGAATGTGCGCTTTTTGATTCCAGCGTCGCTGACTCAAAAGAAAAGGTGGACCAGCATTGGCACCTGCTTTACAATTCTTAGCTATCTATCTATGTAGCTTGCCCTGGGGAGCGAGAAAGCAAGGAATTGAGATCAATACCCATGACTTGACAACTGTCAACAGAACCATTTTACCATCGCCGGAGATGATAAACTTGGAATTCGTGCCTTGTAAACAGAGGGGCCTCCAAGACAAGACAGTCAATCAACTCACAAAGCTATCTGCACTCCCAAACTAGGCTTGCCCTTCCCCGACAATGTGCTCGGCCACATCCCTCATTGACGTGATCATGTGGCGGGCTCAATTCTGACCTAGAAATTAAGGAGAAGGAAACGGCGAGTCGGAGACGGAATGGCTCGGAGACTTGAGCTGGGCTGGATGCTGGATGGATGCGATGCTGATCAGACGCAATTGTATGATATCTGGCCGGCCTTGGAGAAGGGTGGCTGTTGACTCGGATAGTTTTAAAGACGGTCCATGAGTTGCACCGCTGCGGCGGTGCTATGTTTTGTACGTATTCATGGTGCACGTGGGGCCGGTGGTATGATTAGGCCGACTGGGATTAAGTCTCCGGATGCTGCTACCGATCGCCAAGGTCTACGGACCTACCTTAGTGCTCGGGATATCGCTACTTTAATTAATAGCTTGTTCCTTAAAAAAATGAAAACGACATATAATATCCTCCAGCCATGATCCAACTACTGTCATTTCCAATTGCGTTGTATTCCTCATCATCTTGGCCTTTGTTTTTTCCTCAGCTGTTACCTATACTTTCGTCCCGTCCGCCCCTTCCCACTACCCTACGGCCACCTACTGAGCCCGTCTTCTAATCTAAACCTGACACTAAACGCCTGTCACGACATGGAAGGTGAAAAGGACGGTCAGCATGATCCCTCGGGCGCGGAAACCTCCGACAGCAACCCAGAGAGAACCGCCAACGAATCCGCCGCGCCAAAGTTCAACAGAAGCCCCCGGTTCTGGGCCATCATAGCCACTCTCTGCGTCATTGGCATCCTGAGCTCCCTGGAGAACACTGTAGTGACCACCTCGCTGCCCTTCATTGTCACCGAGCTCAATCTCGGCGAGAACTACATCTGGGTCACCAATGTCTTCTTCTTGACCAGGTCTGCTACCCATAATTACCTATCTACCCCCATCCAAGCGTGAATAGCCGGTGCTAATGCGGGTGCCGTTGTGTTGGACAGCGCTGCCGTGCAGCCTCTATTCGGGCAGCTTGCCAACATCTTCGGTCGACGATGGATTACCATGGCCATTGTCATGCTCTTCACTCTTGGCAGCGCCATTGCCGGTGGTGCCTCCAACGGTGCCATGCTCATCGCCGGTCGAGCCATCCAGGGTATGGGGAGTGGTGGTATCAACATGATCGTCGATGTAATTGTTTCGGACCTGGTGCCCCTGAGAGAGCGAGGAAACTACATGGCCTTTGTTCTCCTTGTGTACTTTGTCGGGATGGCACTCGGCCCATACGTGGGAGGCGCCATTGTCGAGACAACTACCTGGCGCTGGGTCTTTTATATCAACCTACCGGTAAGCACTGATTACTGCTCCGAGTTTGCTCATTTTCAATTCATCGTCACGATGAACGGCGCTTAACCGGATCCCTAGGTTGGCGGAGTGTCTATGCTCATGATATACCTCTTCCTCCATGTTAAATCCAACAAGGAAATGCCCTTGGCCCAAAAGCTGCGCCGCATCGACTACATCGGCAATATTCTCGTCATTGCGTCTACAGTCGCCATACTCTACGCCTTGACATACGGCGGAACTCGTTACCCGTGGTCGTCCTGGAGGATAGTGCTCCCCCTTGTCCTCGGCCTGGCCGGCCTCGGCGTTTTCATCTTCTTCGAGACCACCAAGTTCGTCAAGGAGCCCGTGGTCCCGGCACGCCTCTTAGCAAACAGGACCTCGGCAGTTGTCCTTGCCGTCACCTTTATGAACTCGGCCCTGCTCTTCTGGATGCTCTTCTTCGTCCCCGTTTACTTCCAAGCCGTCTTGGGCAGCTCTCCCGCACGGGCGGGCGTGCAGCTGCTCCCAGCCATCGTCATCGCCGTTCCCGCCGCCATCGTAGCCGTGCTTCTCCTCGCCAAGTACGGCAAATATAAACCGCTCCACCTGTTCGGTTTCGCCCTCAATACACTCGGTCTCGGCCTCTTCAGCCTCCTCGATCAAGGCTCCACCACCGTCGAGTGGGTCATCTTCGAGTTGATCGTCGCCGGCGGCTCGGGCTTTGTCCTGAACACGCTCCTACCGGCCTTCCAGACACCGCTCGAGGAGAGCGACCAGGCAGCTGCAACGGCGGCGTGGTCGTTCATGCGCTCCTTCGGCAACATCTGGGGCGTGGCCATCCCCGCCGCCATATTCAACAACTACTTCGACAAGCTGTCCAGTCGCATCTCCGACCCGGCCGTGGCTGCTCTATTCCTCCAGGGCAATGCGTACCAGTCCACCAGTGCAGAGTTTCTCAACACGTTCCCACCCGCTATCAAGCAGGAAATTATCACCGTCTACGCGGACAGCCTGAAGTATGTCTGGCGCCTCTCGGTCATATTCTCGGGCGTCTCGTTCCTGCTTGTTTTCCTTGAGAAACAGATCAAGATGCGCACCGAACTCGAGACGGAGTACGGCTTGGCTGAGGAGAATGGCAAGAAGAAGGATTCCGAGACGGGCGAGAAGACGGAGGAGGCTGAGCAGGAGAACGGGGCAGCCATGGTGACGGAGAAGCCTGTTGAAATTAGCCCCTGATACCATTAAACCGATTTGACCTATAAATCTAGGTTAACCCGCCGTTCCAACGAAGTAGCATCCTTTGGTGATATAATTCGTGGCATAGAAGAACCAAGTACGGAAAATCAGGCAAGTGGAGAAAGTAGATCGGTCCCCAACTAATGCCTCGTAGTCTACGGGTAAGAAGTATCTCAGCCAGTAATTGCTCTCATCTTTACTAGGTTGTCAGCACGTTGTTGACATAACTGAGCTAGCTCATCCTCATCCCATCTACAAAGGGAAGGTCGATGCAACACCCGACCTGCTCTTTCCGTCGCTATGTATTGTTATTGCCTCTGCTGCCTATCGCTCTTTCTGTCGTTATGTATCGTTATTGCCTTCACTATGTATCGCTCTTGCTCTTGCTGTCTATCACTCTTTCTGTTGCTATCGATTTTCGCCAACCACGCTATGCCAAGACGCATTGTTGAGCAACTTAGCTACCTGGGTATTGGAAGCTCCTCAAGAACGACATCCTGGAGAAGGCCGAAGACCTCGAGTACTCAGCTCGCCTGGCTGAAGGGCTCTTCTACGGAGGTCCTCTTTAGGCCTACACGGACAACCGAACAGAGTCTTTGCCGACTCAACTTCAAGGACTCGTCTCAGGGTTAGATCAACATTTCCTGCTTCCCTATTAGGATCTCTCCCCTGCCAAGGTCCCGGCTAAAGCTACAGCTCCCCTAGAAGCTTTCCTGTCCAAGCAAACCTCCGATTTCATACCCACTCAGATAGCCATCTGGGCTGCTCTTGTATGCACTTGGGTAAGGGCGGATCTATAGAGGGTAGACTAGAGAGCTCTCTGGCACGCAAGCAACCTAGCCCAAATCAGGCCCTTGTTCCATTGGACCTACCCCTGGCTCATTTCATTGTTTATTTCCCTCACTACCTTCGTTCAACAGAAATCAGTTCCTTGGTATCCTATTGGCACCTGGGGGAGGCGGAATTGTAGATGGGCCTCCTTCTTCAAGACATGAAAGCTAGGCCGTATTGACGCAGGGTATTCCTTCGGACAAGGGAAGGCATGAATTCGAGGCCATTGTCCTGCCTGTAATTACCTAATGACAAGCGGTATACAACAGATATCTTGCTCCGCTACGCCCCGCACCTTCCGCAGCATGACTCACGCCGCCTGCGACACGCTCTAGTGTTCGGCTAGCAGCTGATTGGTAGAGGACGAGTCTGAGGTCTGAGGTCAAAAGTTATAAGAATCCCGAGTTACGCTGCAGAGCTTCCAGTAATTAATAGGAAGCATCTAGCCATTGGATATTACCCTTTCTCAACTATAATTAATAGACATACCATGTCTTTCCCCGTTTAAGAGCCACCTAACCGTGCTACCTCCCATGCGAATATGAATCCAGTGAACACCAAGCCTTACAGCCTGCCATCCGGCGCAGTCTGGTTGAGTGAGTCTCTATTTATCTTTTCGAGCTCAGGTACTATGACATAGGTGACTGACTCTCATCCTGTTACAAACAGTTACCGGTTGCTCAACGGGCATCGGTCGCGCCCTTGCGACCCTGGTCGCGAGCAAGCCAGACCAGCGTCTGATTGCCACGGCCCGCAACCCGTCCAGTCTTTCGTATCTCCCCGATGCGAGCCCCAACATCCTCAAGCTCGCCCTGGACGTGACCTCAGCCAGTTCAGTCAATGCCGCCTTTGCCGCGGCTGCGGAGCATTTTGGCAAAGACTTCCATCTCGACGTCGTGGTCAACAATGCCGGATATTCGCTCTCGGGCGACACCGAGTCCGCGACGGAGGAGGAGACGCACCAGGAGATCGAGACCCTCTTCTTCGGCACGGCGCGGGTGACGACGCGCGCCATCGAGGTCATGCGCCAGGCCGAAGACCATAGGGGTGGGGTGATTTTTAACATCTCGTCGCTCGCCGGGCTATGCGGCTTTCCGGGGCACGCGTACTACCACGCCGGCAAGTTTGCCGTCGAGGGTTTCTCGGAATCTCTTGCGAGGGAGATGCATCCGGATTGGAACAGTAAGTTCCCCTAGCAAATATCATGCGCGTCATAATGTGTCTTTCCAAAGGAAATACCAGGCAAGGAATGACCGTCGCTAATTAATTCATCCCCCCAGTCAACTTCTGCATCGTCGAGCCAAGCGCCGTCAAGACCAACTTCGAGGGCCACAGCAAGGCGCACACCAAGCCCCATCCAGCTTATGCGGCAGACGACATGCCGGCTCGAAAGCTCGAGGGATATGTCCGGATGGGCATGAAGGCGGGTGTTGGCATCGAGCCTTCTACGATCGCAGAGGCCATTTACAACATCGCCAGCCGTGGCGAGCGCGTTCCGTTGCGACTTCCCCTCGGTCCGGTGGCTTGGAAAATGGCCAAGTCCAAATTTGAGGGTCTCTTGGGAGAGCTCGACGCGGTCAAGGAGCTGAGTGCTCTGGGTCAGGAGATTTGAAAGCATTGAGGAATAATTACTTCTAAGTTAAACAGTCAATTATCATCTCCAAAGCAAAGGAGCTCACCAACAAGTCCCAAGTTGTACGAGATGGCAAGCAGCGTAGGACGTAACGAGTGTGTTTGATGATTGGTTTCCCATATGAATGTGAATGTATGTGCCCTCCTGATTCTTTTCCACCGCGTGCTTTCCACCTCGTAATGAATCGATGACACCGAGACGGAGTACCTCCCATCGAAGCTCTTGCGACCTGTCCGTCATGCAATTGTGTAATGGAGAGCGATACCGATCAAGTGATGTCGGGTAAGAGAGAGGCGTCATTAACTCGGCTTCAGCTAAAACTCCCTCTCTATTCAATGACTCCGACTTGACAGTCTACGAGAGGGGGGGGGGAGTGTCGGGGAAATACTGACGTAAAACCTCGCCTGTCTTGTGTTCTTGAGATCCCCGGACTTACCCCATTGTTATTTCCGACATGTCCGGAATTGTCAGCACTTGGCGGACCGGGTTTGAGGACCGCATCTTCCATCGGCGAAGGATTCGGTGTTATGCCTCTGGGCGATAGATTCGGTGTTAAAGTCGTCTGCGAAGGACTCAATGATTACCAAGGCCTCGAGTAGGGTGCAAGGTGGTGACATCAGCATTCGATGCTGCCCACCAAAGTAAGACAGGTCATGGAGCTCCGATTTGATATAATAGAGGGCTTCCCTTGCTCCAAAAGATTTGAATGACAACCAGACAATAATTAAACCACAACGAAACTGATACGTCACAGCCAGAAGCTACACCATGTCTCCGTTCAGTTTTCACACCATCGGCGAGGAGGTCGCAATCGCATTAGCGGACCGCGTCAAGGGCCGCACCTTCGTCATTACGGGAGCCAGCGAGAAGAGTCTCGCCGCTTCGGCAGCCATTGAGCTCGCGAAGCAGTCTCCGGAGCACATCGTGTTCGTTGCGCGCAGCAAGGCCAAGATCGATCCCGTGACCAGCGAAATCCAGTCCATCGCCTCAAGCGTCAAAACGACCTTCGTCCAGTGCGACCTTACAGACCAGGAGTCGATAAGAAATGCCGCCGAAGAGATCAACTCGAATGGCCACATCGAGAAGATCGATGCCCTCATCAACAGCGCCGGGATCATGAACATCAAGGACTACACCGTCGACAACAAGGGGAACGAGCTAACCTTCTCGGCCAACCACATCGGCCACTTCCTCCTCACCAACCTCCTCATCCCCAAGATCCTCGCCGCCGGAAAGGGCGCGCGCATCGTCAACCTGACCTCGCGCGGCCACCGCATCAGCAACGTGCGCTTCGACGACCCGGACTTCTCGGGCGGCGCCGCGTACGACGGCTGGTCGGCTTACGGGCAGTCCAAGACGGCCAACGTGCTCTTCTCGGTCGAGCTGGACCGGCGCCTGGCGGGCCGCGGGGTCCGGTCCTACGCCGTCCACCCGGGCAGCATCTGGGGCACCGGCCTGGCGACCCACCTGGACATGTCCGACTTTGGGGACATCGACCACGTCGCGCGCCGGAACACGGGGAGGCCGTTCACCCTCGAGGAGATGAAGACGATACCGGAGGGGACATCGGCGATGCTGGTGGCGGCGCTGGACCCGGACCTGGAGAGTCGGGATGGGGTCTTTGTTGAGGATTGTCAACATGGTGAGCCGTATGATTACGCGCTGGATCCGGAGGGTGCGAGGAGGTTGTGGAAACTGTCCGAGGCGTTGGTTGGGCAGGAGTTTGACCCTTGATGATCGAACACTAGAATTTGATGGCCTTTGAGTTGGTCGCTGCTGTTATTAGCCAGAGTTTTTTATATCGACACTGGACTGGGCTAGCGAAACTAGAACTTTCTTTATGAGAGCTATTGCTGAGCCGGAGTGCAAATCGCTCAAATATGCCGGCTGCGCCATGCTAACTACATTTGTGCATTCTGGAATTAAATACCCGTCGAAGGATCCATGCGCTCCGCCCTAAGGCCGTCGTTGATTTGTTGATTGAGCCTAGATCTGGACCCCTCGTGCATCCTGAACGGCGCTATTGCATGTGAGTAAGACCACATCAGCCTGTCCTAAGTCATAAAAAGGTGACTCCCACCCATCCAGTACGCTCTCCCTTTGAACGCTTTCAGTTGTGGCCAAAATGTCGACCTCTGCGGACCAGCCTATTATCCTATACCATTACCCTGGCTCTCCCAACTCGAGAAGGGTCGTCTGGTACCTCGCTCTCAGGGGCATTCCATACATTCAATGTGTACTGTGGCATACGTCTTTTTTTGTCTTCCGCGCAAGGAAAACTGCAACCTTGGCTTCTAACCTGCAACCGTAGATCCAACCGCGGGTCCTGCCGCGTCCGGACCTTGCGCGCCTAGGCATCAACTACAGACGGATCCCCATCCTCTCCATCGGCCGCGACGTCTACCTTGACTCGCGTCTCATCCTGCAGAAGCTGGAGCAGTTGGCGCCCGAGCGGCCCCGCCTCGCAGCCGACGGAACCCCAGAGCACCGCGTCATCGAGAGGCTGTTCGAGGCCTTTACCATGGACGCCGGGTTTTCCAGGCGCATCGTCCAGTTGATGCCGTCGGACTTGCCCATGTGGAGCGACCCGGCATTTATTGAGGATCGCGCCGACTTGGTTGGAGGCAGGGGGCTTCTTACCGCGGAGGCGTTGGCAGCTGCACGGCCGGAGGCTATCAACGAAGTCAAGAACGTCTTTGAGCTCTTGGAGACTACACTGTTGGCGGATGGCAGGGAATGGATCCTCGGGACGGAGGGGCCGAGCCTGGCGGATATCGAGGCCGTCTGGCCGCTTCACTGGTCGACTTTGATCCCGCGGGCACTTCCTGCGGACCACATCTCGGCGATACTGTTCCCCAGGGTTTTTGCATGGATTGAGAGATTCCAGAGAGCCGTGTCTGCCGCCGAGAAGTCTTTCTCCGAACCTCAGACTGTGTCCGGAGAGCAAGCCGCAGCTTTGATGGTGACCTCGGCATACAACGAAACGGAAGGCCAAGTCGATGAGAACGATCCCGTCGTCCAGAAGCAGGGGCTCCAAAAGGGCCAGCTCGTACAGTTTTGGCCGACCGATACTGGCTCTGGGCACAAGGACTCGGGCAGACTCGTGAGAATAAACAGCAAACAGGTTACCATAGAGACGGTAGCTGGAGATACGACGGTGCGAGTCCACGCACCGAGACATGGGTTCCGGGTAGTTGCCCATTCTCAAGGTGGCTCGGATCTTTGAAGGGAGACTCATGACGAGAGAGCAAAACCTCACTTTTGCAGCCGTTTAATGAGGACAGTACGGGGTGTTTTATTTGTCTATCCGCCGTGGGTGACCCGCTGTCATGAGAGTCACGGCGAAGCCCACAAAGCACCGATCTTGACGTTAACATCCAGGACAAATATTGTCGCCACTGCAGGGTTGCAGAGTAGTTATTTGTTAGAACGGCGAGAAGATCTGCATCTTGACTTTTGTAGAGGAAAGGAGTTCGGTTGCCTGATTTGTTTGTTCTGTTTTGTGCATGCAAATCAGGTATTTGAGTCGAGCAGGCCGTTGAAGAGCCCAAGGGTGCCCGTGCTAACACGGTGCATCAAATCTCTCTCCAACCCCAGAGCTCGGCACCCTGTGCAGAGCTTCACCAGAGCCGTCGCTCTCTACTCGTAAAAACGTCCCACGGCACACCAACGCGAGTGAGGTTGCGGCGAATTGAGGCAACAAGTCCCCCTTTTTACCTACCTCGGAGGCTGCTCCCACGTGATGTAGCTAGGCGGATATCCTCTGGGGCAGACGACGGTAGAGCCGGCCAGAGCTAGCTACCCGCTCGGGGCGCGCCCGGTAGGACGTCAGGGGAGCGGCAGGCACAACGTCCGTCCTTGTGGTCGCTAGCTGTGCCGAAGAATCCGAAGACGGGCATGCCAGGAATAAAAGGTGGAGACACTGGAGTTTCTTCCGGGTCTGGATGCAATGAATACAACTTCGGGAGATAAGGAATGGTAGGATACGCATCGGCACTGATTGAGGGATAAGACGGCGCTGGATTTGGCAAGCTTATCGGGCACGACGGATGATGATGGGATGCAGCACTTGCTGGGGGCGCCTACCAGGTTTCGGCGACTCGGAGACACGGCCAGACACCCCCCATCGATAAGTTCACAGCTAAGATTCAGCAATAAAGCCGTCCAGGTAGGGCCTATCAGGGAGAGACCCCACAACGCAAGGGGACATCAAGCACGCAAGAAAACAAGACCATCATATAATCTGTGTCGCAAGAGCCCAGAATAACGGTCCACAACTCCAAGTGGGCGAACCATGGCTGGACATATTAGGTTGGATTATCTTCACCAAGGTCATTTTGTAATAACATAAGCATTAGTAGTGAGCCCTGTTTTGATGAACTCAGTTGACAGAATTTGACCTTTTCTGATGGTCTAGGGCACGAGTGGAGGTGAGAAGGGGAAGAACCTTGAGCTGCGACATTAACACTCGGAATCGCGTCATTCTTCTTCATATGTCCTTGCACGATAGGGACATAGTCGGACAGCGAAAAGCTTGATTTTTTTTCGGCGTTTGAAATTGCTAAATTGCTCCTCTAGCGCTGCATTAACTTTGTAAACCGCCGAGCTCGACTTCGAGTGCGAGATTTGGTGGGCCCGGAGTCTGCGGGGCGGTGGTCGGCTTGGCTTGGGCCTGCCGGAAATTGGACGGCGGGGACGGAATTGGTGGGATGCAGATACGGATAATGCGGTTGAGAATTAAAAATTACTATGTACTGTACCTTAGCGATAGCAAAGTTCCGGGTCCGCAGAAAGAACTGGGACTCTTGGGAGGACTGAGAGGAGAGAGAGGAGGAGAAGGCAAGGAAAGAGGGAGGAAAGAGGGAGGAGGGAGGAGGTGGCGAATGGAACCGTCTCCAGCCCGCCCGGATGCGGCACCAAAACCCGACACCATGGTCTTCCCTTCTTCGTTCTCCACGACATTCGCCTGTTCATTGGCGGGGCCCTGGGAGAGGTTGTGGAACGATGGGAGATCCCGAAGCCACGGGGCTGGGGAGATTTGCTGAGGACCTTTTCCCTGGATCGGGCTGGCTTGCTAGTGTGGTTGCACTCTGGCGTGATGATAACACGTTAACGACATTTGTTCTGGTGTGTTTTGTAAGCAACTATTCTGGGGACCGGCTTTTCCCCGTTTCCCAAGTTGGCAGCTCCCTCCTCGAGAACCTGGTGAAGGTGGGTAGCGTAGGTATTCTACACGTGTACAACTACGCATACGATGGATATCCGATAGTGGCCGCTCTCCGCTGTCATGACCCCGCGGGGAACACGGCTGCATCCTGGGGATCGTCATGATTGACGTGCAGACTCGCATTGCTGCGGTTTACAACTCTAGGTACCTTGGTCCTGTACATCAAGTACCTTCCGCAAGAAGGTCGATACGCATCTTATCTGGAGCCCCGCATCCCCCAGATTCCCCGATTGCCATTTAATTACGGAGTTCCTGCCTGTCTATTGGGTCGCCGTTTCCCATCCTCCCCCCCGCCACAGCATTGAAGCACGTGCTACACAAGAACATTGTCCCGGACATTGGCTGCTTTGGGAAGGTGACACTACCACTAATCCACAAAACGGTGACCGACGAGTGTCGCCCAGACCCGTATCTTATCTTGCCAAGTTTTCGCTCGCGTGTTTCCACTGATACGTGATATCCGTAGTTTAAGTGTACGAATCGCGTAGGCGAACGGGGTGGCCGTAGGACAGGCCCGACACGAGCTCTAGTGTACTGTAGTTTGTTCCAACTTTTCGTCTTCCCTCAAGGAAATGTCAAGGCCAGGCCGATCTGCTCCTGGCAATCCAGTAACTGCCTCCGCATTCCCTGACTCTTTAGGCTCTAAATCTTAACAAGACGCTTATGTGGGCGTGCCGAGCTAACCGACTCGCCCCCTGCCCGCTAGGCTTACGCTAAGCCGGGAGGGCTACGGTGCAGGGCCGCGAGTTGGCGTGTGCGGCCAGGGTATGTCTACTTCTAGCCTGATTTCAATTGCTAGCGCGGATACTTGCAAGTCCGTAGTTTTAGCACCTTCCTTCTCTGTAACTTTGCTCGTCTATTGCTAAGTTTAGAAATCTTTGCCAAGTACACACTACGGAAAATACAGTGTATCCAACAGTGCACATTATCTTCTTCGCAGCGCCCAGATCAGGCCGAGGTTGAAGCAAGGAAAATAATGCTCGGCATTTCTGAAGCGAGCGAAGAGGATTGTTTGCGCTAGACGCCGTTGCAGCACCCACTGCCGAGGCCTGCATTTCATCCCCGTGATTGCCGGCAGACGACCGGAAAGCAACACTTGAGAGTCGACGGCGTCGTCAAAAGTATCGAAAACAGCCAGGCCAGTTCAGCGCGATTGCGGCGCAAGAGTGCATCAAAAGCAAAAGAGAGGGACGATGGGATGGAAGAATCGAAACACCCTCGGCCACCAGTGCCTGATTCATGAACCCCTTCGGCATCCCCGTCTGTTCGCCTTCCACCTTCCTGTCCAAGTATAAACTTGTTCAAAATAGGACCGATCGGTCGCACTAGCGCATTTCCATCATTGGCCAATGGGCCGGGCCCCGCCGCTGTCTTCGGCCGCCTCCACACCTCGAGCCAGCCCGCTCCGCTGGGAAGGTTCGACGGGGATGAACCAATCGACCTTCCTGAATTGATAAACTTTGCTCCCCGCGCTGTCGGGTCTTGGCGCGTGGCAACCCGCCGCCGACTGCCCAATTGGTGCAACCCTGAGGCGACCCCTGATAATGCTGATACGACCCCGACCCTGAGGCCTGCCTGCGGAATCTATTTATTATTTAGGCTATTGCTGCCCGCGTTCCTTCCCGAACACTTTCTGTCGTTATCAACCTTAGTCTTTCCCCGCGTGTCTCTCCTGCTCGCCTCCTCCCCTCCCTCCCCTCCTTCTATCCACCGTCGAAGAGAAGGCCCGGGTGAAGCTCACAAACGACAGCTAGCAAAGGGAGGGCGACAAAATGACTACCACCATCAACCTCGACACCGATGCCATCGTGCAGTCTGGTCTGGTAGACCCTGAGCACAAGGGCCTCGCTCACAACGAGGCCCGGGGGTCGATGGATGTGCGCAAGTCGTTGCAGGCTCCCGCCCACGACTTCGCCTCCACCGACGACGACGACAACTCGTGGCCCGACAAGCCGACCGAGGAGGAGCTGCACACGCTGCGCCGCGTGTCGGGCAAGATCAAGTGGAATGTCTACACCATTGCCTTCGTCGAGCTCTGCGAGCGCTTCTCCTACTATGGCTCCGCCGTCCTGTACACAAACTTTGTCAACCACCCGCTCCCCGACGGCTCCAACACGGGTGCTACCGGCAACTCGAGCCAGCGCGTGCCCGGCGCCCTCGGTATGGGACCCAAGGCTGCCCAGGGAATCAGCTTGTTCAACCAGTTCTTTGCCTACCTGATGCCTCTGTTTGGTGCCTGGATTGCTGATGCCCGGCTCGGTCGTTTCTGGACCATCCACATCGCCATCGGCATCTCCACCATCGCCCACGTTATCCTCGTCGCTGCCTCGTCGCCCGGCGTCATCGTCAAACCCGACGCGTCCTTCGCCGCCTTCATCATCGGACTCCTGACCCTCTGCGTCGGCACGGGCTTCTTCAAGGCCAACGTGTCCCCCCTCCTGGCTGAGCAGAACGACGACACCCGGATGCGCGTCGAGGAGCGCAACGGCGAGCGCGTTATCGTCGACCCGGCTGTCACCAACACGCGCATCTTCCTCTACTTCTACTTCTGCATCAACATCGGCTCCATGGCCGGCCAGATCGGAATGGTGTGGGTCGAGAAGTACCTGGGCTTCTGGGTCGCCTTCCTGATCCCCACGGGCATGTTCCTGCTCGCGCCGCTGGTGCTGTGGTCGCAGAAAAAGAACTACCGCCTCACCCCGCCCACGGGCTCGCTGCTGTCCAAGTTCCTGCGCATGTTCATGTTCGTCCAGAAGCGCTGCCCGCTCTTCAAGCTCGACTGGGAGCTCGCCAAGCCGTCCAACGTGCCCGTCGCCGAGCGCCCGTCATGGATGACGTACGACGACGCCTGGGTTGACGAAGTCCGCCGCGGCCTCATGGCCTGCAAGGTGTTCCTCTTCCTGCCCATCTTCTTCCTGTCCTACAACCAGATGACGGGCAACCTCACGATTCAGGCCTCCACCATGGAGCTGCACGGCGTGCCCAACGACATCATCCAGAACCTCAACCCCATCTCCATCGTTATCATGATCCCCCTCATCGACGGCCTGCTCTACCCGGGCCTCCGCAAGCTCGGCATCGCCTTCACCCCGATCAAGCGTATGACTCTCGGATTCATGATCGCCGCCATGTCCATGGTCGCCTCGGCTGTGATGCAGTACTACATCTACCAGAAGAGCCCCTGCGGCTGGCACGCCAACAGAGAGGGCTGCGCCCCGGCGCCCATCAACGTGTGGGCCCAGTCGCTGCCCTACATCCTCATCGGCCTCGCCGAGATTTTTGCCAACGTCACCTCGTACGAGTACGCCTACTCCAAGGCCCCCGAGAACATGAAGTCGCTCGTCATGAGCGTCAACCTGTTCATGAGCGCCATCTCCGCCGCCATCGGCCAGGCCTTCACCCCGCTCTCCGATGACCCCCTGCTGGTCTGGAACTACACCGTCGTCGCCTGCATCGCTGTCGTCGGCGGCGTCGCCTTCTGGTTCTGCTTCCACCACCTCGACTCGGACGAGGACAAGTGGAACATGCTCAAGAAATCCGAGTTCATCGGGAATCAGCAGCCCACCCTCGCCGAGAACTCAAAGGCCGACGAGGCTTGAGGTGGCGGGAGACTCGGGGGTTTTGTATGTTGATGTTGATGAGGGAGAGTGTATGTTATCTAGGGACATGAATATGATACCAGTAGCAATCGTAATTCGCTTTATAAATTCAAAAAGACATTTTAAACAAGACTTGTCCGTCTCATCAGTGATTCGTATTCTACTCATTACGTGACTGCTCGACGTTCGTGGGCCGCCAACATACTAGCTATTAACTAATACCTCGGGATCAAACAACACCAGGTTAGATTTCTAACGGAGAATGGAGCCAAGTTGTATGCTCTTGGATCTTGGAGTCTGCGGACAGGATTGCCATCCAGTCTGTCTCTGATGATATCGACGGCGTCGAGCTTAGCCAGTCCGGCTATGAAGCCACCGCGAGCAGGATGCCGCCTTCCATAATGACCTCGACCGGCTCTCCCTTTCCTTCTCCCGAAGGGGGGAATGCCACACGGGACTGGGCTCGAATGTTACAAGAGAGATGGTCGACGCCACTAGCCAGACTTCAAGCAGCTTCGCGTGATTCCAAAGAGAGGTAGGTCGCGGCGTCATTGATTTATTGTATCGCAGCCGATACCGGCGTACTAGCTGTTTCTGTATATATGCCCTTTCCTGTCTGGCTACGAGTTTTAGATCAGCCGCAGCCAGGGACGTTTGTAAGATTCGCTCCCAGTTAGGATCCGGATCCGGATTGCCGTCAGAGTCCCTTGTAGCAGTACCAGGGAGATTGGAGGGCCTCATCTCCCGCATGCCCGTCGAGTCGGCTCCTTAAACGGCTACCATGCCGCTGATCATAGTGATGGTGTGAAGCGATCAATCCTTTTCTCTATTTAGGAGTTGTAGTAGAATTGGTTGATCATATTGTACTATTTCTGGCGACCATGGGATATTTGCTTTTGGTGCAAATCCGGGTTACAATCTCTCGGGGGGATTTCAGCCCGTCATCTAAGATGAGGTTCCATTTTAGATATTCTCTTGCCAGGTGTGTGAGCCGGGGGTTGTACTGCTGTTGCGGAAGCAACGAAGTAATGAGAGGAGCATGGTGTGTAGTTGCGGCCTGGCCAAGGAGCCTCATTCTTCTACCCCGGCCTAGTCGAAGTGGTTGTAAATGAGGCTGGAGAGAAATTAGCTAGTGGTTTGAGATATTTACTATTATTAGCAGTGCTCCAGACATCATCTTCCCCTTCCTGACGAGTATTTCAAGAATGGCACCCGACATTCATCGACAAATACGAGCCGAGATGTGGGAACAAGGAGAAGAAAAAAGGGGCCAACAGGTGGTCCGTCAAAAATAACTTATACTCATCAAAACACTACCGTTCACATTTTCTTCTACATGATGCCGTTACCAATAGGGGCTGGAGTCGAGGCCCATTCCACTAGTTACAATCGAACCTTTCCTAACGCCCAGTAACTGGGCCGGTGGCTTCTATCATATGGCCACCGACGAATTCAATCTTTCCGAGCTGGCCAGGACAACGGGAACATGCTCAGCCCTTGACGTGGTGAACTTTCCAATTGGAAGCTCTTCCATTCTCCTCAGGTGATTTTACTGTGAGATTAACATGAGTTTCTGCTGATCCTTGGTGTTGGTACCAACAGACATATAGCCTAATAGACCAATGCAATCCCCCATCTGTTGGCCACTTGTCCATACTGGACGCCAAGCAGCCTCACAGCGTAAGCAATATACGAAACATCTCTCGGCAGGCACCGACTGGCTGATGCTACTGGCCAAGCCCCCTGAGTTGCTACGCTAACCCCACATCTCATCGAAGTCGCTGTCGTGGTAAATTGTCGGATGAATGCCCGCCGGTTTTTGTGCATCGACGGAAGTAAACTGGTTTTTTTCCTCGGGCTGCTCTATTCTTAGCCCAAATAGGTCCCGGAGGTTTAAGGTTATTCACAAGTCATTCGTAGGGACCTCAACGCGTCATATATATCCATGGAATTCTTGGTAACAAGGCCATTGGTATAATATGTCGGCGCACCCCGATCCTTAGTAGTAGTATTGTATGTCCTATTCTATTATCCTCATCCACTAGTTCCACAGGTAATTATATATTACTGTTCCACCACGCTCCTTGCTGTTTCGCCTCACATTTACCACTCGAAGCAATTGAACTGGGAGAACTCAAGCCCAGCCCACCCAAGAAAGAAAATGGCCCCTTCAGTCTCCCTCTCAGTGAAATCCCTCGTGCTCATCACCACGATGGCACTCGGCGCCCTAGCAAACCCCGTCCTCGTCCACATCCGCGAAGCCAACGCCACAACCACCACCAGCACCGCGACACCCACCGCGACACCCACCCCCCTCCCCCCCAAGGGCGAGGCGTGCGGCGCCACCGTCTGCGCCGCGGGCCTCACCTGCTGCAATTCGTCGTGCGGCACCTGCGTCGCGCCCGGCGGCGCCTGCACGCTGGAGTTCTGCCTTCCGCCGGAACAGCCGCCGGCCCCGGGCAACGGCACCGTCTGCGGCGCGGCCACGTGTCCAGCCGGCGAGGAGTGCTGCAATGCGAGCTGTGGGGTTTGCACCCGGCCCGGGGAGGGGTGTACGAAGGAGTTTTGCTTGCCTCCGGATGGGGCCGGGGAGAAGTCGTGCGGGAAGGTTACTTGTCTTGCTGGGGAGGAGTGCTGTAATGAGAGTTGTGGGGTGTGTACTCCGCCTGGGGGGGTGTGTACGGCGCAGTTTTGTGAGGATTGAGGGTGGTGATGGGGTTGGAGGGAGGGAGGTGGCCCTGCATATGCAGAGAATGATTGGATAATTTAAACCGGAGGGGTTGGGAGAAGCTTGGGGGAGAATGAGAGGATAGATATGCGCAGCTTGCAAGGGGAATTGGTAGATGTGTTGGGCTCTTGGTGCTACAAAAGTCACGCATGTTGGACAGGGGTAAAAAGGGGGTGCTCCTGGAAACGGGGTGCCAGAAACCTAATTAGAGGACGGAAACAGGCATCACCACAGACAACGTAGTTGGGAATCACAACACGTTTGTTGTCAATTTGCCCACTGACGAGGACTTGAGTTAATCCCGTCAGTGGCAGTCGTCGAGTCGCTGGACTTGTGCTGGGCTACACTTCATCGCGGGTCCAACCAGGACACCAGTAATACACACTCGCCGTTGATGCTCACAAATCACCAAGAATAAGTAAAGTGTTCATATTTTTTCTTAGATAGTTACGAAAAACTTGAACTTGACGTATACCAAGCCATAGGTAGGGACAGAAAAGACTAGACTCAATCACCTCCTGTGTATCCTCCTCATCAAGTGATCAATCCCAGGATGAGATGAGCCGAATCTCACCAAGAATTTACTTGTAGAGATCTTTGTGATCAGCCTTGATCAAGTCGGCGCCCTTCTCGCCAATCATGTAGACCGAGTTCTGGATGCGGCAGTCTGGGATGACGGGGATGATGGAGGCATCGATGACGCGCAATTTCTTGATACCATGGACCTTGAGTTCGGGGCTGACGACGCCCTGGCCAATGTCCTTGGACAGGCGGGCGGTGCCGCAGGGGTGGAAGGCCGTCTGGCAGCGGTCCAGGACGGCGCGCTTCATCAGATCGTCCGAGTCCAGGGGCATATCCCAGGGATACTCGCCGAGGACGATATCCTTGAAGCCGTCACCCTTGGTGAGGACGTCGTAGCTGAAACGGATGCCCTCGCGCATGGCGATGATGTCGAGGTCGTTGGAGAAGAAGTTGAGGTTGATGTTTGGCTGCACGAGCGGGTCGGCGCTTTGGAGCGTCACCTCGCCGGGATCGGAGACGGGGCGGACCAGGTCGACGACCACGCAGGTGTGGTCGCCCACCTTGGGGGTCGGGTAGTGCCACTGGAACGCACTGCCGAACATGCCGACAAAGTCGAGCTCGAAGTGTGGCTGGCCCTCGGGCGAGAAGGGGTCGAGCCCGCCGTTGGCGGCCTTGGCCTTGCGGTAGGCCGGGTCCTTCTCCAGGTACTTGTCGATTCGTGGGAAGCCCACCATCTCCAGGAGGCCCGACGCGAAGGGCCCTGAGTGTTTCTTGCCGTACTCGGTGATGGCGGCAGAATTCTTGGGACCCTTGCGCAGGAGGACGTCGTCCATGCCGTAGCCGTCCTTGACGCGCAGGACGAAGGGGACGCCGGGGTGGTCGAGCAGGTTCTGGCCGACGTGGGGGGAGTCGACGATGGTGTTGATGCCATGCTTGGCCAGCTCGCGGGCGGGTCCGATACCGCTGAGCATCAGCAGCTTGGGGCTCTCGAAGACGCCCTGGGAGAGGATGACTTCGCGGTTGGCGTAGAAGCTGAGCTCGTTGCCGGAGGGGTCGATGACTGTGACGCCCTTGCATGTACGGTCGGCGTCATTAATGATCAGACGCTTGGAGTGGACTTGGGGCAGGATAGAAATGTTGGGTTTGTCCTTCACAAACAGGTAGCTGCCGGAGCGTACGCCCTTGTGGATGGTGTCGATGCAGTGGGTGAGGCCAATCATCTCGCCGTCGTAGATGTTCTCGGAAATGGGCTCGCCCCGGGATTTCCAGGCCTTGGTGAGGGCATTGCGGAAGGGGTCCATCTCGTCCAGGAGCTCGGCATGGGAAATGGGGATGGGACCACCGGCACCGAGCTTCTTAAGCTCTGGCAAGTAGAGCTTGGGGTCGTCGTGGTAGGTAGCGCTCTTGCGGAGGTACGGAACGAGGGGATCCCAGGTCCAATCTTTGCCCCCGTACTCGGCCCATCGATCAAAAGTGGGCTTGCAACCGGGAACCCAGGTGAAGTAATTGAGGGAGGAGCTCCCGCCGAGGGCCTTGCCGCGGGTGTTGGGCTTCTCAATGCGCTCATAGTCGTCACGCTTGACCATGGTGGTCTTGTAGGCCCAGTCGTACTGGCTGCCCCGGAGCTCCATGGCCAGCGAAGGGGTGGTGATCTCGTCGATCTCATGCGAGTTGCCAACACCTGCCTCGACGATGAGAATGGTGACATTGGGGTTCTCGGCGAGGCGGCCAGCGACGGTGTTACCCGCCGTGCCTCCCCCGACGATGATAAAGTCGAAGGGGACTCCGGTGGTAGTCATGACGGTGAACAGAGCTGGTATAATTAATTGTAGCTTTGGGAAGAAGGCGATGGGGAGATGAAGATGCAAAGTCTGACGTCTGGTTCTCGGATCTTCCGCCTCCTTATTATACCTCCGGGTCACTCGTTGTTGGGAGAGTTTTGCACGACGTCACCACAGCTCTGGACCATGCCGCATCCCGCCATCCCCACGAGTGACACTCCGAGGTAGAGGCGAGCGAGACGCCGTGTCGTGGAAAAGCGATATCCATTGGCAGACTACTCTTTCCGAGATGGAAGGTGAGGGGTAAGAGCTAGAGATCATATCAGCATTACGCCAGAGTGCGGGCGAGAATGAGGAACACGAAAGTTGAACCCGCAGATGCTTCATATGAATCGCGATAAGCCCGATTGCACTAACCAGACATGGTTAGATTCAGGACTAGACTGTTCTGGGAAACTCTATTGAGCCAATCACCAGGCCCTGGAAATTAAGCCTCCCTTATCATGATCAACCTAATCAACGTCATCAACACGGTATGTTGCCTTGGGTTATTGCCAAAAGCGAATTGGAGGGCATGTCCAGCTCCATGCCACTCTTGTGCCCCAGTAAGGGCCACCTGCTTATGGATCGCCGGTTGCCCGTTGCGTATCTTCTCATGCAAGAAAGTAAGTTGCGAAAAGGGGTGGAGCTCGATGACGGGTGGAAATGGACATTAGATATAAATTATCCCAATACCGGCCCTGCGTTTCTTCAAACGTAGCAAATCTGCCCCATTTCTTATGCCCATACATCCGTCAACCCTGTTGAAGACTCATCATGACACCGGACTACACTCTTGCTGAAGGTAAGCAAGCTACCAGCCCGCTATATCAAGACTTCACCTCGCTGACTTGCCCAACACAGGGTGTCCTTACCCCCAAAGCACGACCAGTGTTCAGTTGAGAGACGGCACGGGCGGAGGTTTGGTCCTGCTCCAGGATACGCAGCTCATTGAGACATTGGCTCACTTTTCTCGCGAGAGAATCCCTGAGCGGCAAGTTGCAAAACCCGGCCAGCCCACATAGTAGCACGAGACCTGACATTTCTTCTCCTCCAGTGTTGTCCATGCCAAGGCAGCTGGGTATGTCTAACCAACTATTCATCATCAACACGATGCCAGTAGATTAACGGCTCGTCCCCAACACAGGGCATATGGCGAATTTGAAGTCACCCATGACTGCTCAGACATCACATCGGCCAGTTTCCTCAACACAGTTGGGAAGAAGACAGATGTTCTTCTCCGGATATCCACAGTGGGACCCGAGCGAGGTTCTGCTGACACGTCTCGCGATGTCCACGGCTGGGCCATGAAGCTGTACACAGACGAGGGGAACTTTGATTGGGTCTTCAACAACACCGTGAGTCTTGCGGTCTACAATGTTGAGCATTTGTTGATTTTCGTGCAGCCTGTTTTCTTCGTCAGGGACCCCATCAAATTCCCATCCATGAACAGATCGCACAAGAGGCACCCTCGCACCAATATGCCCGACTCAGATATGGTAAGTAAGAGAGAACCAGGCACAGTGGTGGGAGGATGGCTGCTAACTAGTGTTTTCCAGTTCTGGGAGTGAGTTTGGCAGCGACGCTTCGCCACTTGGAGAGCGACTGTAGTGACCACTATGTGATAGTTTCCACGTCGGCAATCCGGAGGGTATCCACGAGCTCATGCATCTCTTTAGCGATCGAGGAACCCCGGCCTCGCTCCGCCATATGAACGCTTACAGCGGGCATACCTACAAATTCACCAAGGAGGTAAATCTTGATTCGAAGGTCTCTCTACCCCTGAGGCAATGTATAAAGAGCTGACACTATGTGGCTCGACAGGACGGCAGTTTCAAGTATGTCAAGGTCCACATCAAGACGCAAATTGGAGTCAGGAATCTTGATCGTGAAACAGCCGTGAAGTTGGCCGGGGAGAACCCTGATTTCCTCGTTGAGGACCTCTTCCAGGCTATTGAAAAGGGCGACTACCCCGTCTGGGATGTCTACGTGCAAGTGATGGACCCCAGCGAGGCCGAGACCTACAAGTGGAACATCTTCGACATGACCAAAGTGTGGCCGCACAAGGACTACCCCCTGCGGCAGATTGGCCGCTTGACCATGAACCGCAATGTGAGTGCACCAACTACGCCCCTGACGTCTGCCAGATGAGAGATTAAAAACACTTAGAGTGCTAATCAACGGGTCATGACAAACAACAGCCGCGGAATTACTTCACCGACATCGAGCAGGCCGCCTTTTCGCCTGGAAACATGGTACCGGGCATTGCGCCCACCGCAGATCCAAGTTAGTGGTTCCCTTGCTGCCGTCCGCTTCTTCCCCATCTCCCCCTTTTTCTGACCATCGTACGTACCTACTACCCAGTGCTACAAGCTCGCATGTTCGCCTACGCCGACGCGGCCCGGTATCGCCTCGGAGTGAACTACCAACAGCTACCCACCAACCACGCCAAAGTGCCGATCTACTCCCCCTTCCAGCGTGACGGGTTCATGAACTTCACCGCCAACTACGGCGACGACCCCAACTACGTTGGCTCCACGCTGAAACCGACCACATACAAGACCGCCGGCAACGGCCGCCGCGGCGGGCTGAGCACCCTCACGGAGCACGAGAAGTGGACGGGCGAAGTGTCGAGCTTCACCAGCGAGATCGGGCCCGAGGACTACGAGCAGGCGGCGGACCTCTGGGAGGTTCTCGGGCGGGAGCCCGGCCACCAGGACCGCTTCGTGGGCAACGTGGCGGACCACCTGTCCAAGGGGAAAAGTTCGAAGCTGAGAGTCATGGTCTACGGTATGTGCTTATGAGGTCTGAGATTCCTCCCACACACGTTTGCATAACTGACTCGGTCGGGCCGCTTGCAGAACTGTTCTCCCGCGTCAATAAGGATCTGGGGTCCCGTATCCGCGCCGCCACGGAAGAGATTGCATTGTGAAGGTCTAGCTGGTTAGATCATCGAACCTGATGCAGGAAGGCGGGGAGCAGGCCGGCGCAGGGGATGGATGGACTTTCGGTGTCTATCGTTGTTTGATTTCTTCAAGTAGAAAAATACAATCATTGGTTACCACAAAAGCCTCTTGTCACTATTAATGTTTGCTTAACTCGGATGGCGCTGTCTAATAGAGAGATTGTAGCTACCTAGGCAAAGATCGACTCTACACCTCGTATTGATTAATTACCACTGGCCTCTTGACCAAAACTTGGTGGGCCAAGTTTCAGCCCCTGGAGTTTCCAGATTCATTCTTCTGCATGCTGGATTTCCGCTAATGGATTTAGTGCTCAGCTGGGACTGCAATATTGACGTGGATATGCCAGCAATCCTTGCTAATAGCTTCCTGGGGTCAAAACAAGCATATCCTACGCTGCAGCCCAGGCAATCAGGGGGCTTCGCCGGACTAGGATAACTACTCTATAATGAGGGGCAGTTTGGACTTGACCAATTCTGGAAATAGTAATTGACCAATGATGCTCCTGCTCTCCATTAAGGAGGCTAGAGCAACTCAAGGTTCCGGGGCTGACGGGAGCACGGATACGAAAATCGCCACTATCATTCCACACGCACAGCAGCATACGACCCCTAGCTTCGATTTATCCCAGATCTACGAACACAAGCGGGTTATGACGTCTCTCATTGGGTGCTCGCGGATGTTGGACACAAAAAGTAATTATCCAAATCAATGGTTGCTGACATGTACACGGATCAACAAATCAAATCGTCGAAACGTCACAGGACGTTGCTTTTTGAGGCCCCAGACAAACTATCTATTAGAGGCTATGCTTAGTAGACCACCTTTCCCGCCCTACAGCCTCCGTCTCCTCCACTAGCTGCAAGGCCCGCCCAAGTACCAGTGCCTCGCCGGTAAGGTACTCATCAGGAGGCCGGGAGACGTTGCTGACCTCCCACTGCACCCGGATGGCTTGATCCGTATCGACCAGCGTGCCTGGCGTATTGAAGACGACATGGGACTCGGCGAGCAGACGGCGGACTGACACCCTACCGAGCTCGGGCAGACAGCAGGGTGGGTCTGTGTCGTGGCGAACTTGGCCACGGCTGGATGCATGCCTGCCGGGACGAGGGGCAGCTGAATGGCGGTGACATGGTGGGTGGGGGGGGCTGATTACGAAGTTGTCGGTGTGGAGATCGGCGCGGATGAGGTGGGTCGGGTATGTCGCTTGGTGCGGCTGGAGGAGACCGCTGGGAATGGAGTACCCGTTAGATCTGCTGAATGACGTGGCGGGTGTTTGCTAAAGTTGCTCGTGGAGGGCTCGGGGGCGATTGGATATCACTGCAGTCTTCTGATGATGGTGGCGTCAAAGACGGCATGGCTGATCCGGCGCCATGGCCATCATTCGTCAGTCGGGCGTCGAGCAATGCCGCCTTAAATTGGCTCCAGCTTTCGAAAGGACCATGGTTGATATCCCTCCCTCTGCTACCAAGCCACAGGAAGCCGTACGAGCACATGGGCCCAACAAAAAAAGCCATGATGGTCCCAGTAATACGACAGGCTCCCAACCTCGTCGAACGTAGGCTCCTATAAGTGGCGCACGTATGATTGGACCTCCCGTAGGATGCCTCCGTAACGGGCCTTTCCCACCCCATCGCCGACTGCGGTACTCCACTCCTCGGGCAATAACCCAGGACATCGCTCCATAAAAATTACCTCCCAGGCCGAGAGGATTTTGGCACTATAATCGTAAAGGAAGACGCGCGCCGTAGGAACGCCGTGCGATATGGCAAACATGGATGTAGCGACCTCACTTTCCACCTTAAAATGGGGATCGTAGGGCATGGCGATGCGCAGGACCAGTTCTCCGGGATGGCATCGGGTGGGTCAGTGGGGTCCGGCTCGGGATGGCTCTTGAGCTTGCTGTGCTCGACCTCGACAAGAAAGATCATGTTCAATGCGCCCGACTTGAAGGAAGACACCTTGTACGGTCCGTCGGGAGGGAGGAGCCCGCGGCCGACGTAGAAGCCGACCAGGCGCGTCGCATCCGAGACGGTCGGCTTGCAGCTCGGCCTCTAGACCGGGAAGCTGCTGTTAAAAAAACAGGCCTCTTTTTGGGAGCGCGGAGAGAACGGTTGCAGGGGTTGTGGTCATCTCTTGGGTGACTAGAAATAGAGCCTCCACTCTTTAAGAGCGGGCGACGAATCCAAGGTGAAGGGAGATCTAGCATGCCATTTGGGTTCCGGAAATATGTCCGAGTCCCTAGCAGCTGCAATCAGAGTGGGCGTCATCAGTCTTGACAAACTGTGTTGCGCCTTGGTTGAGGTCGAGATGGTAGGTGAAATGCTCGGATCAGAACAAATGCGATACCCTTGGCCGCACCCAGCACCTCCCAGGTAGGAAAACCTGGCTAACAAATAGGTTGGTGGTGAGTGCGGCAGCAACAGAGAGCAGCAGACGAAATCAACTCTCTTCCACCTCTTAACCACGACGAAGCGCGAAGCGAGAAAGAAGAGGAAAAGAATTACATGCGGTGCAAGGAGGATAATAAGGAGTCAGGGGTCAAATTATCGTCAAACAAGGATTCCTCCTCGCTGATCTTGGCAGGCAATAGGATGTGCAACAAACACTTTTCCACCCCGCGGCGCGCCTCGGCGCCCATTGACCCGAGCACATTCGTCATTTGCAGGACATAATCCACCTTCCGGGCGCCATCTGGAAGGGCGGGAGACTCGGAAAAAAGAGCGGAATGCAGGTTTTCCACGGACCCTTCCCACTTGTCCCGGGACACCCGTAGGAAGATGTCGAGGCCGGCCAGGTCGCTGAGAATTGGTGAGGCCGCCGCCGTGTCATCCGGCGCCGGAGACGGGGAGGCGTTGTAGACGGATACGGAGCCCTGCAGCAGTACGCTGATGAAGAAGAGGCAGGCCAGCCGGGCGAATTCGGGGCGGGTGCAGGTTTCATCTTGTGGGGAGCCGTTCGACTGGTGCTGCGAGTCCGCCTGCAGAAGAAGCACGGCATCCCGGACACCAATGTAGAGGGCGAGCCCATGGGAGCGGAACTCGGAGGAACAGCTCATGAGGGTGCGTATGTCTTGGATAAAAGAGATGAGCCACAGACAGCGCACTCGGCGCAAGTTCTCCGTGCTCCCCGTGAAGGGGTGCAAGTCGGCCCTGGTCAGAGCCCCTTCGGATATTTCTGAGATGTTGTTGGAGCTGTCAAACCACGATGGCTTGGACATGAGCGAAACGCTACGAGGGGGGGGTGCTTGTGTCAACAACTACACCGGAACAGACTAGAATAAAAGCTTGGAAACACCAAGAGGGCATAAACTCACAGGAACGTGACAAGCTCCAGCCGCCAGTTTCTCTGCAGCGCCGCAATGCCACCGCGCGCCTCAATCATCCGTTGCAGTCCGTCACGGTGCACTTTCCATTCGGATTCTGATCCCCAGTACCTCTACAAGGTGCATCATTAGCCCATGGATCACGGGAGCCAAATCGAGCCAACGCTTACCTCGTAGGTCAGAAGTCGGATCACAGCGGCGAAAGCCTCATCGCTGAGGGCACGGTTTGGATCGCTCATCCACGCCATGACGATACGGACAGCCTCGGCCTTGTACCTCAGCGCATCCTTTGAGCCCCCGAGACCCTGCATTCTGGCCAGGTGGGCGGCGGCGTGGGCCATGACCGCGTTGAAGGACGCGGCGTTTGAGAGATCCAGGGGGAACCACACATCTCGCATGGGGCTGAAGGTCGCCGCCGGCAGGTCTTCAAACATCATGGTGCCGTGGGTACTGAGCCCTGAAGCGGTGGATTAGTTTCCCCCTCTCTATCCCTCTGTATGTGTGCGTGTGCCTGTCACTAGGTTGCGCAAGACTTACAGTGATGGAGGAGTTTGTGATGCTGCGCTGTCAGATTCACTGGAAACATGTCGAAGGGATCTAGTCGGCTACATGCAAGCGCATGGTTCAGCCCAACGAGGGCCTGGGCTGGGATTCCACCTTGCACTCCCGCGCTCTCCTCGCTCTCCTCGCTAGTAGAGGTCATCCCCCGTTCTGCCGGCTGGTGATTGGTCCCGCTGAGCTGGAACTGAACCGACTGTTGGTGTGAAAGATGCAAATGTTCCAACTCATAGACGTCGTCAATCTGCGGGACCAAGACTGATCGAGGGGTACTGAGGGGCAGCTGCTTTGTGTTGGGTAGTAACTGGCGGCGAGGCTGCCGTGCTGATTTCTTCTCTCGGGTCCGTTTATGTCGCTGTTTCCAGTGCTCTCGCATGGCATGACTACGGAGACCTTGCTTGGTCTGACCAAACACGAATGTAAACTGTGTGTCCTCAAGACACGCAGCTTGCTCCGGCTTCTGCGGTGGCCCTAACCCTTCCATCGTGAAGTTGCGAATGACAATACGTAACTGCCCGTCTTAAGATATAAGACTCAGGAGATGGATCTGCTTTGCTGCATGTGAAACGTCAGAATGATGAGCCCATCTATTATTAAATAGAAGTTATTCGAATATGGCGGGAGCAAGAGATATTTGATAGCAACCAACGTGGGAAGGTAAATGTGAAAAGTGTGGGGGGCACCGTGCGTGACGTATCACAGCAGAAGACTCCGCCACCTGCATGTGAACAAAGCTGAATACCCAACACGAGGAGAGGTAATTTTGGGTGAAACAGTCAATTTGCCACTTGCGAAAAAAGAAAAAAAAGAAAATAGAAAAACATACTTTTCTGACAAAATAAGAGACTCGGTCCTGGAATGAACATAGGGCATAAAAAAAAGAAGTGCGTTTTGCGACCATCGGGAATTGAACCCAAATCTATTGCTATCACAAGTGGAAGGCAATAATGCTAACCATTACACCATAGTCGCCAGGGATTGCTGCTTCCGATTATATCCGCTCGATTTATTAATTATCAATGAAAGATTTAACCTCAAACACCGCTAAACTAGTGCGATCAAGTTCTATCAGCTGTAGCCAGTTGCCAGAGCCCCCAAGCGATGATGTTAACTCCTTAGTTAGATGCTTGTGTGCCGATAGTTGTTTTGTTAGACAAAATCCTTCATGCTGCCTGAATCAGCCATTCCTGCCTTCCCCTATATGGTCGGATTCCTAATTATACTAGGACAATTAGATGTTCAGCTTCCACTCTTGCTTTCCCTACAACATCCTCCAATTGCCCCAATGCAGCCTCAACTTGGTTATCAAGACGCAGCCAATAATAGCAAGGATGACTGGGAGACATAATTAGATGCTGCTTCTGAGTCTACAATGTCTTGAAACCAGGTAATCCAGGCCTGTCTATCATCACTCAAGATTTCTCCCGATCTTATACTAAAGCAATGCCAGTGTAGCAGCCGTCGTCACTCTGGACAACGGTTCTATCACTGCCATCTATACCAAAGCGATAGAGGGTGCCGCCGAGATCCGACACGTAGATGTGCTGGTGAGTGGAATCAATATTCAGCCCAATAGGCTCATGGAAATGCCTGGCCAAGATCTGTGCATGTGGCTTCTGATCACCAACACACGCTCGGTTCAGCGTGTTGCCAGTGGGATGTTCGCCACGATCAGTCCAGTAAAACATCCGCGTCTCTGGCTCGATGTCCAGGTCAACTGGTTCCGGCAGGTCCTTGAGGAGACATTCGATATCGGATCGATTCGAGGAACTTTCGCCAGCGGGCATATCGATGTTGGCTCGGAAAATACACCCCACGTTGCCTTTGCTCGGTCCCTTCTGCGTCCAGTAGAACTTGCCATGTTTGGTATCTACAGCAATACCAACACACCACCGCGGCTGATCCTCCTGATCTGCTATGTTGCAATCTCCTCGTAGGACCAGAATCTCATGGTTTTGGCCGTTGAAATCGCAGCGATGAACGCCCAGGCCCTCACGGTCACAAAAGTAGATTTTGCGGTTTTTGTCCTCGACGACCAGCTGCTTCGGCGTATGGACTGAGCCTTCCGGGATTAGTGTCTGAACATCACTTCCGTCGAGGTTCGCGGACATGACAGAGCCATCGCAGGTCGACGTCTTCAGTCCCATGTTCGTCCAGAACATGCGGCCCGTAGACAATGAGAAGTCGATGCTGTCCGGACATTTCAGCCCCGATACGACGGCAGTTGCCTGTTTGTCATTCCCTGTCCTGCGCAAGATCTGGCCGGAGCAGTTGGCCAATGCAATGTCCTTGACGTTGGCGCCCAAACCAACATCCAAGAAGTAGATGGTGGGGAGGCTGTGACTTTGACTCCTGGTGGCGCTGCTGCTGGGCGGGGGATACAAGCCACCTTTGGGGCTTTGGCACCAAGTTTTCCTTGCGCCACATGATTATATCGCAGCCAGTCAACAGTCAGGGCGGTGTCGAGATGTCGTTCTTGGGCATAGTTGTCTTCGATGAATGTCACGGTGTCGAGGCCGACCTGGTCCATCAAGGCACAAGGACCAGGGTTCTTGGAGTTAAACATATTTAGCCAAAGCTTGTCAATTTCCTTTGGCTCCGAGATACCCTCAGCGAGGATAGTCATGATTTCGCACTTGACTGCGGCCCATAGACGGTTGAAAATGAAGCTAAACGTGTTTCTCGTCAACGTTGGGTACCAACAATCAAATAATGACTCACGACTCACCCTGTCGACTCTTTGCGCGCCGTGACAGGAAGCATGCCGCAATCCTCAAGCACCTTTGTCAGGAAGGTGACACCTCCGGGTAGGTTTCGCCGTCAGTCATTAGCTCGACATTGCGGACCTCTGGCGGCATTGCAAAATGCACATTACACACCAAGGGCCGGCGTTGAGCCCTGATTTTGTCCAGCATTAACCTCGATTTGAATGAAGACGAATTCGAGGCCAGAATGCAGTCAGCAGGAGCCTTCTGGTCCGCCTCGCCCATGGTGTCGATTTTTGCAGGAACCGCCTCTATTACCAACCAGGCATCGCGCACTGCACTGTCCAGGTCGGCAAATGCTCGGTACTGTCCAGATACGCGGTCACCCTTGGACATGTTGGAATAATCATCGAGGTTTTTGGAGATGTAGTCCAACGCAGCGCTTCGGGCATCACTGGAGGGGTCTCTCAGGTGCACATTGTATCCAGCGGAAGCAAAGACGCAAGCGATTCGACGGCCCAAAACCCCGGCCCCGAGCAGAGCCACAGGTTGGGAGCCGATCGTTGGGGATGTCCAAGGAGGTGGCATCTTAAGAACTGATAAGCAATGAATAATTAGATTATATGCCTCTGAATAGTCTCTAGTGGTATGACGTGATTTAATGGGGTTGACTTGGCCCAGTCGAATTTCCAGAGTGGCGATCCTGGGGGTTACTGCTGTGGTCTAGTGTTCCATTGATGGTATCCTCTAGAGTCTTCTCACCAACCCCGGTAGGAACAAGAAGCTAGAAACTACGAGCGTGTCTGGGAAGGGCCGCGTGTCTCGGCCTGACTCCAACGAATTATCGAGCGCTTCTCCCCCTTATAGACATGTGTCACGTTGAATGCTGATAGTTGGGGATCAGGTGGTAAATAAAACAACCTATCATGTCATACGACAAGGCTAAACAACGAGCTCGCTCAAGCCATTGCCATCGTTCACTTCCAATGTCCCTTCATTATGCGTCTTAAAGAGGCGTCATACCAACACGGCATCACCCTCTCCGAAGGTCAACCCGGGCAGACCAAAGTCTCCTCACCACGGTCCCTTATAAACGTTAATAGCCTCATCGAAAGCCGCGTCAATCTGAGCCGCCAACTGGTCCGCCGCGCTCGCCACGTCGGCCGGCAGCTTGCTCTTGATGGCCTTGCTGAGCTTATCCGTCGCGACCTTATCCAGCTCCAGGTCGACTAGGATGACCGGGCTCAGAAACAGGGGGTCGAATTTGGACTTTGCGGCGATCATCGTCGTCAGGGTGGTGTCGAGGTCCTGGATGAGGGCCTGCGTCGCCAAGCTGACCGTCACAGCCTCGACGACCGATAGCTCGTCCGACGACTCCGCCGTCGAGGTCGCCTTGTTGATGTTGACCAGGAGGGCCGTCGACGTGGCGATGATGGGGAGCGTGCCGAGCAGGCCGCCGTTCCAGACGAGAACGGTGTTGTTCAGGTCCGCCGTGTCGGCGGCGATGGTGCCGAGGGCGGCGACGATGGCGGCGCCGTCGGCGAGGACGTTGCCGATGAGGAGGGCTGCTGCCGGGAGGAATTTCGTCATGTGCATTTTGGCTGGCTTGACTGAGGGAACTTGGCTGGATGGGAAAGCGGGGGTTTCCACTTAGGGAAAATTGGTTGGCCTCGAGGATTTGGGAGATGGTCGAAGGGAGACTTTCAGATAAGACGGTCTCTTACTTGCCCTTTATACACTACCACAGTACACAGCAGTCCTACCTTAATACTGACTCCGAAAATCCAAGGTTCCGGGAGAACTCGGCGAAGCCTAGCCCAAATTTGGATACAAGCTTCCTACTGATGTCAGCGGTGCATCTGTCTTGGCGGCGTTTTAAGTGCAAAGAGGAAAGACGTTGTCGATCCGTGGTGCCTTAATCCCGGTGAGGAAGTGCGATCCGGGGATGGGATGCGGGGATTGGTGGGATCGCCAGTATGTCGATCACAGGAAATAACGTTGCACCCTAGTTGCCGCGGCTCTAAGGGGGAAATTAGGGGCATGTGAAGCTGGGTTCCTTGACGAACAACGGTTGCAATTTCCTCCACAATGACGCTGACGCTCTCTTCACCTCTGGATCTCTCCATTCCAACGTAATTCGCATTCGGAGTCCGGAGTCAAACCTCCGGAGATGTTTGCGCCGGCGAGAAGTTCCCGTTCGGGATTCGGCGGGGGAGTAAAAAGTAATTCTACGCAGAGCAGCCGTAACATATATATTGTTTTCCTTTTCCCTTTTTCCTTTGCGCCCAGTATTTGATACACAGTAAAGAATATCCCGGTGCAGGTGCCATACCCTGCACCTTAACCCGATATCTCTTTCAACCTTGATGTGCATTCTCCGAACCATAATCTAGCCTTATTTGGAGCTGATTGATTGTACATGACAAAAACCTTGCCATGACAGTTTTGAAAACCTTGTTAGCGGTCAAAGTAGCCTACAGGGATGTGCTCTGGAGTGTCTTGTTGCGTGGGCAGTGTCTGTTCATCTGTTCATGAGAGCCGCGGGGCGGGGGGGGGGGGGGGGGGGGGGGGGGGGGGGGGGGGGGGGCCT